AATTCTGTGTCAAAGAAGAAGAAGAAGAGTGCCAGCACAAAATGCAAAACGATCGTTTTGTCCACTGACGTGTTCAACAAGAGCAACACTCAATATCGCAATTCGAGGCTTCACTTGTGTAGCTGAGCGCCCACTTTGCTGAAAAGATAGGCTATATATGAAATATTTCCCCCAATTACAACCGTAATAATATACTATTCAATTAAAGAGTCTAGCTGCACACTAACACAAATGTATTTCTGTAACGGTTCGTCCGACCAGAGTCAGACTTCCTCAGACAAGCAGTTTACAACAATGGCCAGCTGGACTCTTTATTTGAATAGAATAGGCATGTTTATTCCAGCTACAGTATCCTTGCAGTATACGCATACGGATCCACTAGCATAAAGGCACAGAGAAAAGATAGGAAGTTAGTCTCGCGCAACCCAACTCAAATTTACGTAATAATATATATATATTTAAGGCTGAAAATTTGGAATAAAATAGTTTCGGAAAAGAACTATTTTTTATTAAAAAATACCACAACATCCACAAAAATCATGGCAAAACGACGCGGTCGCTAAAAGTTGAGTTTTTTACGCCACCATTCACATCTTGCTGATCAGCCAATGATAGGGAGGTAAACAGGTGAGTCGATGCTCTGAAAATAAAATATTGCTATGACAATTTTTCCCCAATGATAGTTCTGGTCTACAGCAGTTTACCAAACAACTAAATTGAAGGAACAATTAGCTTACATGCATTTAGCCACACACTGCTTAGAGTTAAAAATATTGTTTGTTTTTTAAAATATTTTTCAATTTTGTAGAATATTTGCGTAATTCATTGAAAATCAGGAAATGGGTCTTGTATCTTGCAATCACCAGGACAGGTATTCAAAGCATTAAATAAAAAGACATGCTGGAATTCGAAAGAGAGAAAAGCTCGCGTTACATGCGTGGGCGTGTCAAACTTTTCTGCTACCAGGGGCGAGTTTCTGATGATGATGCACTTTATACTTACGGTAACTTCAAAGATAATACAGTGAATAAACAAATTATAGATGCTGTAATGCATGAGAATGAATCAATCAAAGGTCAAGTGAGAGTTAAATATTTGTATTATTATTATTTCAATCATCTAACTCAGGGGTCACCAACTTTTTTGACCGCGGGCCGGGTATGACTCAAACTGGGTTGAAACGGGCCGGATGAATATTTTTGTCAATGCAATAAAATAAATTCACAAAAGTTGGAAAATTCATCCAATTTATTTAACAGAATATATTCTACATTTCTGAAGACTTGAATATTTAATTCTATCTATATCGCAGAATATAGATCAAAAACATCATAGGAAAACAAATATACAAGATTTCTATATCTAGACAACTATCCTGAGTTTAGCTGTTATCAAAACGTTGCTGTCATGAATTAGGAATGTTACAAAATCGACTATTTCGCGCCAAAATAATGAACGCTTCACGTCTGCTAAGTACTGTTACGCCGTGTTGGAATACTGCTACTGCTAAAAACGACTACGGACTGCCTGCTGTAGCTTGGAATTCTATGAAATTTGGACATAATTTAGATAAAATAACAACATATCTGGTATTTGATTTTTTTCATTAGCGCATACATTTCTCAGCTTTCGACGCTTTTAAAAATTCCGCCTCCCCCCTTTTATACGTAGCGCAAATTAAACTATCATGCACAACTCCAGCGTTTATTTGTTTATTATGCGACGATCTTTCGGCGGTGTCAATGACCGTTGCCAGGATAAAATCCCGAAATAGTCTCAATATTAGTGATTGACATGTGTTATTTTTTCATATTTATTACAGTTCTTATCAAAAAGTAATACAATCCTTATGAAAATAATTGCCCTGTCGGGCGGTACTAAAATTCCGATATCTCGGTTATTTCTTGACCGTTTTTTATAAACTTGGTACTGTTTTCTATTTTCACTCAGATCTATCCACTGGCGCAGTTTTTATTTAAATCGGATGAACTTTAATTTTTTTTGTAACATACTACATGAATATCCGCATTTGAGCAGTACAAAAGTTAGTGTGTCTTATGAAATTGGAGCAGTACGCGAGGGATTATAGTACTGTTAGCGCAAAATGCACATTCAACATTTATTTTAGCACAAGAAACGTAAACAGTTTCGTCGAAAGCACGCGCCACGAGTATACAAGTGCATCTTTCGCAGAAAACGTTGCGTACCGGTAGAGAATTTTAGCCTATTTTTTCACAGCTATTTCTAGACTAATTTTTCATTACTACTATTAAAACTACAACTCCTAAGGATGCAAATGATAGTTGACTTATTTGATTCATACTTAAATTTCCGAAACACAATCAAAAACTAACGAATAGCATTCAAAGTCGCAAAAACGAAGTATTGTTTACAACAACGACTGGAAATCTGTCAGGATGACAAAAGTTATCTGAGCTGAGATGCGAAGAGGCTTTTTATTACGTCACGTTTTTTTGCATCTTGCTGATTGGTCAATGTTACGAAATAAACAAGGAAGACCGATGCTCGGGGAAATCTTCCTTGGAAAAAAATTAAGCCATTTTTGCGTGTTATTGCGGGCCGGATAAAATGACGCCGCGGGCCGGATCCGGCCCGCGGGCCGTAGTTTGGTGACCCCTGATCTAACTAAGCAAAAAACTCACCCTATAACGCGCTATGTCCGGTTGGTGTTGAAATTTCGCCGTTTTGTGAACTTCTGAAGCCAAAAAAGAAAGGAATTTTGAAATTCTAACATGTCGATAAAGGAGAAAAAATTATTTTGACTACAATGCGTCTCAATATTCGTAGATAGTTTCAGCCGTAAACTTACTATGTCGCTTGCGCAAATGGTTGAAAGATGCCACTCGTCAACACCATGCGGTTTAATCGTTTTCATTATCTTTAAACCCGCGTACATTTGCACCCGGGATAATTGCACCCACGGACATTTGAACCCATGAACAATTGCACCCGCAGATTTTGCACCAACATACAGATTGCACCCATGCACATTTGCACTTATGAAAATGTTGTCGCAGACTCACAATGACCATATTGATCCTTCGCAACTTCCTGCCATAAGCCACACCCGACCTAAGGGCAATAAATACACACACCGACTCATCCAATTCTATTCAACTGACTCCGTTAAAGTTAGTCTTGCCTATACTGTACCGCCCGTTCCAATCTGACTTTATAAAGGGAATAAGCTCTTCTATAACGCAAATACGAATTGATCAAATTTGCTCTGTAATAGTGAAGTATAGACAGAGTAGTGTAAATAAAAGTTTTTTTTATATGCTCTGGGAGATGTCAGTCGACACTTGACAAAAAATATAAAAATCACTAATGCGCATATGCATACTTTATACTATTCTATTATCTGGTTAACCGTCACGATAATATCCGGATATCAGATAGCAAAATAACTCTCGGTTCTCCGGATATCTACTATCCGGATAATCCAATCATAATTTGAACTCATGTACATTTGCGCCCACGGACATTTGAATCCATTTACATTTGCACCCACGGACATTTGCACCCATGTACATTTGTACCCACGGACATCTGCAACCGGTACATTTGCACCCACGGACATTTGCACCCATGTACATTTGCACCCACGGACATCTGCACCCGGTACATTTGCACCCATAGACTTTTGCACCCGCGCACATTTGAACCCGCATACATTTGCACCCGCGTACATTTACACCCGCGTACATTTGCACCCACGGATATTCGCATCTATGGACACTTACACCCATGAAATTTTGCACCCATAAACATATACCCATGCGTACCTCTCTTCGAAGTAAAAGAGATTTTATTGCCATTTGCGCCGAAATAGCGATATCTTAATGTTATGAATAGCAATGAGGACGAACTTACATGCACATTTGTACCCTCGTACATTTTAACCATGCACATCTGCATTCACGGCCATTTGTACCCATGACATTCTCGCGCATATACAGTCGACCCGTGAACGCACCCACAGTCATGTCTGCGAATAACCGTGTTTCAGGCAAACATAAGTTACCAACTATAAATATTTATTCGAAATGAAGACGTATTACAAATTTTAAGTAGCCCGATTCTTGGTGAGGATCGCTACGTTTTTACTGTCATTGCAGGTTATAATCCTATAGTACTTTTTAGATAAGAGAAAAAAGAGAGCGAGAAACAACGTCAACTTGGCGAAAGCAGAACTTCAGGGATGGGACGAGTCCGGCATTACAGGGATTCGACGAATCCGAGTAATAGGTCAAGGACTCGAATCGTCCGGGTCGTGACGTCGTAACGAAAAATCTATTCTTCTTCTTGTTTTTGACTACAATACAAACGTGAACGTCGGTCAATGTGCGCCTTGGTTGTAAACTCGCTATTTAGCACAGTTGGTATTGTAATGTCGCCCTCACGTCTGAGGCCAAAAAACGTCGAAATTCTTACATGTCGACAGCAAAAAAACAATTTTGACTGCAATGCGTGCCTATAATTGTAGATAGTTTTAGCCGTACTATGTCCCTTGTGCAAATGGCAGAGAGATGCCACTCGTCAACACTATGTGGTACATCTGCAGTGAATCATGTGCAGATTCTAAAACCAGTGTAGATGATTGGTATCGAACGTTTGGTCAATTGATTGACCAAAACTGAGCTTGACGAAAGCCAAGGTTAAACCAAACAGAACTTTTTAGGTAATCATAACATTTTAACCTATCCATTTCCCGAAGCTCAGACCCAAAACGGCCACATTATGTAATATAACAGGTCAATGTCATTTTATTATCAGCATTATTCAACAGCACTAGCAAATACAGATAATGCAGCTTAAACACACTAAAACATGAAAAAAAAACATTTCACTTGAATCCAGGACCAAAAGAGAAATAAAAAAGACGTGACCGGCAAAAGCTTGTGTTAATGGGCTAGTCCCAGATTGAACAAAGTAATAAAGAGAAAAAGATTATTTAACTTGAATCCAGGACCAAAAATAAAATAAAAAGACATGACCGGCAGAATCTTGTGTTGGTATAGTGAGGGACTGTGAATCTGTTAGTAGTGAAAGAAAATGGAAATGATATTAATGTAGCTATCATCGTTAACTTATGTAATAAAAATACTATATCGGAGCTTGTTTTGATAAAATTTTAACATGAAACAGCTAAAATATTACATAAAAACCTCCTACTTGTGAATCATATCAGGAAGTCACGTTTACTATTACCAATTGAAAGGAAATCTATTCTCAAAACTGGTGAAGGAAAATGAAAATAGTGACTTTCCAAAGGTCTTACTTTTAAAGGGAATTTTATCAAGGTTTATTTGAGTGGCAAATGTCTTATTTATCATGTATATGTACAGAAATACCAACTTAACATTTCTTCACAATCTCCAACCAATGCATTACAAAACTTGATATAAAATAATAAAACAATGATTTGCGTGTAAGTATGTGATGACATTATGAATACAACTATGACATAGCACAAATTTGATATTATGAAAGTGACATACAGATACAATGATGTGCTGTAAAGGTGGACTTTCTCCAATATAGGGTCCACCGTAGAGCTAATACTGTTATGTAAGACGTCCTCGTAGATAATTGGAAAGGGGTAGTAAGTTATAAAGGGGGAAAAACGCTTCATCAAGACATACAAAAGCTGCATTTCGATACAAATATACAAAAAACGGAAAAAGAAAGCATACAAGACAAAGAGAAGCACATCAAACGCAAACTCCTACACAATTTAAAAACTGATGAAACTTTACTATTACAAAAGTAACAATTTTATTTCATTCTCGGGGGTTTGATTATTTTACTCAAAAAATAATAAAATATGCTGATTTGAGAACAATATCTTCAATTTGGCCGTGTTACCACTCAAGTACTATATATAACAAATAAGTAGGAGTATTTAACTTAGAGAAAAACTGTACAGGAAACCCATTGTAATTAACAAAGACGAATGTCAGCCTCCTTGTCTACAATGGAAGCATAAAGCCTTTCTACTTCGGCAAGTAGAGATTCTAATTCACTACTCTTGGTCGTGAGTTCACGCTCTTGCTCATCGAACTTCTCATTTAATTCTGTAATTAAAATGGGAAATATGTTAAAAATACATCCATACATAAAACACCAAAATGGCTAGGCAATCTTAGCATGGCAGATTGGGTACTCCTGCAGTGTGTGTACCTGTGTGTTGGGGTGAGGCCTTTACACAACTTGATGTGAAGTAGGCAAACAAAATTAGTTACCTCCATACTGGTACACGCACTTCTGGAGCGCCGCAGATTGCACAATAAAAAAATAATTAACAGTGTGATAATTAATATTATAGAGAAGTATCATCACTCTTACACAACGTCCTACCAAACTAACCATTTGTACAAAAGACTCGAGATAAAAATATTCATTCAACAAATCTCTTACCGTCAAGTTTATCCAAGTTGCCATTTATAGTTTCCTGCAATGCTTCTGCATCTTTTCGTAACTTTGTCAATCTATCAACCTGACCCTTCTTCTCATTTATTTTTTCATTCGCTGACCGAATGAGTCCTGCCTCAGCTTCCAGTGCCTGTATGTAAAAGAAAACATATTGTCATTATACAGTTTGCAAACCGTTAATAATAACCTTACAAGCAGAATGAGCCACACAAAAATCAGAGACTTACTGAAAGGTAATATAAAATATTTTTTATCATTGTTTGTAATAATATAACGCTAGAATTGGGAAAAAAGAGTATATTTAAATGGGAAAACTGGATTACTTACATCTTTCGCTGCTTGTGCTGTATCCATGGCCATTGCAGTCTGTTGTATTGCATTTTCCACATTGACAGAATTATCAACGATTTTGCTTTCTATTGCTTTCAATCGATCTTCTAATCTTTTAACATCTTCATCAATGCCGTCTACAGCATCAGTTATTTCTGCTGCTATTCCTACAATCTGTTCAAATATTTTTATATTCAAATCAATTATTTGTGAAAAAAATCATAATTAGTTACCAACAATAAATTGGCTGATTTTAAAATTTAATAAGAATAATTAACAGATAATATAGAATCCAAACCATGGGTTCAAAGTTCAAACTTAGAGTAGTTTATGCCCTAACAACATTATATTTCTTCAGTTCTTGATGAATGCTTACCCTTATCCTTATCCATAGTGATATAAAAAGACTACCAGAAAATTCATAGTTATCTGACACACTCTAATTAAATATCACATATAAATACAATATTAAATATGATTCTCATAAGAAAATGCCTTTGTATTTCCTACCGCTTATAAAATACCTTCTAAGATAAATACTTACATCATTAATTGTCTGTTGAGCTAAATCAATATTAATTTGTGCTTTATCTCTCGCTGCTTTGGCAAGTGTTGATGCATTTTCAGCTTGTTCAAGTGCTTCAGAGACTGCCCTAGCATCGCCAGCTACAGCGGCAGCATCAGCCCTGAGAAGTAATAGTAAGGTTAGAATGCAGTAATTCTTAGGAGTTTGCCTATTCTTATACTGTTCGCTACCACATCTAACTTATATTAACGGTTAAAAATTCAGGTTCAAACCAATGGGGTCGGCTATACCTGACATGGGCAAACTACGACCCGCGTGCTATATCCGGCCCATTGAATACCTCAATCTGGCTTGCCTGATGCTGCTACAACAAAACTGAAATCATTTTTGATGTTTTAGCTAAAAAATATCTCAAGGAATTTGTCGAGATTGTGATTAAATTTGGTTTGGCACAAGGTTTATTGTTTTTCACTTTTGCTTTTGTAACACTGTTAAATATTGTTCATAAAATGTAACTTTTTATTTAAAACTTACATGGCCCGTCAGTTTAGGCAGGCAAAATTTTTGGCCCTTCGTCCCACAAAAGGGATTCATTACTTACTTAGCTTTCTCAGCTGCTGCAAGGAGTGCATTTGCTCGATCAAGGTCATCTTGTGTTGTGTCTAAAATATTATCCACATCAGGAAGAGAATTGACAAGGTCGTTGATAATTTTAGCTCGGCTATCGATTTCATCTCGATCAGCTCTCAATGTCATGGCAAGAACTTCTCTGGCTAGTGCTTCGATTTCTTCTGGCTTGGCTCGATCATCTATAAATTGTTAAATATGCAAATTTATTTTTGATAATCCTATAATTGTCTAGCGATAATTCAAATTCCAAAGTAACATTCACAGCTTGAGCTACAGAAGTACAGAGTGTCCATAAAGTCACTTCACAATTTCAATATGGAGTCTGTTCTCAATATACTCAACCAGGTTTTTATTTTAATCAATAATTGTTTTGAGTATTTTTATTCCATTTATTACATCTGTGAGAACAAAACAATATATGGTATCGATAAATTTTGAGACTTCATGAACACCCTGTATTTATTTCTGTATATAATTACATAAATGGATTAAAAGTCCCCTTATATTAAAAGTCTTGCAACATATAGAAAAGGAAATGAGAAGAAATGTACAAATTTCCAAGTAACGCTCATAGCGTAAGCTACAGAAGCACCACAAAAAGATATATTTTTGTATAAAATATCACAAATAATTTTAAAATCCCTTGGATAAATTGTCCTGCAACATATATGACAGGAAATCAGGAAATATTTACTTACCAGTGAGGAATTGACGAATTTGTCTGATTAAATCACGAATCTTAGCGTTTCGATCTTTCACCTTCGATTCAACCTCATCAGCTTGTCTTCTTGCATCTTCAGCGATTTGTTTTGCTTCTTTCGCGTTTTCTTTTGTTACCTGTAAACACAGAGATCAGACAATGGCTCAAATTTTATATTCGGATAATTATATGCAGTACAGATAAAGCTTACAAGAAAAACAGTCAGTAGAGCCACTCCAAAGCTGTAATGTTATGGTCAAAGAAGAAGTTTATATCTATATGTGCTTCAGATTTCTACTACAGAATGACCGATGAATAAAGGAAATGATAAAATCAGTCAAAAAATTCTATTCAAGAGTCTTGATTCACACCAACAAATATATTTGTCAAGACTTGTCAAGGTCAAGACTTCTTCAAACAGGAAAATTTTACCCATGAGTAGTCATCTTTATTCTAGATACAGAATCCTTGCATTCATTAGTGCACAGAGCAAAGGAATGTAGTGCGTCTCGCATAAGCCCAAATCGCAATTACAAATAGTCCTATCTATCAATTTAATATCAATGCCGGCCTAAAGATTTTACAACACAAACCTGTATTCTGATATGCAAATCAGTGGTATCAGCTGTGAGTCCGTCCAAAATTTCTTTTGTTTTCTCAGCCCTGGCTTTTGCTTCATCTGCATTGGTTACTGCTCCTTTGCATCCCAGTCCACCACAATGTTCACAGCCTGCACCTCCACAAGTATCATCACATTCTTCAGTAGCCTGACCACAGACGTCCCGGTTAATATCAGCAAGAGACAATTCTTCAACTTTAGCTTTGTTATCTTCGAGATCGGCCTCAACTTGCTGCCTCTTATCGTCAAATTCTTCGAGTTTAGATGCAAAAGTAAGCTCAACCTCAGCACGGACATCTTCTGACTGTTTCACAAGACTGCCTGGTTCAGTTGTGGCGGCCTTGGCAGCACGTTCAGCATTTTCTGATCTCTGTGCCGCGTCTTCCACTTGCTTGTATGCAGCTAAAACAAACCGCAGTAATTTTAGATATTGAAGTCCTTGGAGTGCTACGCGGCTACGCCCAGGGTTGTCCAAAACGAATCGAATATTCGAATGTATTCGAATATCAAGGTATTCGAATACCTTTTCGGCTGATTGTCGAATAATTCCGAATAGTAGCCACTTTTCGCCGTAAACGTGGTGTTTCGCTTTTTTTTTTTTTTTTTTTACGGGAAGCTTTAAACGACTTTTTAAATCGGCACTTTGAATGTTTATATTCTGTGCGACCGTACGTCGCATAGTGTTGCGACACATTTGCGCGTTTGCGTGGGTGGACATTGCCGACATTCGTGTACGAGGCTTTTAATTTACAAATTCATTTCCATTACGTCGAAAAATTGAGAAAGTATGTTTCTTTTATTTCTATGTGGCCTGCTTATTATTCGCAGGAGTCTTCTCAAGCATGATTTGTGTAACCTTATATTTGGGTCTTAGGGTCTGCCAATCATGATATTTAATCGCAGGCTGGTTATCGTTACTTTAAAGGGGAACACGGCCACCAAGATAAAGTGATTTGTGACCCTTTCGTTTTGCGTTTATTTAAACATTCGGGTTAATAGGTTGTCCAAAATGATTGCCGCTTATCAACTTAAATTTACCGCTCAATTGTTAAAAATAGTTAATTCTGTGAGTATGATTCTACCAAACTAACATGATCTGGTTCTAAACATATAAAATTATTAGCGAATTTTTCTACCCGTCTTATTGGAGGCCTATATGGAAAAACCCCTTTTTTGAGTGCTAAAAATAAACATCGTCCCATTTGCCATGTGGACTTATTAGCCGGGAAATACGGTATTTATAGCCGTAATTGTTACGATATCCAATAAATTGTCACAAGTTGGAAAAACAAGTCGATTTATTAGAAAATAATTTCTGGCAAATAATTCTGATAACGATAGTTAAAAGAATCGATCCTTTCCAGGATGATTTTTGTTGCGCAAAATAATCCAATCCATGACTGGTACCAGCATTTAAAATGTCATGCCGTATTAATTTAATTCTGTTCAACGTAACTCATGGTTGTATCGAAAATCTGTGGACATAAAATGTGTAGTAAACTGACCGATATTATTAAATATTAATTCCTATTTTTATATTGATAAAATGATGAAAGTATTAATGCCAAATACAACGGGTATTTGTGGACATGAAATACGTGGTAAACTGCCCAATTATAATTAATTTCGGACTCGTGTTTACAAAATAATAAAGCTAATAATTCTAAAATGCAACGGCGATCTGTGGCCTTCAAATGTGTGGTAAACTGCCCGATTTACCAACATTTGAGTTATGATAATAGAATTAAATTAACACGGTAAGGAATTTTAAGTAGTAGTATCGGTCATGGATTCGATTGGATATTTTGCGCAGCACAAAATCATCCTAGTAAAAAGTCCATACTTTTAAATACAAACCAATGGCAACCATTATACAAATTAGTTCCCAAGAGCGGGATGAAATATAAATTCTTTTTCCGACTTGTGACAATTTTTCGTGAGTACGAAAATAAGAATCAAAACTAATTATATTCGGCACAATATCACGGCAATCTGTGGACATAAATTGTGTGGCAAACTCGCGATTAATATTAATTTTTGATTCCTATTTTCGTATTTACAAAATACAAGGCGATCTGTGGACTTACAATGTGTGGTAAACTACCCAATTATAAATAGTTTTTGATTCCTATTTTCATATTTATGAAATAATAAAAGTATTATTACTCAAACATACAACGGCGATCTGCGGACTTAAAATGTGTGGTAAAGTTCCCAAATATAATTAATTTTTGATTCGTATTTTTGTACAAAAAATTGTCACAAGTCGGAAAAATACCTCATACTTTATCCCGCTTTTCGACAAATAATTTGGATAATGGTTGGTATTTAAAAGTATGGGCGTTTTACTAGGGTGATTTTGTGTTGCGCAAATATTCAAATCCATCATCGATACCACTATTGTCGTATTAATTTAGTTCTGTTAACATGACTCATGGTATATAAAATATATACTGCAATAATCTGCAAATATGAAATGCCTGGTAATATAGCTAGGTTGTAACTTGTAGATAGCAGTTATTCCATTGCTTATTGTATGGAAATTCCTACATACATTTAGATAAGCTTCAATTAGTGGATTTTATTTTCGAAGTATTCGAAATTTCATGTTCGAAAAAAATAATTTCGAATGTATTCGAAATAGTGAACTATTCGGTATTGGCCATCCCTGGCTACGCCCAATTAAATTGACATTGCATGTAGGGATATTGGCTACAAGCACCACCGACACTAACACATTCAGGCTGTAATAGATTGTGTATAGTCTGCACCGAATTAGGAATACTTGACCTTCAAAAAACAATGTTGTTTCCTATGGTTGCTTGTCTAGGGTCTTTCTCAGAGCAAAGATACCAAAGATGTAATTTATTGAATACAGTTTACAAGAGATCTGTTAATATTAAGCGCTATTACACCCACAGTGATGACAATAAAGTTCCATACAGCCTTTGGCAAACTATATGTGCAGTGGCGTTTTCTGAGCACAGCAGTACTAGCCAAAATTATTTCCTATTTTATTCGTAAAAGTTATCAACTTAAAAAAAATTGATATTACATACTTAACTCTCAATTAAAAATCATTGAAGATTAAGTTTCGATGAAAATATGACGATACATACCTGCAGGAGATGCCTTGCTGATGTTTCTCTTTTCTTCTTTCAATCCATCTAATTTCTCACGCATTTGATTTAATTCATCTTCACTCTTTTCCAACCAATCATTGATAGATTCATCATCTGATCTCAGTTTTTCCATGTCTTTCTCCATCTTGTCAAGACGTTTTTCTTGGGTGGAGAGCTTGTCCCTGAAAACGTGCACATTTGAATAAATAACTGAAGTTCTAACAAAGGAGGATTATTGTAAAATGGTTGTCTTAATATGTGTTAGGTGGTAGTTAAAAATCCTAAATATCTATAAAAAAACTTTTCATTACTCTGTAAAAACTTGACCAGTTAGATATGAGATATCTAGTATAGAGTAGAATGTTGATATTTATGGGATAAGCCAACAAGACAGCTTACTATATTGGTAACCAATGGCTCCTCTTACACTCTAATAAAGTTAGAACCTAAAAGCTCCATCTAAATTGCAAGCATTGATGTACTATTTTAAAATCTTGTCATTTCAAACAACAGGATCTCCATACAGAAAGTACTGGCTGGCCCAGAGCCTCAAAAAAAGGAGATTGTGTAATATTTAATAACCCCACATATAAAAAGAAACTAGTGGTATATGTAAATTTGTTCACCGCAAGTTATCAAATAAAAATTCGTATTTTTCTACACAAATCAATCGAAGCGATACTGTCTATGCCAGCAAAATAATCATAGCTCCATCATATATATATGGGAATTGTATAATATTATCTTCCTACCTGATGTCATCAATCACATCTCTGAAGTTATCTCCTTCAGCAGCTTCATCCAATTTTGCGAGAATATCTTCAATTTCTTTCAGTGTTTTTTCAATTTTAGTGAAATCATCTTCGTAAGCGCCAGTGATTCCGGTTTCTTCAATGGCCTGAGCATGTGCAATCGCTTTTTCTGTTCTTTCTGCAGAATAATAATATCAGAAGTGAAAAAGTTAGAAATACCTCCAATTATACCAAATTATATAACCTACATAAGATATTTCTTAAATTGGAAAAATCAGGACTTTTAAATATCCAGTTTATACATTTGTATATATACCTCTTGCTATCACGATTAGGGGTAATGAATTTTTAAGTTGGTATTGATACTGTACAAAAGCGGTCTTTCATTATAAATCACATTGTAGAAATTAATGGTTATTCTAAAAATTTGCTACTTTAGAAGTTTAAATTACTAAAATTTTGAATCCAAACATATTAATGTTAAAAAATAGTTCATATTTCACGAAACAATGCATGTGTTACCTTTCAGATCACTGATGATCTTATCCCAGTTGTCAAAGCATTCACCACAAGGTTCACAAGATGGAATATCTCCTGTGAATCCTCTCTTACAACGATCACAATATCTTCCACCAACACCTTCAATACAAGGACATTGTCCAGTAGCACGATCACATTGCACATGTGCAGAACCCAACGGATCACAATCACATTCTGAAATATAACACAGGTTAGAAAAGACGCATTGACAGCCAAGAAAGTACAAAGGCTCTTGAATCTATTTTCATACATATATATTCAATCAACATTTCAAGATTGAATGTTCAAATTTTGGTCTGATACAATTAGTCCAGGAACAGAGTCAAGTTCCAAGTTGGCACTGCTGAAAAGTTTGGATAAATTTGCACTGTGAGACTGACTGATGTATTTCATCACAATAACCATCAACACAAGCAAAATGTTAGTCAGTTCTTCATAAGTTTGTTTTGCTGCTTTTTCAGAAAACAGACTTATGTAAGTCTTAAGGTGTACTTGCAGGGCTTATATTTTCCTACTCACCAGTTTTGTTCTCATAGTTTAAGCATACAACAATGCAAATATGAGAAAATTAACAGCCATGCAACAGCCTAGCAGTTGACCATTATGTGAAGTGCTTTTACTAATCTATTAGATGATATTCCATTGTTTTACAACATGATATAAGGTGAAAACTTTAATCAAATAGGCATGAATAACATTTATAAACCTGCAAATGAACTGTGTGCGTAAATTATGAAATCGTGACACAATGCATTGACATGTGTATTATACAGCAGGCTGTAGTATATATATGAATATGATGAAACTACTGATAATGGAGTTCGATAAAGCAAGAATTTTTGAATAATTTTCTTGAAGAATGGCAAAAGTGTTCTATCATTGTGCATAACAAATTATGTAAAATTTAAAAATGTAATGAACATATAAATTGGCATAGGTGAAATTATCTTTTGAATGAATTTATTGTGCAAAATTATAGAATTAGATAATTTACAACGTAATTAAACAATTACAGCAACTGGACGATTTTACGCGTGAATTAACTGGTCAGTGCTTGTGTCAGTGCTTTTTTACCAGTTACATTAGATGGTGGCAATGAGGTTGTTCTCGATGTTGTAGAACTTTGTTGTTCAGAGGTAGCGAGAGGATACGAAGTAGAGTGTATACAACCCTGGTCGGCCCTACTATCGCAATCGGTAGTTGGGCTGAAAGTGGGTGTTGGCTGGGGTGTGGCAGTATGTTTTGAATTGAGTTGGTCAGTAACAGTGGATGGGTCAGAAGTAGAAGGGTTGTTAGGGTCAGTGGGATCAGGACAAATTCTATCGCCACGATTTAAACATTCTGTTGTAGCCTGGGTGGAAAGATTTGGTCGGGTGGATTTAGACGGGGTTGAGCTGGAAGTAGATTCTGGACTAGAATCCGGGGTAATTGTGGATTGGGTGGGTTCGATACTTGTTTTTTTATTAGGTGTAGTGGTGATGGGGGTAGTGGTTATCGGTGGTGGGTTTTTTTCAGTTGTAGACATTGTTGTGGTCACTGGTTCTGTCCGAGGTGGAGTCTTCCCCAATTCTCCAATAAAAAAAGCACAATACTCACTCTAGTGTTTCGATTTATAGAAAGCCGTAAGCTAAGCAAGGCAATGAGAGATTTTTTTTTCTATATGGAAACTAGTCCATGGAAAGAGCTACATAACAAAATGAAAACCAGCAGCCTAAATGCCTATAAATTCGCAAAATACTTTAGGTTTCACTGTTAAATAATAAAAGATGAGAAATGCAGAAGCTGTACATGGCATCCATCACCTATACTGAGAAATATGTTTGAATGAAGAACTTAAAATAACATAAAATATGATCTACAAAATTAAAAATAAATCATAAATATTGATTGCAAAAATTTTCAATTTTGAAGGTTGTGAAAAAAAATAGTCAAAAATAACTTGAGTGAGAATAGAGAAATCGGAATTCCATATTTCGCTAAGCTAAAAGCACAGCAAATGCATAACAGATTGAATTGTGTGAAACCGCAATTAATGAAGCAACCTACCGTAACATGCAATATTAGGATTTCCCCAATATCCATCAGCACAATCTCCGCAAGTTAAACCACCAAATCCATCTTTGCACTCGCATTGTCCAGTGTACTGAAATATCAAAAACTAGTTAATATAAAGTATGGTTACTTACACCTTTAACCCAAACAAGGCTCTATAGAGGAACTGACTTGAAAATTGTTAAAATATTGACACAATGATCAGGAAGCTCTAGCCAACTGAAGATAATTGACTATATCTAGCTTAACGGTATGTACTACGAATGGATAATTTAATAATATCGATCATTGGAAAATTTATTTTTCAAAATATATCATTCTGCTAGCTTGAGACAAATAAATTAAATTATTATCAATGATGTATATTTTACAAGAATTCACACTCGAAACTACTACATTTTTACCACATAAAGCAGGGGTCGGCAACCTACGGCCGGATACGGCCCGCGGAGCAATATAATCCGACCCGCGACGCTTCACTGAATTATAGTAACAAACTATAACTGTTTTGTCGATTATATTCTTTACGCAAAAGAATTTACGTGTAGACTAAATTATATTATAACGTAACAAGTATATAATTCACAATTACTCTTTTACTAAGCCTATAACTTAAATATAATTTAGACAAATGAAAACAAAACGCAGAAAAGTGATGCTAAGTGCAAATGGCGCAAAAAATATTCAAATGGTCAGTCTTCGCGCGCTGCTTAAAATTTAACTGCTGATCTGTGTGATAAAATGTAATTCATCGGTCATCCATTCGATTTTTAACATTTCAAAAATATGTGCGGCCCGCCAATGACTTGCAACCTTTAATTATGGCCCGCAAATTGAGATCAAAATGGTTAAAAATATTCAACAAACCTCATTACAAGTTGCTCCAAGCGAGTTAGTCTCGTGACAATTGCATGGAATGCATCCTTCACCATTGGAACCTCGATAATGATTTGGTAAACAGCTTTCACATCTTCGGCCAGTCATGTTGGGCAGGCAAGGACACTGACCAGTATTCATGTCACAATGACAATGTCCACCAACACATTGTGACGGCTCAGTTCCAGCGACATCACATGCACACACTGAAAAAACAAGAGTTTTCAGTTTTTTCTGCTTATTCAGTGATTAGCGTAAAAGTCACTGATATTCAGAATCAAGATCCAACTAATGCATGGCAGAATGGATACAAATCTGTTAGGTATTCTCTGCTACCATATCATTTTGTATCAATAAAATTTGCACAAGGTTGCGTGACCTAAATTCCTTACGGAACGAAAGTGGACAATAAGAGTATGATTTCAAATATATATTGGTAATTTGAGGAAAAATATCAACTGAAAACGACAAAAAACAACTCTATTCCTTACATCTGCAATCTTTTGATAAGGCATTTCCATAGTAGAAATCTCTGCAAACTTCGCAATGTGGACCTGCAGTGTCGTGCAAACAAGCTGTACATTCTCCTGTGCTTGCATCACATGCTCCGGGATTTGAAGGGTCAACATTGCCGTTACATTCACAAGCGATACACTGACCACCGGCTGCATGTGGATTTCCGTAGTGTCCAGGAGCACACTGATTGCAGGTTTCACCTTAAAAATATAAATCATTATCAATAAATATTTCTGAGTAAATGAAGGTTTAAAAATCATAGCTTCCAAGTTATGAAAGTGTAGGTAAGTTTTTTTTTTATATCTTCAACCTGGGTGAGTATAATGCACCATGGCCTCAACCCGATTTGTCAGGTCAGATAAAGTAACAATGGACAAGTAAATCCTGATCTATTTCAAGTGTCCTGTTGCGCTCTTTTTTATTAACAATGCTTATGCTGCCTTTCGCTTTAAACAAGTTCCTGTACAATCCATCTAACATGAAATATTAAGTATCAATTCAAGGTTGTTTCAATTGCAATGGTTTTTGTTTAACTATATAATGAGAAATATATTTTAAATTTCTGATATAAATTAATCTGAACCTTACCTGTATATTGTGGCATGCAGTCACACAAAACTTGATTTGTGCCAGTCAGAGGATCATATGTTTCGCTGCATGTTTGTGCGAATTGTCTGCTACTGTCTGGTCCACCAGGACACATGCAGGGTTTGCATTGATCTTGGCTTCCAAGTCTTGGATCTCCATAATATCCATCTTCGCAACTGTTATTGAAATATATCGATGAAAAATACAGCGAGAGATTTTGAAATTTACAGCGATAATAAAAAAGTTGCGATTTTTTATTGAAATGAAATGAAGTTGTAGATATCGCCAGATAATCATAAGATAGTTAGTTAGGTTTTTCATATATGAATATCTTCATATTTTATATATGTTTTTAAAACAATGTCAATTTCATGTAATCTGGATGGAAGAATTCAAATCACAAATCACAATATAAATATACATAATTTTGTCAAACAACAAAACTCAAATACGGGCCACAAAATTGTATTTGTGGTTATTTGATATATTTTATAAATAACTTTTACAAATAACATTAATAACAGAATTAATTTAATTTTAATACTTACAATTCACAATGATCACCAATTGTGTGTTGCCCACAGTTCAAGCACATTCCTGTATCCTGGTTGCATTCTTCAGCATGTCCATTGCACTCACATGGAATACATTCTGGGAATTTATAGAACCCTACTTTGCATTGATCACATTGACGTCCAGTAATGCCTCCATTTCTGCAAGTACATTCTCCTGTTTCTGTATTGCAGTATTCAACATCTGGTGACCTAGCACCGTCAACATTGCAGTCACAAGCTAGAATAGGAAATAGATTGTAAGTAAAATCAGCCTATTACACCTGAGAGATGTTCGAACCTCAATAATAGGAGAAATATATATAACCATCATACACATAGAGTTAAAAGAACACTAGAAATAGCCAAAACCCATTACTATTTATTATAGGAAATAAAAAAAACAATTTACGTTTGCAGCCATCTGGGCCAAGGCCAAATGTTCCTGGAACACATTTGTCACATTTTCTTCCCATAACATTAGGTTTGCAAACACATTGTCCTCCGTTCTTTTCACAGATTGAGCTAACACTTCCCTGAGGGTCACAATCACAGGCTGAAAAGAAAAATAGTATTCAAAATGTGTAACATTTGAAAATGTTGAAAAAGTAAAAAAATCTATCATTTGGTTTGAAGCATGGAAGGAGATAACAATATATACATTGATATAGACTTTTTGATATTCAGTACTGCTATCCTTGTGACTCAAGTTACAGACATATACAGTACAATGTATATTAAAGTTATTTAGTACAGTAGGTTACGTGTTTGTGATGGTATGTTGTGAAAGTATTTTCAAAACATCATTCCATATTTCATAACATATAAAAATATTATTTTTTTGCTAGTGAATCCTTAAACAGGTCACACACGAAAAAAAAGAATTAAAATATCAACTATCACTTTAATTTGCGTATGTGCAAATATGGTTAGCTGGCAAAATTTATTACTCAAACTTACCTAAAGCACCATCATGCAAAATAGCATTCATAGAAAAGACAAGTCCAGCACAAATTTCATTCTGAGGTTGTTTGGGCAACTGCATGGCTCTGTCTTGGCATTTCAGTTCATCGAATTCTCTAGATCTTTCTGCACCGGCTATAGATCCATGGAACATACTTATTCCAGAGTAGTTGGCAACGAGGACAAGCTACAATAGGAATTAGATATTTATTGAATGCTGTTATTGTGTTGTATACTTGTGTGCTCATATGGGTTTTGGCGGGAAAACACAATTAACATAATACCATCTATACAAAACCTCCACCAAGTGTATAATGAATCCAACATAAAATTATTTTTCAAATTGAGATACAAGTTTGGTATTCAGTTAGCGCTGTGGTCGTGGTAATAGTTACCTTTGTTTTGAAAAATCAAAAATTCAATAATGAAAAATATCTTACTGAATCGATGTTAATGCCTTCCATACCATCTGGGAATTCAAATCGAACAGCATAATTGTATTCCATTTCCAAACAATGTGAACCTATAACAGAAGATGAAGATATTAATTTTGTATGAAGCTGGAAAAGTCTAGGTAAATTGTCGCTGCCATTTTATAATCATAAGACTTATACAATAGGACATACAAAAAAACATTTTGCGGAAATAGAAATTTTGATATCAAAATTTAAATCAACTCCAAAAACATTTTGCGGAAATAGAAATTTTGATATCAAAATTTAAATCAACTCCAAAAACATTTTTATGAGTAATAATTCTCAATGATATTGAGAAATTCCAATGCTGATTAGTATTTTTATTAACATTTCTTACCAAGATTCTCGAATGAAGTTGGATGACCACGAAGTGAAGCAACCCAATCATCATCACCGGGTTTAGTATTATCACATGGGCTTCCTACCGGAATGTTTCCAGCATTTGGTCTAATTATAGTAACTTTAACATTGTCCACTGTGACATCATTCTGTATAAACATATATTTAAAATTGTAAAAATTATCAACTCAGCAGTTTAGGTGTTGATTAGATTTGTAATAATATTAGTAATTTATTCGATAGGGGTTCACATTACAAATGTTTCTGTAAAGAAAGCTATCCCCAATTAAAATTTTGCAAAATTTAAGAATATAATAAAATAAACACAAGGCATTTATTATATGACAAATTCAGATGCATTTCCCTTGGCCATTATACAAAATATATTAATACTTGGACCGCACCCCTGTGGTACGTCCTGACATTTTGTCATCTAAATTGTTTTCAACTGCAAGAATTAAATATTTTACTCACATAAGGTACATATCTGAGAACAAAATCATAATCCATAGAAGCTGGCAATCCCGATACAATGAATTCGATGATTCCGTTAGCCCGAACCATTTTGAAACCATATCCAGTCCAAATCATTGGTGGTGCATATTTCTGGTTATATCTGAATGTATTCTAAAAGGAAAGTATTTAAATTAAAACTACTACATGGCAACATTACAATAAAGAGAAAAACAGCGTAATCAAAAGTAGATAAGATTTGTCACCAGTAACAAACAAGATGTGAGCTTTCAAAAATTGTGTGGCAACTTAAAGAAAAGTCATAATTTTTTACTGTTTTAGACAATTTAGATCAAAAATCGAGGGGATTTTGAAGCATCATAACTTCAATAATCAGAATTAGTTGATTATACAGTTATTGGCATCATTGAATCATTAATAGCTTATAACATAATACAGAAATGTATGGAGTTCTTTTACTTACAGCAAATGAATAATGCGATTCAAATTGCTATACAAACCTCATTTCCATATACATCTTCTGCTTCAAATGTATAATGATCCAAGAAAGGCACAAAGAATCCTGCTTCAGCGATGCTGCATTGTCGAGCAGTGATATGGGGTCGGCAATCACACTGACCAGTGGAATCATCACAGTCATTGTTATAAGAACCACCCACATCACAATTACAATCCCGACATCCACCACTGTCAGCACTAAGTCCCCAGGTTTGAGGCTGAAAATTAATGTAGATGTGAGAATTTGATTTGGTAGAAGACACAAAAATACACAATATGAAAAATTACATTTATATACAAAAAATCTTTTTCAAGAACTACAGTTATGTGGAATTCGCTACCTCCTAGCTGTCTTCATGATCGCATTGACATGATCTGCTTAAAGTGTCAGTCCAATCGGTATTTACTAACAAACAATTCTACATTACAATTCATTATAGTCTCAGCAGCTCTAATGGTCATCCGTAACTTTGCTCATAGATATCAATCTCCTTTATTTCTGAGCCAGTGCATGTGACCTTGCTTCGAGCTTTGATCTTGCTTTTCTTTTATAGAATTTTTTTTTCAAATAGAATAAACATACGGTAATAGTAAAAGGATATTACAAATGTACAATACTGAATTTTTTTTTAATTTTCTACCATGCATTAAAATAAACATAATAGTCTTTTACAAACGTACTGCACATTGATCACATCTTCTTCCAGTAGTATGTCTCTTACAAATACATTGTCCAGTGGTTGGATCACATTGGTTGCTACCATCGAGTGTGCCGAGAGAATCACAATCACAAGCTATTTAAAAATCAATCAGTTATGATCAAATTTATTGCCCAAAAACTTGGCCATCTTCACTGAAAGTATCAGGTGTTCTGTTCCGCCTATGTGAAAAGCTATTCTAATAGTCCAATTTGTGATTAATTCTGGTTATCGGCCATCTGAACTGAAAGTACTAAGTCTCTGTTTAGCCTATGTGAAAAGCTATTATAACGGTCAATTTGTTATCAATTATAGATACCCAGTTATTTACTGATTGATGGTTCATTAGATAAATGTGTTTATGGCCCATGGATTTCCTCTATGTACTTCCAACAATTAATTTGACCATTTCCAATTAGCTGAACCTCAGCATTGGTAAAAAAATTAGGCATATAATTTTGTTGCATTAGAAGCACAACAAGTCTTTCATCCAAATAAAACTATGCCTAATGTAATAAAATAACTATTTAATTGACAGATAATGTAAGCCACAGTAGTTTTCCTATATCACCAAAAAAAATACACACGTGTGCATCCGAAGTCGTTTGTTTCATCCAAGTTATAATATCCTGGTTTACATCTGTCGCACCTTTCACCTTCAACATATTGTCTGCATCGACACTGACCAGCAATCATGCCAAGGTCAGAATCTGTTCGCCCATCACACATCCCATCGTTCAAGGAACCAGCCACCTCACAATTACATGCTGATAAAATTTGATTTACAAATAAAAAATTAAAACACAAAAAAACGTAGATAACACCATAAAACAAATTATTTAGACTTGTTTATAAAGTGGTCAAGCTTAATTTTTCAGGTACTCAATTAAACAATATAAGTTTCGAGATTTTGTTCACAGTATTTGATTGTATGTCACAATTTGTCATTATTTATAGGAAAATGCAAAGATATCCCATGATAAAACTATTTAACAATACAGTTTTTCCTGTGGAACCACACCAAACAAAACAGGCTATATAGCGTTCTAAGACAAATATTGGTTGAAATCGAAAGCAGTACTCAATATTACAAACAAATTTTATAGATATCAATTTGTATGAATGATACTCCTTGCTTTCATGGATACTCATATCTCACCACAAATAGTATTGCATTCTTCGATTTGGAATGCTCAGAAGATCCAAACGACATACACCACGGTTTCACCTTTTAATTTCACATAATACATTTATTTCACCGAAAACACTTTTAACTGACCTTCACAAACATTAGGGTCACGGATGTCTCTCTCAGGATGATGATAAAAGAATGGTCGACAGAGTTCGCAGTTTCTTCCAATAGTATTATCTCTGCAATTATCGCACACTCCTCCAGATTCACCACCAGTGGCAGCATAAACAGCGGCATCAAAATGGCATTCATCAGCATGGTTGTTACAATTACACCCTGTAAATAGAAGGGGAATTTCAATGAAACGTGGTTGAAAAGCTGTTTCAAAGTGAGCAGCGAAAACGCTGGACCCATCTGTGCTGACATCTTGAGTTCAACACACATGCTCTCATTCTCACCTCACTCAGAGTATGAAAAATTGGGTGGGAGATGCAGAGACAAAAAATTCTGGTCCTTCTAATAATAGTAAATATTTGCATATAACTGGATTCTTTTACAGAAAAAATTAGTATTGAGTAATTTAAGATGCTTACATATGGCCTTGTTCACATTGAAGTCGAAAAAAAACCACTTAAAAAATCAGCATTGAAATATATACATCGAGGAAGGCCCAAAATACAGATAGGTATGATTTTGAGGAAATTCCAAACTCATTCTATGATGAGAAATACTTTATACTGGTATATACATGTTCTATTTTAAATATTAGAACTCCTTAGGAACATTGGTAAGACAATAGGGAAAAATACATGTTCACTAATATCATTTACTAGTAACAGGACCTTTCATTTTCAACAAAGCTGGCTTATTAAATAGGAAAATAGATACTACTGGTAATCGGAAATTGTTCTTGGATAAATCTTTCTCGATAATAATGTACCAATTAACACAGATCAAAGAGTTGAATGAAACAGCTAATTAACACGATAGCTTTTTAATCTGTATATGATAATTCTTCGGCTCGTACAATCGCGAGTACACTAATTTATTAGTTACATTTATAGTAATTGGCAGGTGCGAATATTTGTGAAATTATATTACATGACGTAGCGCGTTTGGGATTACATTAAAATCAGCGTTGACATAATTTTTGTTTAGCAATGTTAAATAATACTATTGCCTGCCATCCGAAGGAAATAGGACTCCCACTGCCTCCAGTGCTATAAATGTTCGGCCACGGAAAAAAAATGAATTATTTCCGATAACGACTAGATTTAATGGCGCACACCAAATCTAATTTATTATGAATAAAATTACGAAAATTTCACTCTTTTAATATTTCGCCATGTTCGATCATCGAAAGCAGGGGAGTAACAAGAGAATTCAGTATAATTGGACAATTTTCCACATATAAACAAAATTAAATTTTCGCGAAATAAAAGTAACATAGGGAAAGCGTTACCTCAGCCCGTAACGCAAAACGCTGACGCACAGGAAACCTACTTTTTATTACAGGCGCCGTCTTCGACAACTTAACTTTATTTAAGTATAAAGTATTGGTAGAATCGGGGGAAGTAATACAAGTCGATATTTCCTAAAGCGGGTCAATAGTAACAGTATTGGAATGAATAGCGACTTCGAGTCAAGCACGACGCCGCGTAGATATGGCGAAATGAATTCAGAAACTCTTAAATTTTAGTAGTAAAATTGCCGACTTAAGTAACATAATTACACAGATTGGACAGTTTTAAAATGTCAGGGTTTTGATATATAATATATGAGGACAAAAATAAAATCTTATCCCTATTTTTTTACAGGAGACAATCTGACATTGTCTGTATTAGGTAAGTACGTCTTATTATCACGTGAGTAATTTCAGCAGATAACATTTTAGTCACTTACGTTTGCATTCGTTAGGTTGTCCTCTGTCAGCAGGTCGCCATGGTTGATCATGGTAAAAGGGAAGACATTCATTACAGTTGAGACCTTGGGTGTTGTGCCGACAAACACATCGTCCATTTACCTATTTTGGGCACATCCAAAGTTCAACAAAAATTAAAAAGCGAAATGACACTCAAACCATAACAATCTAAATCTTGATTATAGTTGTTAAATGCAAGAAGTAATCGAAACAAACTAAGAATAGAAGTGAAACAGTATTTACCAATTAGCCGAAGGTAAAATAAAGAATTTATAGAAGAGAAAAATAATATTAGAAATAATATAAAATAAATAAATATATAAGCACTAACAGAAATAATAACACCAATTCACCAGTATACACCATTGTAATGAATTTTATCAAGAGATCACCATAATGTAATAACACCAATGATATATAACTGTCTAATCTATTACTATTCGTGCAAAATTGCTCATAACTACCTACTGCAATTTGATATCAATATTAATTAAATAAAATTAAATCTTAATAGGACCTTATCTACGCGAATTATAATCTAATCTCAGATTTTAAAATTAAATTAGTATGTTTCGATGCAAACTGTGTTGTTGCATTCCATTGCAAGCGTGAGTGTACGTTGCATGATTATGTGTTGTGAAACCATTAGTTTTATTTTTGATTTTCTTTTTTTTTATCAAATAAGTAAGGCCCCAATACGGAACCTTGGGACAATCATTAGAGTGCAAATGCATGTATAAATCATTTTTTCATACAATTGATTCATACAAATAATATTGCATTGATCATGATGGCAGGGATTGATCAGAACCAGACCTCTTGAATTATGTATCGATATGGAAAAAGAATTTCAGAAATTTTATCAAGTGAAGCATTTTTTTTTTCAACCAAATACCAATACATAATAAGAGTTCTGGAAATAACATGCAAGCAAGCTCTGGGTTTAAAACTTAAAAATCATATTTTTGTAATTAACAACATAAGCCCTTTCTTCATAGAAGATGATTGAAATCGAGGATAAATATCAGCGAAGTGTTTAAACTAGGGTATCCAATCGGAATATTGGATAAACTCTACTATGGGGTCAGCCTATACACGATGCATTAATACTGCATATTCTTAGTCCAAAAATATCGCCTAATGAAAATTATGCGATGCCGTAATTAAATACAATAATGTAGATAAATAACTTTCCCTAAATTAATCTGCCCCGTATTTTGCAAGTTAAATTATATTTGTTTCATGTTAAAGCTGTATTAAGACAGAAGCCACCACAATTTGTTGTTGCTAAGCTGTGCCACATAGTTCTGTGAGGACATTCAGAACCAAGATGGCATAAATTAATATTAGAGATGTACCAATATTTTATGCCTAATCCCATTCAATAATAATTACCAAGAAATAACTAGAAAAAAAAGTTTTTCGATGAATATCTCCACCTAATTATGAATATTTTTGGAAGTAACAAATCACGCCATCAAAATTTTGTTCAAACAGTTTATATGAGAGTACATATTCAAATTCTTGTCATGAAGAATGGACAAACGGAATACTAATATAAAACAATTATAAAGAATTGCCCAAATTGTCTAACTTTAATAGTGTGATTAAATTATACTTTTCCAAACATGAAAAAAATATTGGTACATCAATAATATTTATTTTTTATGGTAAAAGCATAGACTAAGGCTTATTACAATCAATCATTCGGTGGCATTCAAGTTAGCTTGTTGTTGTGCCTACCTGATCCCCAGCGTCTTTCGGTTTGCGCTTATGGAGAAAAAAGTGGAAAACATCACTATATTTCACCAAAAATACACCAATGAAAATGGAAAACAAGAAAGGGGAATAAATGGGCAATACACCAGAAATAACCTAGTCACAACAACTACATAACACCTTTTTTCTATTGAGGTAAATCTGAAAATTTTGATCCTAATGTGTGTATCACACATGGCAATGTTATTCACAATCACAAAACCTATGGTCATTATTAGTTGCACTTTTGCATACTATTGATGCAAATTCTTTATGAAGGAACTGTATATTGAATTGTGCTTGATTGTGATAGGGATGTGCAAAAATATGGTTGTAATTCATCCATATCTTTTTCTTTATACTTGCATATTGACAATGAATTAAAATCGCTTTCAAAATGAATTATGAAAGGCATAAGCGGTCGGAAAGTAAGTGCCAAAACTGGAAATTTAATTTAGATTAAACATGGTTTATGTATGAATCACAACTCAAGTCACACTTTTTATGTGATAAAAAAAAAAAAGATAAATAATTTCGTTGCAATTGTAAAATTATACCAGACTAGTAAGGCTCTCATTTTCCGACCACTAAATGCCAGATGAAATTATGCAATATCTGAATTTGGATTGTTACAACACTCTGTCTTTTATCAATCAACAAATTCTTTATTTTTGTTGAATGTGGTTGATTGTTCGTGCTATAATATGATGCATTCGAATTCGCTCCCATGCTTTGAAAAACATTTTTGGAATTGAACCCCCTGGATATACTTACTTTCTGTTGTATTAATTCATTATCATAGACATAGTCCAACTGAGATAAAAATTCTCATTAGTACATAAGATAGAAAGCAAAACAGAGTAAAAAGTAAAAGCAATAAACTTAGAAAATAATATACAGAATAACTGTAGCTTAAGAAAAGAAGCATAAATACATTCAAAGCATATGCTTGCCACCATATATGCAATTTATAAAGAGAATAAGAATTAGAAAATCTATCCTGATTTTTTTCTACTATTCGAATTGAATAGGACATTTGAAATGTTAGAAAGATTCTAAAAGTTTCCTTAATTTAATTATCACATATATTATAAAGAAAAATAGCAGAATATATGAACCTTTCTCGACTAAGAAAATCTCTTTAATACAAATAAGCATTTCACAGTAAAAAATAAGAAAACTAGAACTAAATCTCTTTTCGGCAACAAGGAATTTTAGTTGGAAAGGTTTAATGATTGCTAATATATTATATTATTTACCTGGAAGAGATCCCTTCTAACAAGATCAGGACGTTCCAAAGAAGCATCGATTGGTCGACATTCATCAGCATGACCATAGCAGAAGCAATTTCCACGTACAATCAATTCATAAAGAGAATAATAATATTTTTCTTTGATGTTTTCTCGGTTGTCAAGAAGATCATCACCAAGGGTATGCATGTGGGTGAAATTGATTCTGAAAATAAAAAAGAAAGTATTTTCATAAACATGATGAAGGCCCATATTATGAAATAGTTCAGAGCCAAAAAAAATCACTTTCGAACAAGATATACGAAGAACGCAAAACAAAAGATCGCATGTGTGAATGCACTTTATGTACATAAACAAGCATTACTGCTAAGAATTAATTCTGCAAATACCATCTTAACAGGTTTTAAAGTTGAAGTTTATCATGTTTTTACTGGAGTGGAGTACTCTCAAACTCCCTACAGTCAGAGATAAAATTCTGTATTCGGCGAAGTCAGAATCAGAATCACAAATTTTCAATGGGTATGGAAGCAACCAAAATTTTCTCCAGAAACCAGATAAGAATTAAATTTAGTACACATCCTTGCATATGGCAAGTTTTATTAACAAAACTATTTTATTGGAGTTGGGTCCTGGAGTCATAGTCCAAAATTTTTCCAACCCTGAGTCATGAGTCAATGGCAATTTTGCCCTACTTGTACATTCTCATACTCTGATACAAAAATATACGGTAGTTTAAAATAGACATTTTTGCAACACAAATAAATAATCCCCTAACAAACCTGAGATTAGTAATAGTGAGAAGATCCTGAATCCTTGGTGAGTATGGATCATCAAATGGGATCAGAGAAGGTTCCAGAACTTTGTAAATCAATTCGCCCTCGGTAGATGGTTCAATGAGTGAGTAACGACTATCACAGATGACTTCATCAATTTCCCGGGGAGGAAACTGAAACACAGAGATGGGACATTTAGACAGTTAAAAAGAATCTAAGGCAAGAAGGTGGTATATCAACCAAGCAAAATATTCTAGAATAAATATATCATTATATCTGATTACGGTAAGTTATAATTTTGTTGTATAATATGTCATTGCCAAATTAGGAAATTCAAAACTAGTATTGAAGGAAAATTTACCAATACAATTTTACAATTGTTTGGATATATACATCTTTGACCAAGATCTAAATAACTGAAAAATAAGTGAATTTCAATTTCACATTACCTATATTGGCTCAACTTGAAACGTGATACTAACCAGGGGCATATCGGGATAAAACTCGTTGCAGTCATAAGCGAAGTATCGGTACACTCTCCATGTTTTGCCATAATCGTTTGATCTTTCAATAATCATAGCAGCAGGACGGAAGGTCTTGAAAGTCATAATCAAGTGAGTGAAGTGAAAAGCAGTTTCCAAATCAAGTCTGATTGAGACTTTATCGACTCCATTTTCAGATTGCCACCATGTTCCCAGTCTCTCACGGAAAGTCGTGATAACATTTTCAACATTGTGATTTGTGGATTGATCACGGGCATCACAAATAAAGCACTTTTCTTCATCTTTCAAATGACTGAAATGATTAAAAATTGAACAGCATTAGAATTTATGAACATGCGTTCATTTGAATTATGTGAAAGCAAGTATTCAATATCCGAAGCAAATTGCAACAATAACTGAAGAAATATTGATAGTTTGTATAGCAAAAGTAGTCATTGATGCAAAGTGCACAACTGGTATATTACCTGGTATATTACCAGTTGTGCATGTATTACTATCATTAATGAACCTGATAGCAACCACTTCCAAAAGTCAATCACGCTTACAGCTCAAAGTACCATGTTCACAAATAATTTAAGCCTATTTTGTCAGTATGTTTTATGGAGATTAATTCATAGTACTGTAGTAATCTATACCTAACAATGCAGTAGTTTTCTGGGCCCTTTTGTCCACATGTTGATGTGGCTGTTAATCTATCTTCTCTGCCAACCAACAAATCGCCAATGTCAGGATAACAACCTTGACCATCACAAGGACTAGTCTGTGCCGTAGATATGTGTAAAACTGAAAAACAAAGATGAAAGATACTATAAAATTTGAAAAAATTTGCATAGATGTACCATGAAAATACAACCATATCTCTACATTGAAGAATACAGAATAGTTTAATCTAATAACCTACTTCAGTACTTAAAGGCTTTTATATACAAGTGTTTTGTCATTTGAATAGATATAATTCAATCTTTCTGATCTTTTTATATAAAATATAAACAACGAAGATATCTTACCCGATAATACGGCTCCAATCCATAATAAATTCCGCATTTTGTAGACCTCAGTATTGCAGTTTACCCTGTTTATTACTAATTGGTCTACAATAGTAAGGGTTTAACTTTTCTAAAATAAGATAAGAAATTCTTTGTAATTTTCAACGAATATTTCAAAATTGTACAGTCCTGAATAACAGCATTTTTCTGTAACAAAACCTTATTTATAGATTCTTCATAATTCTACCACATAAAACATAGGCCCGCGAAATGCCGATGCTCTGGGCGCCGCCTTACTTCGATCGCTCTGCGAACAACTTTCCGTCTGACCGATCAGCCGGTATTCCTATTTAATCATTTTAAATCGGCGACGGCAATAAGGATGTCTAGCACACTTCCATTTCCGTACCTGTCTAGATCGGCTTCTCACCTGGTTTCTTCGAGACAAGGATTTCAATTACCGCCTACCGCCAAGCAATCATATTATGTTCGTTTTAGCTAGGACAAAAAGTAAGATACAAAATATCCGGTACGAAACTGGTAACTCAAACAATTTGCTGTAAGCAACCCATACAATGACTGAATTTTGCGAAAGAGACGTCAAAAACAACTGAAACGATCCAGGCTCGCCTTTTCCCATTGTCGGACACCATTAGAGGTCTGCGCAGAATAAATCTTTTGCATAATCGTTTCATATTGAAACCATCTTCTGGCGCGCAAGTTGAGAAATACAGGTATATTCATCGCTAATTCTCGTCTCTGTCGGGTATCTTTCCAATTATAGGCAACGGATGGGGAGGCGCAATACTTAGATGTTGCATATTCGAGATCCCGTTCAGGCACCTTGCAAGGTAGAAACAAAACATCAACTTCCTCTTCCATCTCATACCCCGATTTCAGCACTCCTATTCATTGAACAAAATTATAAACTATTCAACGTGGCATAGGTACTCGACAATTTAACAAATTCCCCAAACCGCAGACCGCTAATTCCGCTGCCAATCCGACAATTAAAAACCTTTTCAACTTCGACTGAGATTGGCAATAAATGATAAACGACTTTCAATTGTGTCATCTTTTATTCGTACAAAAGTAAAAGTAAATTAATAATAATAAAGAAAAAATCTTGATTGTGAACATAAAATAGGTCGCGAGTGCCAGAGCTCAGTTCCCACTAATCGTGCATTGAACATCCATGATATGTGCGTGTGAGAAGAGATCCATACTTGCCCCACACATGGCCGGCGATACAAACAAAAAGAAAAAAATACGGGACAAAACAGCACCGCTGTGAGTCGGCGGGAAATTGCGAGACGAGGTTACGCCTCAACGGGGTCTTCGCAGTTTGACGCTAAATTTGCTTTGAAACCTTCGATGCTCTGAGTAAACGTGTCATTGATAATAAAAGAGTAATCAACACCGCCTCGACAAAAGGATCAATGCGCCTTTGACGGGATTAAGTAGTCTTGGCCTAGATATTTTGGAAATAAATACAGACAAATCTCAGCAAGCCAAATAGTGAATCTAGCTGTGAGTGTGCAACTTCGCAAAAGGAATCCAAACTTATAACCATTGCAAGTAGGCATGCTCGGGCTATTCAAAAAAGACGTTTATCGACCGACTATACTTAGATGTATAGCAATTTTTTCATACTGATATTGCTGTCAGAAGAACACATTAATAATATGGTGGATTTTTCAAAAACCACAAGCCCTTAAAATAATGGCAATCACATTTTCAATGAAAATCTAAAATTTATCATTAACCCATAAAATATTTAAATAATCATCATGACTTTTTAATTATTTTATTCTAAGACACAAACCATGTTTATTAGACCAGCTATAGATTTCGGTTACCAGCCGACAAAGCAATGTTTTATATCACCCAAATGGAAAATATAAACCAATATGAATGATTGTTTCGAAGTGCATAAATATGCAAGAAAAAATGAATCAAAGACATTGTTCTTTCTAATAGTCGGCACTTTGATGGGAATATCATATCCAAATTGACCAACACCTAATACATATTGATGTATGACAGATGACAGCAGCAGAGTGGATTTCGTAATTGTATGAATTCAATGGTTAACAAAAATGAAATAAAAACATTTCCATGATGGTTAGATTGATATTATAAGAAAGAAATAAAGGAATATCGATGCAGCAAACAGTACTGAGCAATATTGAATAATCATAAAAGTAATATACAAACATTGCATACAGTGTGAGTTAGTTGATTTTGCAAAGTATGAATACTGTAATAATTTCACTAGAAGATCTTTTGATCTAATTTGAAAGCTTGAAGTCTGCTGACCTGGGTGTTACATACATCAACGACAAATTGTCAACAATTAATCGAGTGAAATTTGCAATATATCACTTACAGCAGGCAACCTTTTGTCGCTCGCGGGCCAAAATAAGGGTTGCAAGTCATTGGCGAGCCGCATATATTTTTAGTAATTGAAAACCAAACGGATGATATTTTTTATAATGAAAATGAAGGAGGGATACATCTCTCGAATAGAATATATATTTATTCCCTCATTGCATTGCATTTTTGGCGCCATTGACCCTTTTGCATTTAGCATCAACTTTTCTGGGTTTTGTTGCCATTTGTCTAATTATCATCTAATTATAGGCTCATTAAACAAGTAATTGTGTATTTTATACTTGCTAGATTATAATATAATTTAGTCTGCACACGTCTCGCAATGAATTTTGCAACGTGAAAAATATAATCGTCACAACAGCTGTTTTGTTACTATAATTCAGTGAAGAGTCGCGGGCTGGATTATGTTACGGCCGTAGGTTGCCGACCCCTGACTTACAGTATGGTAAAAGGGATAGAAAGACATACCAAACTATTATTATAAATGATTGTTTTCAAACATTATTGCAAAACCAGTCAAAACCAGTTTCATCACAAAATCCAGTTCTTTTATAATTAGTCATTTGTATGTTACAAATGAAGTCAGTGATGGGGTTTGAAATTTTAAGAACAGGTTCTCTTTTGTATCTGAAAGAGGTTTGGATTGGATTTGAAATTTTAAGAACAGGTTCTCTTTTGTATTCAAAGTAGGTTCACCATGCACAAAACCTATAGATTTATAAAAACAGAATGGGGTTTGCAGATTATCACAAGATTCCAAAATAGATTCAAACAGGTTTGTGACCTGAATGCTAACACTGGATGAAGTGCCAATGGAAAGAGTGAAAAATGGACAAATTATATTACAAAGCATATTACAGTAATGCAATAGCGCTGATTAAATATAAATTTGTTTTTAATACACCACTCCAACTGTTTGACAAGTGCTTTAGTGTGACAACAAAAATAATTTCAGAGATTTTGGGATATTGTGAAAACGACTTCGTATATAAGCTTGATTGTTCATTGCATCATTTCACTTAAACTATTTGATTTGAAAACATAGTAACACCCGTCTAATTAAACGAAGGTGTGGTAGACGGAATAATAACTAAATAAAATAGATTATACAAATGCCGACTGCAATATTGAAGATGTTACTCAACAAGAAAATTTCTGCATTTAATGATTAATTTAAAAGAACAAAAAATGATAAAAAACTTGTCATAGGTAAAATGTATCTGAGTATGATCATTAGTCAACTGCAATATAAGTATTTAATGGCTTCTCAAAGCAATGCATAAGCAAGTAATCAAGATGAGTTATTTCCAAGCATTATGCTAGAATGGCAAGAATTTTTAAACAGAAAGAGCAGTATGATTGAAAATGGGTGGTAATGTCTGAAATATAAATATTTAAGGGGTTCAATTCACAAAAAATGTCAACTGTATGTATATCCAAACAATTGTTTTCAACATTTGAGCTATTAAAAAATTTGGTAATCTATTATCCTAACTATCCACTTTTAAGTAAGGTTACTAACTAAATTCAAAAAAAAATCAAACAAATAAAATACAAATATTATTTTTTTAAATACCAATTTTACTGTTAAAGTGGCATTGTAGAAAAAAAAACATTCAATTTCGAACTTCGTATAAAACCAAATTGATTATACATCTGTATGTGATGGAATTACACGGAAACATCGATAAATTTTATTTATTTACAGTGCAGCATGGAGCAAAAATGAAAGAGACTGCGATTTAAAATTAATCAGACATTGGCTAAAAATATATGGCAACACAACAATTGCAAATACTGGCATCTAAACAGACACTTGAAAACAAAACAATAAATAACAAGAAAATTGGCAAGAAAAAGTAAAACTAAAAAAGAAATTGAGGGATGTGTATTATGCTGTTGAGTTTGTACGAGCCGATGAAATTGGCGTGTGGTTTAACACCCACAGCATTTACCATATGTGTTATCTCGTACAAAAGTTAGATTAGAATTAAACATTTCATAACATTTTTGACCTTCTTGATTTAAAATGAGGTTTTGAGACTTGAGTGTCATTGCTAAATGTAGGACAAATCATATTTCTTGTTGTTACAAGCGCCGATCCTAAACACGCTAATTTGTGAGCAGGAGCTTGCGAACCCCCAGGAAGTTGCAGCAGAACCGTGTTCACTGATGCAAATCCGTTTTCCGTAATTTCACAAGCTAACGGACTTGGCTTTATATGAGTAGTAGTTTCATCTTTAGATGAGGTTTTGGAAGCGTGCTTTTTGCCTTTAGTACTGAACCTGCCCCACGACTGTTTAGGGTCAGATTTTTGACTCGTTTTAGAAGATAAAGTATTTGTTTTACAGCGATCAGTGGAAGACTTTCGTTTTGGTTGAAACTTTTTTAAACTATTGGATCCTGGTTCTGGAAGATTTGGTGTCGAGCGATATTTAGTCCGCGGCTCGAACGCGGTTTCAGTTGGTTCATCATTGCTGGGTGAAATAGGTGGCATTGTTTTTCTTTTACTAGAAGTTTGAATCTTCCCGTTTTTACCCAGACTAACGATGGTATCCATACCATCAATATATGGATGAAGAAAAGTAGTCGATTTCACAGGACTCGGCGTCCTGCTCCCACTACTTGAAGACAAAGGTGATATCTGCCCCATCCTCTCTCCGACAGTATATTCCGTTAAGTACGTATTAGCGGAATTAAGTAGAGGTATTTTATTGGATGAATCTTCTCCGTCACCATGTGATGGTACAACCAATAACTGGTCAGTCGAGTCGCAAGAAAAATCAGTGCCTTGAGATAGTGACCTGCCAAAAAAAATGAACATATAAATCTTGCATTTTCAAATTTTTACAAATGTTTTTGATATTTTTGACTTAATTGCCATTGCAAGTTAATGATGCTGGGTGCTCATCATCATCAATATAAATTTAGTAATTTATGTTAGACCGAATAAATTTCAATCCTTGATAAAATATATTTGCTTCCTACGTATCTGCGGTCCTTTGTCTAGAGATGTGTTCTGGCTGAAATGTATGAAGCGATATCAATGAAACTTTTGTTACAGTACATTGTGCAGAAAAAACTGCATGATCAGGATTTTAGTAAACTTCAATATTTTTCTACTTATTAAGCTAGTTACATACAGAAAACATACTGAACATGGTACCCATATCATGATATAAATCTAATATCAATTCAAATAACTGTTTTGAGAATTAATCCTAAATGGAAATGTCTACATTACAAGCTTGTGTTCTCACTTTATCCACAGCGTTGATAAATAACCTCAGAAATATTAAGAAAGAGCTATCCTTATTCATTTGCCAATTTGTAAAAGATCAAACATTCTTCAAGACAATTTAATCTACCAATATATTCTTGAAATAAAAGACTGATAATGACAACAGTGGAAAAAAGCTGAATACAAGATTAACTTGCGAATAAGAATTCAACATCTCATTTCTCTACCCTACAACGCTAATGTAAATTCACTCGCTTTACCTTATTCCCGACCTCACAATCAGCAAAATTTCATAGTATTTTCTTGGCATTCCACATCACCTCTTTCTCTTCTTTAATACAAAGCAATTACATGAATTTGCTATTTATCATTTCCACCTGCTTTGCACTTCGTAATCGTTGAAAAACGTAAGCTTTTGCACTGACCGGCTAATTTTTTGCCTCCGACTGGGCCCAACTTTTGTATAAGGTAATTATTTTGCAATGTGCAATTAAAGTGGTACCTTTTAGTACCTTTTTTATTTTAGAGGTGCTCAGCTCATATGGGGAAAAATACATACCTACTCTTTTATTACTGAAAGATTAAACAATAGCCACATTCTCGTCTCTTTATGGTTAACTGTCTCGCCCAAATGTTTTGTACATCATACTTGTTAATATCTTTTCTATGAAGTAAATTAAGTGGTGCTATGCTCATTTAGTTTGGATTATCTATTTCTAAGTTCTTTACTATTGCGTCCATATGTTCTGACAGCGTCTAATTCAAAAGTATGTAAATGGTATTTTTCTGATCTGCTTCATACCAGTCTGCTTACAGTTGGCAGTACACATGTTGTGGAGCTGCCCTAAATATCAAACCTACTGTCTATATGGCAAACAGATAGGCCTCTACAGAAGAGGCAATTCAAATGGCTCTGGGTCGATACACACAATTATAATGGTGAATTCTGTATGAACATTTTGATTGGTTGTTAGGTCACTATGTCTGACCAATATCTGGAGGGAATTGACTGGTCATTTTATTTAGCGTCATTAGTTGTTGGGGCATAAGAAAGAAAGTTGTTTTATCTGCCAACTGGTGGAAATCCAAACTAACCAGATAAAGAGACAAAAACATACTTGGTAATTGAAGTAGCTTGGCGTTCATCTTCGTCATGTGGTGGAATACAATGTGGATCCAATTCCAACGACAGATGACCGACACCTTTTCTGACAGATATTTGACCAGAATGACGATGCTGTAATGATTCTCGATTCGGCGAAGTCGGCAGAGAAGAAGAGCTAGGTCCGATGATGTTAACACCAGATGTTCCCGCTACATCGTCGCTGGCGTTAGGACAACTTGGTTCAATGAAAATTGGACAAGATCGAGCTTGAAACAACTGTGTTGTTGTATCAGAAATGATCGAGCTTGTTCTGGTTTCCAATGGCTTGTTGAATTTGCCTTTTCGTGTGTAGAACAGTGGTTCAGGTATGTAGTTGTCAAGCATCACATAGATAGTAGCGAATGGCCGACTGAAAAGCAATGCATTGCACGTCAGTCCTTACCGATATAATAACATTAGTATAAATTTAAAATCGAAAATTTATAGTAATTACCATTCTTGAAAATGGAACATTTGAGCAGTATACAAAAATATTTGTATTGGTTGATTCACTGAATAACTAATAGGTGAATATTGGAGCAATCAATGAACTGTTTTTCTCCCTTCTGGATGTCCATATCCAAACTTTCAAATGTTCATAAAATGTCTTGTGATTCATTTTCAAAACTTTCAAATGAATCTTTTTACAGCAAAATCATGAGCTGCAGTTAATTTAATCCAACCGAATCCTTAGGAATCCCCTACACCTATTGATGTAAACGTGTACATTGCTGTAGCGGTCATAGTCAGGACTTCATCCTCCAACCATAACCATGTACAGTATTCAAAATGAGGAAATGGAAAGCTTGAAATGGAAAGAGATTTGTTTCACAAGATGATTCCCCTCACTTATCAGCTCATCTCTCACCACATATACGGTAAAATAGGATTTTCACTATTTTGGGCACATTTCATAAAGATTTTATTAACCAAACCCCAAAATAAAAATTTTTAATTTACACTGGCAGATGATAGCGTACTAGACAGCCCATACAAAAAAATGACATACACCCTGTTTTGTCAAATATCAAACTCACCTAGCCATATGCTGCATTTCGATATGACGTGCATGCATTGCTTGGCGAATGTCCATAACTTGTTTTACTTTCCATGTTACGATACATATTGCCAAGAATAGGAAGAAACAGGAGAAGAAAACGGAGAAAAACACAAACAAATCGATGTGAGTTTGATCCTGCGGAAAGAAAATGTAAAAATTGACATTATATAAATATAGAGTTTTTCTTCGATATTAGAAATAGGAGAGGATTATTGCATTTGTCCTGAAAAGAGGGAAAGTCTAAAAAACAGCTTTTAAAATCAGATTACCAGTCCATGTCAGGTTATGGGATTAGTTGGCCAGTTATATGTTTCAGATGCATAGACTTGATAGCAAAGGAAGTCATAACAGACCAGTGGTTATGGAATGATACTACGAAGGGGAATCGACCAGTGAACCCACGCATGGTAATCAGAGGTGCGATGGCCGATGGCAAGTGCATTCCTTACGCTTAGCATACGGCACCATACCAAGTTATTTATTTTAGATATTCCTGTAGGCTGTAGCGCTGTTCTACACTTTGGATTCTATCATTATTATATTATTTTCCTTTGTGTTGTAACCACTGGTTATCGTCAAGTGACAACAGACTGCATTTGCTACAAGGTGTTGCGAGAGTAGGAAGGTAGTTCTGTCAAGATTGGCTGTACTCAGGCACTATCTAATTTTATTGTTTAGGTTAAGATGTATTTTTCATTTCCTAAAGCCATATATTTTGTTATTACAAATATACTGTCATAACAAGCTTTAATATAATACACGTTAAGGATTTATTAATCTTGTCCATTAGTAAAATACTGTAACACAACGAAAATTTTTGATGTCAATAATGTGCTGTAGATTTGTGGAAATACATCAATTCATTCACTCCAATAAAAGCAAATTTGATTCTGGGAAATACAGAGTTTCCAAGATGGAAAAGAATTCCTCCCCGGTGAGAAATCTTATTGTTTTAAGGTGGAGAATATTACATTTACGTGTAGTATTAACAATATTCCATACTGACTTAGTATAAGTAAAAGCTACTTATGTACACATTAAAAGATGTTCAAAATGCACAAAAGCCAGAGAGCAAGTTAAGCATATCTCTAGCTAATGATCCAATGAGAATTGAAAAATGAATGAAGTGCATCGTGAGAATAAAAAGTTTTGAAATAGGCTAGGAAGGAATGAATCAAAAAAATTTGGGAACAACTGAACTAACATAAACACGGAGAGAAAGAAGCAGTAGTTTGTTGTAAGCCACTCGAATCAATTACACAACATTAATATTATATTGTTTTATTTATTTCTAAAAATTACATTTTTTCCCAGTAATGTGAGTTCTGTGTCAATAATATCATGATAAGATGTTTCAACTTTCAATGAATGAAAAAAATGATACAAAATAATATAAAAAAGAATATATATCGAATAAAAAATAATTCATTTCTTACTTGTCTGAACACCAGTTGTCCTGCAGATTTATCCAAAACTTTATACTCGATCACTTTTGACGGAGAGCGCTTATCTCTGTGCCGATCTTCTTCAACAATGGTTGATTGGTCACTACGAATCGGTTCTTGAGATTGTCGTCCGAGTAATATGACATAAAATTTTGCAGTTTTTAAATCAAACTCAGTGTGACGAATTGATATAACAAGCCTGTTTAAAACTCTTTCAACGATAAGAGCTGTGTTTCGAGGCAGAGATGCAAAAGAGTTGAATTCAGTAGCATTGGTCACACTTAACTGAAAAATTATAAAAAAGGGTGTTAGAGGCCTTCAAATAACCTAGGATTTAGAATAGAATTGTGCTGTCTAAGATGTTAACCAAAATCAAGAATTGAATTGAACAAGTAAAAATGTAAGTAAAATAATAGTAAGTAATAATGTACATAAATAATGGTTCACATTTGATGGATTAGTTTTCAATAGAGAAAATATAACAATCGATATAAAAGAACACGTAACACGTCGATATAAAAGAATAAATATGGCTCATTCAAATGGGTCAGCATCTCAAAGAAATAGAAGTTGAAGGATTTAGAATTAATGGCAATTGTCAAATTAAGTCATAGAATCTGGCCATTTCCAATTTTCACCTAATGTGCACCTGTCATTATATCCTCCGTAAAAGCAAGAAAAAATTTCACTTTGTAAAATTAATAATAAAGTTAAAACCGCTAAAAAGTGCGCAATTTTTGACGACATTATTTTACACATAAAATGAACCCCATAGAGCCCCCAAGAAGTTTTGAATAAATAAAAATAATAACACACTAGTAGGCTTGCACGTAATTTACGGATTTACGTAATTACGTAATTATTTGGAGTTACGGAAGGGAAGTTACGAATTACGTAAAGTCGTAATTATTGCATTGAAACGAGCTTTCTTCAAAGCAGTCAATTTCGTCGATTGCGAAAATGAAAGCTCAACAAGTAGAAGAAGTTATAGTTCCGGTATTCGCAGCCGTTTTTCTCTCTCTTGTTACGTAGGTGAAGGAAGGCATGACGCGTTGCCATTTACTAACCTATTATCAACTTATCTGGCGTGGCCAACGTAAATTATTAACGTAGTTAATGGGGGAAGAACTGAGTAGGGCCGTTTGACGCCAACACACCTGGTTTTAACTTCTCCCGCAACTTAACCGTAGATAAGGGATAGAATTGCGTTGAGACCGATTGACGCCAACACACCTGGTTTCAACTTCTCTCGCATCTTATCTAGCATGGCCATGGCCAATGTACATAATAACCGTAGATAGGGGGAAGAATTGTGTTAAGACAGATGGACGCTAACACGCCCGGTTTCAACTTCTTCGGGTGAAATGACTAATGAACGCAGGAGATCAATCTATCAAACATGGTCTATCAAACATTTGTATCCATTTTACTTTTATTTATTATTTACTTGTTCCAGTTTTCCGTTACTTATGGTATATATGTTCCGTTTCTATTTTATTCTATTTTATAGTCACGCGTTTGAATAGTGGGAATTCCCCACCAAGTGTGGATTAGCAATGCTTAACCATTCTTTATTTCGCGACGAATTGGAACCAAATAAGCGAAAAGAGCGATTGATCACTCGCGCCAATACCTCGCCGTGATAATTAATGTCGCGCTTATCAAATAGCAATATGACGACAAAAGAGAGATTGCGTAATGAACCAAAACGACGGATTCCTCGCGGACCGTTGAAAATTTAACTGCTATCATATATTATCGAATATGAGCCTGTGTGTTTATTCTGTGCGAGATCCATTTTCTATTACAAAATCTTGATGTTCTGTTAACGGTTTTATCGTTACATATCAGTCCAGACTTGGCCTTGCTCATGATGTTTTTCACAATTCCTCTCAATATTTCGGCCATATATGATTAACTGTCTTACCAAATGTGGCAACTTATTTTGATTTATCGTCGACTTGAATACCACCGGCACTCGACCAAACTTTTGTCAATCTTGGCCGATAGGATCGCCGACTTGAGTTAGCAAATAAATGTTGTGAGTGTAAAATAAATGTCACAAAATGCATTGTTTTGCGATATAACTTTGTATTTTCGGAGAAGGCATGTCATATAAGTTCGGTATTTAAATTATACGCAAATAAATAATATTTGATCTAAATTTATCGCAAATAATGTTATAAACATTCAGTTCGCGAAATGATTGAATGTAAAATGAAGCATGGTAATAGGAATATCGTCAATAAGTCGACATCAATAATTATTATTATAAAAATGTTAATAAGGCAGTAATGTCGGATAATGCAGAAAACGCTGCAAAAACAAGTCTTCGTCGCGAGGAAATCGCAAGTATAATCAAATGAGAAAATACGCTCGTCGTTGGTTAATAAATTAGAAACCCGTAATTTTTATTCAGTACTCAGGTGGTTTTAAAAAACTATCGTTTCCATAAATATCCGTATACCAGTGTCGGTAATGATAAAATAAAATTGATCGCATAAAAATGGGACGGTTAATTTGCGAAGGTGATAAAGAAAAACCAAAGCTAACACAAAAGAATTCACTCCTTGATATTTGTCTTTAACATCTGCCGACGGCGTGTAGTACTGCCAAGAATATGAAAACCCAACTTCAATGTCCCATTCGGAAAAGAAGTGGATTCAATTGGTTGTTATGATAGGTTTAAATGCGTGGAAAAATATCGCAATTACGGGGTCATTACGTAATTGATTTTGCCGTAATTACGGAATTGGTTTTTGTCAATTACGTGCAAGCCTACGACACTAGTGAAAAATAAAATCTTTAAATAGTGAAATTTTAAAGCAATTGTTCCAGTAGTTAGTTAATGAGAGAAGTGCCTTTTTCATATCAATAAGAAAAAAAATACTAAGAACAACAACAACATAATAACAAAACGATCCATATGTAGGCCTACACTTCATAACAATATAAAATATACCAACAAGAACAACATGATACCAAAACGATCCATACGTACACTTTGTGCCCAATAATTGTTTAATAAACATATGAGCATCAATAAAAGTAAAACAAAATTCTTTTATTGACAATGAATTTTAGTCTGAGCCAAGTCTGTAAATTTGATATTAGAGGTGCGACTAAAAAGAAACGGGACTGACGTCACAGATTGCGCAACACGATTAATCATCGGTAATCAAAACTTTTGCAGTGTGGCGTAATATGTGTTCTTTGTTTAACAGCTGTTTTGACACAATATCGCAATTATTTTTGCTTTCCAGGATCCATAGGGAATGTGATAAATTTCTTGTTGAAAAAAAATGCTGTGCGAGGTCTGATTGAGTTTTTTGGCGATAGGGGGTTCAATTGCAGAATGACGATTGAGCAAAGAATTAACATTAAATTTTGTGTCAAACTTGGAAAAATGCATGTCAACTTGGCATGCATTCAATCGTTGAGCTTTCTGCTCCTCAGTCAACTCAAGAGCCTTTGGTATCATTTTGGCACACACCTTTCGCATTCCCAAAGTGTCAACCAAAATGGTGCGGACCATTTCTTTGTCCATCCCAATTTCGTTGACAATGACATGAATTGTTAAGCGACGGTCACTGCGAACCAACTGCCAAACCTTTTCGATGTTGGTATCAGTAGTGGAAGTGCAAGGCCTCCCTGACCTCGGATCATCCTCCACATCCTCCCTGCCTTCCACAAATCGCTTGTGCCATTCAAAAACTCTTGTTCTGGACATGGAAGAATCTCCATAAACATCACGCAACATCTGCAAAGTCTCAGTCGCTGTTTTTCCAAGTTTGACACAAAATTCAATGTTAATTCTTTGCTCAGTCGTCACTCTTTAATTGAACCCCCTATCGCCAAGAAACTCAATCAGACCTCGCACGGCATTTTTTTTTTAACAATAAATTTATCACATTCACTTAGGGATCCTGAAAAGCAAAAATAATTGCGATATTGTGTCAAAACAGCTGTTAAACGAAGAACACATATTACGCCCAACTGCAAGTGTTGATTACCGATGATTGATCGTGTTGCGCAATCTGTGACGTCAGTCCCGTTTCTTTTTAGCCGCACCTCGTAGGTGAAAATCAAAAATAAACATTTTCGACTATCCCAAAAACAAAATAAATATGAAATGTTTTTAACTATTTCTCATACACACTTTTAATTTTTTATCAAGAGCCGGTTCGTCAGCAAGTAATTCCATATCATTCTCTAGTGAATCGTTTGATACTTCGTCATCAGATTCCCATGATGCTCCTTGGAAATTACCATTCTTATATGACCTTTCCATTCGGTTAATTTCATCAGACAAAGATCTAAGACAGATTAGTAATGAACAAATAAATGACAATAATTTGAAAATACATGAAAACCATACAAATTACACACTTTAAACACCCATTTTCTATTTCAACAAATAATTGCCATTCTTTGATAGCTTTCTTTTCATAAATGCCGAGCAAAAAAAATTTAACATTGATAATTCCTTTATATTTCAGGAAGGGAAATTGATAACAAGTTGTATTGGGGTACTAGGATATTGTATAATAAACTGCAGGTCCTGCTGTCCTTTCCTTTCCTACTTCGGATTCGTGTGCGGCCAACATCACAAGGATGCTTGCACGAGATCATATTAAAATGAGAAATAAGAATAACATGCTATTCTTGAGTTTTATTAGCTAGTTCCCTTCTATTACCATATATTTAATAAAGAAATATAATCATGATAAAGAGCCCAAAGAGTGTAATTATATTGAAAAACTTTTCTCTCACCCTGCTGGTGCGTCATCATTTTCATTTCTGTCCAGAGAACGTCTATTGCGTTTTTCTATAATTAAATTTTCGTTCGGAACAACTTTGTGTTTCTTTGAATTCTTATCAGTTCTGTAAAAAACTTTTGTTTAAGAACAGTACTGTTGCACACAACTTTATCTTGACTTAGTATGTATAACAACTCAATTTCTTGACTATGTTGGCATCGCAATTTTGAGATTTTGGATTTGATAACGGGTCAGTTTACTATTTTATTCAGATCCATCAAGTCACTAAGTCCAAAATGAATTTCAGAATTCCAATGGTGATAAACTGAGGTCAAATTTTTTGACAGAAACTGAGAGCATTCTCAACAGAAAAATAAAAAAAGCCTTTTCCATACGCCGAAGTTCTTGGAAGTCAGAATCCCCTTCAAACTGGAGCCAAGAGCCAGAATCAAAAGTAAAGTCATTACTGATGACTTGTGAGTTTAGAGTGAAGTGCAAATTTTCTCTAATTCAAAAATCCTTCAAGAATCACCATAATTCAACATAGCTCTTCTACCTAACTATAGCACTTAAGCTAAGGCAGATAGACTACTTCTATACCAGGAGTAGGCCAAGTTTTTTATTTTATTTTGGCAAAGGGCCGCATTGAGAAAAGTACCCAATTTTTTCAAAGGACCATATTATACAGTTAATGATTTTTTTGTTGAAATTGAACATTGACATTTTTGAACCAGACATTAATTATATTAAAAACATTGAAAATATCTAAACTAGAATGGTTAACGATTGATAGTTTTGATATTTGAAATCTAACTTTTGAATGTAGTGTAATTTTCACAACTTTCTCCTCAAAACGCATGCAAACTGAGGGCCTCAATTTGTCCATTTCTGTTTTACACTAATTTCAAATGCCTTGTAAATACTTACAACACACGGAAAGCGGCAGGGTCATCACTTAAAAACAAGCTCAATTCTCCAAAAGTAACATCGACCATAATTCTAATGTCAACATTAGTGTATTTCGGGTTGAGAGCAAACAAGATAGCCTGCCCTGCTGGAAGTACATGCCTCGTTTCTCCAAGTGTATTTACTGTTTGTCCATTAGATCCATAATCAATAGCAGGACATGAGGAAGGAGAATCAATGCTGAAACACATGTCATCTTCCATAGCAACCTATAAATAGGAAATTGAATGACATGGGATATTATACAAAATTATAAATAAAACCCAAATTCCTCTTTTTCCCTACAGGGTGCCCCCTCAAAAAATAGACGTCATAAATTTTAATAATTACTTCAACAATAAGGAAATTTTCTCAACACTTGAACTTCTGTTTGTGTATGATTGTACACAAAAGTTACAATAACCTAGGATGCTTTGTACAAAAGTTATATTCTCTCCAGAGTATGTTCCAAATGAACAGAGTTCCTTTTTTCGAGTCATTCTTTATTTGTCTAATCAACAAAATTGCCACCTTTTCCAGGCAGCAGGCAAATGATTGGTAGAATAAAGACAAAACAGAATGATATCCGGGAAAAGAAAGTAAATATGATGTCAGCTCGCAACACAGAATGATATATTTAATTTATTCTCCGGGAAAATAAAGTAGATACGGTATGTCAGCTCGCAGCCCCCATGTCTGGTCCCTATTTTAGGTTGGGTATTGGATAAGGTAACAGATTTCAGTATTTATTATTGTGCATAAACTCGGATGCTGGAGTAAGCTGTAAACAGTTTAAGTATATGTGTGAACCTCCCTGCTATAGAAATCCTTTTGCAAGCAATCATTCCCCATTGTATTGGAAGCTACAAACCCAAAAATGAGATCAAAATTGATTGATGTATTCTCTCACTATTTTATTCAATGTTAAGCTTTATTTAAAATCGGACCTTAAACAAATGCAAAAGTAAATACCTGTCTATAGCAATGGCCACCATTCTTTGGTTCTCCTTGATAAGTTGGAGAACATTTATCACATTGTTTTGTCCAGCAATAACTTGGATATGAATCTTGAGCACTCGTCTGAAAAAGCAAAATATAAATGTTGAGGCATTGACGAATATACATCTGATGAGGATGACATTATAGTAGTAGGAATTTGGGGTAATTTACGGTAATTTAATATTCTGAGCAGTTAGGTGAAATTTGACTTTTCTGACAATTTTTTGGCTAAAAATTATGATTTTTTGTTTTTTTTATTTTGTATATATGTATATATAATAAATGTATACACATAATTAGAATTATACTCAAACATTTTATTATTACTGTGTTGTATTAATGTTTGACATGAACTCATGAGTTTCTACATAATGCACTACCTGTTATGCTCGAATAGAAAATAGCAAAACACCCTGTAATATATCATATATCAAACCCATGCTATGATAACAATAACATACAGAAAATTTTTAATACTTACAAGGCACTTGGTGTCAGATGATGTTGTATGATTTTGACATTTACAAGATCCACCAGTCTTTCTATCACATATTTCACTGTGACCATTACATTGGCATTTGTGGCAAAGACCTTTGAGCTGTAAAAAAATGGCGGCTGGTTAAAATGATCAACGTCAATAATAACTCAACATTGATGACTTTATGAGAACTCTTAATATAGAGATCAAGATAGAAATGCTCAAATATATGAATACGGGTCTCGCTCCAGTCCCGAAACGGAGAGCACAGATAATCTGTGAAACCCAAAAACGGATAATCTGAGCACAGAGTTTGCTGAAAAAATTGCTGAGAAGAGTCTGAGATAGTTAATCGAGATAATATGAAAAGCCATATAGATCATAGTCATAACGCCAAGAGCACTCAAGTTGAAGTACGATAATTTTACTCTGAATTAGACCATGTACAAGATGCCACTGATATCTAGCAATGAATTAGCAAATACAATTTTTGGAACAACAGGAAACTTTCAGGTTTGTCATTGCTTACCCAATTTATTACTGTCATTGTGAGACGGGGGGCATCGGGATTAAAAGCCGTTTTCAAATAGCTGTTGAGAATGCTCAGTTAAGCTTCATATGAAAATCACACATCAAATTAGATGTTTATAATATGTTACCATGAAATATCCATCTTTACATTCTTGACATCGATCACCCTGACTATAATCTTTGCATTTTATGCAGATAACATCATCTAATGTTGGTCCCCTCAATGCAATAGGAGAAGATTTTGAAACACAACTTTCAGATCTTCCATTGCAAACTTCCTAAGTTGAAATATATACGGATTGGTAATACACTGAAAAAACTCAATGTAAAATAAGTGTATCAAAAATGATTTTTATGTGGGATAAAAAAAGGATAGGAATACAGGATTTGAGGAAAAAATAAGAAAATAAGACAAGAATCTGGTTCATGTGAAACACCTTAATCGCAGCGAATAGTCCAGCAACAATCTCATTCATAACACGAAGTATATAATTCCTAAATACAAGTTTACTATTCAAAACTAAGGGTATTTTAAACCTATGTAGAAAACTGGATCCAAACCCTTCTTACAATACGGTTGCGACCAAGAGAACAAGTGATGATTACATTCATCACAATATACTGGAATGAAAGCTTAGACCAGGTCAGAACAGTACAGGAAACAAACCATACCACAACACCATCCAGCAGGAAATGAAAATTTGGACAGAACTACTCAAGTTGACCATAAAACAAGTAATTTAATAAACTCTTGAGCAAAGGTATATCTGAGGGAACATCTCATACTCAGGGAGTCAAATTTTCATTAAAAAGAACACTGCTCAAATATATGGACATGGAAGTCATCTGACATATAAAAGTGTTATCATAGATTATAAAAAATGTTCCTGCGAATAAAAATGAGACAACAAGACAATTGGATGCCCCAGTTCTCGAGAAAATTTGGAAAAACTAAAGTATCAGACGTTTATCTTAAAGGGTAAATTTTTTTTTTTAATTAATATTAGTTTATTTTTTTATCAATATTAGTTTAGCAAAACAATTCATATGCACAGTACGTTTTCAACAGTGTTAACAGGTTTTACTTACTTTACATTTCACACAAGTAATGTTCTTAGTTGGATCTCCGACATAACCAAGTGCACAAGACTCACATTGATTGCCAACAGTATTGTTGTGACAATGAAGACATCTGAAATACAAACAAATAGAGAAATCAGAAAATAATTCTTAAATGAGGGAGGTTGATCGAGGTTCGGAATATGTTAGAACCAGAAGGTGCACTTCAAACCCATTTTTTCTCAAAAATTGATCGTGCGCCTTATACGTCAGCGCATCTACTTTTTTTTTAAAAAAACTGTTGCGACATGTGGCCCAATGCGCTTACGTATGAGTAAAAACCCAATCTAAGCAATTTAGTGACAATTCACCTTATGGTCCGTAGAACTTGGTAGTAGTAATTATTTGAACATGAACCTCATTTTTTTTTCCGCATAGGATCAGTTTCTATTCGCTCCCATGATTCAAGTCGCAAAAATTACAAAACAGGCTGTAGTGTATATTTGACCCAGGCCTTAGCTGTAAACCCTCAAGTACCATATGTTTTTTGTATACCAACGATCTGAATCAGTATACACATGGATATACAATATCATCGATTGAATAGCTTGGAGGTATTAAACAATAATAAATTTTTAGCCTTCACATAATAATAAAATTCGAATATTATCAAAATACATCAACCCTATTTAACCTTGCTACTTACACATTAGGATTTTCAGCATCTTTGCAATTACTATGTCTGTTACATTTACAAGATACATTGCAACTAACTCCTGTATATCCAAACTTGCATTTACAAGTATCTGGTGCAACGCATTCACCTTCGAAACAACCTAGAAAATAATGCAGTAATGGGACATTAGACATGATCCCATAATTTAGTTAGAAATTGAAAATAAACTAAAAAATTACTTAAAAAACATATCTAATCAAGACTGAAATATATGGACAAGAACATCAAACGACCAAGGTCATTAAAATTCAAGCCAAATGTTAGAATTGTACCAAATGCTATAATTATGAAGGTGTGTCTGAAAATTACAAAAACCAGCAAAATTTGAAGTATTATTCTAGGCACACCCGCAGGAAAGTAATAGCCATCTAGCAACTTTTTTTTATACTAAAATTTGAAATTGATCAATCCATTGGTTGCGAAGAATTTTTCAACTCGAAAGGAACAACAACAATTAAAAAAAGGTAAAGTGTCATAACCACCCCCCCCCCCCCCCAATTTTCAACTATTTCTTTTCAAATACAATTCGCTGCATTTGCGGTAATCCATAAATTCATACGTCTTTGCAACACCATTTTTTTCTATTTTTTAAACGATTTACTGAAAACCAGACATCTCCTATCTATCAATAATCCTCTCACCAAATGAACCGGACAAGATAGATGATAATGGGCGATTACTGGTATATTCCTTGGATAACCTCGACAGCTAAGTACATCTGTAGAGCGATTCTTTACGATTTAGTTTGATATCAGTGGCTACTTTTATCTAGTTTTGTTCGAAGCAAAAGACACGAGTGAGCGTCGCAAAAAAATTTTGTGCTGCCTACGCTCTTGGTCATAAAAAAACTTACATTTTTACATTGAGATGAAGTAGACCAGTTAATCAATTTAATCTTTTTTTTTTATCTTATAACGCTATCTTAACATAACATAAAACATATCTTGTTACCTTTACTGCAGACGGGTGTACATGGACTAATATCTGAAGATCTATTATAACCATCTTGGCATACACATTCGTATCCTTGTCGCAAATCGTTGCAAGTTTCTCGGTTTTCATCATCATTCATGCAATCATTCATTCTGTTTTCACATTCATTTTCAGGAGGACATTCATAATAATACCATGTTCCGTCAGCTTTGGAATCCTATGAAAATAACATGTAATATAATTTATAATAAAAAAATGTACACTGGTTGTTCTTGTAGACTAATGATACTCTAGCACAGAGCTACTCAACCGGCGGACCTCGGTCCGAATTCGGACCATTCGCGTATTTGATTCGGACCGCACCTAATTCTTTATTTTAGATCATTAGCCCCACTTTTAAAGTTTCCTTTCATAAAATGACTTTTATAGTTTTGAACATATATGAAAGAACTATAACACCATAATAAACAATTTTGATTCGCTAATAATCATTAGCCGGTCGAGGAAGTTTGCGTTTAAGGATACCGATATATAAATTCTGGAAAGACCGGACCCAAATAATTTTGAAGTTTTGTGTGCGGATCTTCGGTAAAAATAGTTGAGTAGCCCTGCTCTAGCACAGTGGTTGCAAACCTTTTTTTCAAGCAACACAAATTTTAAAAAAAAAAAATTTTGTAAAATATTGTGACCCAAAGATATGCTCAAATACTACAGCATATATATTGACAACGCTTCAATACCAAATGGAAAATGACCAAAAAAAATTACAAGAAAATAAAATCAGTAACTTTGAGAATTTTGATAAAAAAAAACAAGCGATCCAAGAGGATTTTCAGTCCTGCATCCCGAAAATATACAGGCGTTCATGAAGTCCAGCTACAATTTCGATTTTGCCATGAAGTCGGTTCCCAAAATCTCTTGACCGTTTTTGTAGAATGTATTCGATAATAATCCATACCTTGTATGCTATATCATGACAATAACCAGAAGAACCAGATTGAATCCAATGGCAACTTGCTTCATTGATGCATTTCCAACATGATCTGAGTTCTTCACATCTCGATACAGGGCATGAGGTCGATCCTTTGCTTGACGTAACACCACATAAACCATCTGGTTGACAAAGTATAGGTACAAAAGCCGGATCAACACACCTATTTAGTCCTTTACTCCACACACAGTATTGCCATACGTCGTCAAAACCAAGGCACGTAGCACATGTTGTATGTGTACCACAACTTGTAGAGCACATATGGCCACCATGATACATGGGAACAGCAGGCTGCATAGTGGGATAATCTGATGGAGAAGTACTGTAATAATCATATGTCTCGATGGCCATCGTATCTTTATGGCATGTATATGATTTCATGACTTTATTGTAAGATTCATCCATAACCTGAGTGACAGAACAATTTTTTCGTTAACTTTGTGAAAATGTATATTTAATAAACGACATCCATTGCCTTAGTATAAAAGTTTCTCCAATAATAGACCAACGGAGCTGAAACTTATACAAAAAACCTAACTCAAAAGAGCAAATATTTCTCACGGCTGGGCTGGGAGTGGTCAATCATCTGTAACTGATGACATCAACACAACTGCTTACGCATTCTGGACCATTTCATTTATGAAAATATAGAAAAGTTGATAAAAAACAACAACACTAACTTGAACACTCTATTTAAAATGAAAAAGCAGTCCTAGCTACGGATAACCTACCTATACAAAATGATTGAAAATCATAACAAAGTTGAAAACCATTGACTAAAAAAAACAAGCAAATAACCTAAGAAAATGAGGAAATTTAACACTTTCACATGGGGGAAAAAGGTAGGCTAGGATTAATTTGAATACTATTAATTTATGGTTATACGAAGAAAAACTTTGAAAAGGTTAACAACTCAAAATCCAAATCATACGATTGAATAATAATTCAGATTATCATTCACTGCACTAACCCCATCTTTATCCCAGGAACATCCAGGCTTTCTATCACACGATGAACAAGATGAATGAATACAATGATTGCAATCTGAAAAATAACAAACGAATAAAATTACATAACTCATAAAGTTTTCCTTTTAGACTTAGATTTATCACAACAAAAAATTTCCAAAAAACTGGATAAGATGACATGGGCGACCATATGAATAAGCCTGCTCATCACATTTTCTCTCTTCCACTACAGGTGGAGAATACCAATGCATGAATCCATATGGTTTTCTAAAAATAACTCATCTGGTAGTTTTCCAATTCACACACGACCGAAAGTTTTTCCAAATATGTGACAATCCCAAAACAACTACATTGCATAACCTCGACAATAACTTCAGTAAAAATTTTTAGAACTCAAAACGAGTCAAACCAACCTTTCTTCACAGACACTGAGGCATCTCCATCGCAAGCTTTTTCCACCGGTTGACAATTATCTTTCCCAACGAGAATGTTAGACTGAGGTTCACACCAATGGCATTGTGATATACTAACACAACTTTTGCAATCTCTGCGATGAAGTAAATAAAAGTGAAATGATAAAGGAAGCTATTTTAATATGTATATAATAACCAATGGCATGGAGTCCAGAGTTTGGAGTTGGAAATAACGTGTTATCAACAATATTTGAGTCAGAGTTAAAGTCATAATTCAAAAACAGAAACGATGACTGACTGATTAATTCAAACGGATAATTGAAGAGGGCATGCATAAAGTTTTTGTGGTTGAAAATAGTTTTCTAGAGTTGGATAGTACTGTCATGGTCAAAATTTCTTTCAACGTGGAATCAGGAGTCGGAGTAAGACTCGAAATTTTTGTCATCCAAGACTGAGTAGGAACTATGTAGTCGTTTGTTAAATGGCTTGGTAGTTTGGAGGCGAGTGCGAACTCTTCCTGACTTCCCAGCAATAATAACAGAATCAAAAAAGGGAAGTATAAAAATGAGGTTGTGTCGAAAAATTCCAAATAGAATTGATAATCACTATTCAAAACAATTATTTTGATATTTTTCAATCGTTGTCTTCTAAATAAAAATGACACAAGCAAAGTATGAAAAAATATAAATAGACACACCTAAGAAATGAACAATTTGGTGAAATCTGTACTCCGCATTTTGTTGGTTCAACCAAGGATGGCGATGATGTGTTACTCATCTTCTTTTCAGTCGGAAAGCAAATCTGCAAAAAATGGTATTTTGAATTGGAGCAACACAAGACAAAGACAAAAGAAAAAGAAAAAAATGAGATATGACATACCGAAGAACCATTGACAACATTCATCTTACATTCAAGTTCCTCACAATCATCCATTGTTTTCATAGCCATGCAGGGCTCAATGTCTGAGAGAACCTAAATAAAAGCACTGAATATTACGAATTCATTAACATCATATACTGAAGAAACTCAAAGTAGATATATGGTAATTGGACTATATTCTGTACAGAACTGGGAAAATTAATAACTGATTCAGACTACAAACTCCGAGATATTTAAAAAAAGAATTTGGCCCCGGCCCAAACTAGACAAAAGAAATTTGGGCTCAGACTTCCACCAGATAGTCATAAGGTACTAAGATATAGCAACAATGCAGTATTTTCATGTATAGGAAAAGGAATTGTCCAAGGGAAAAACGACACTATAGATGCAAAGACTATACCGCATTGATAATGTTTTGTCTGCCATGTTCATATTCAGGTTAAGTTTGTATTAATGCTGTCGAGGTAGTGCAGCTAAAAAAAATTAAATTAGCAATACGAGTATATCTAGAACATAAAGCTGAATTTCTCAGAAATATCGGTCAATACTAACTAAGCCAATACTGATACAAATACCAATATTAACAAAATGCTGTTATTACTGATATATCAGTGCATCTGTACTATACATTAATTTCATTATTTTTTATGAACTCTTAAATAAATCAGCAAACCATCATATTAGTGTTGAATTTTCCATGAATATTCCCACCATAGATATAATGTACGTTATCAACAGTTGCTACCGAAGCTGATGCAGGAATGGCCTTCACTAATGTCAGCGATAGATTATCTGGGTGAACTGAAAGCAAGAAAAATAGTTTGTAAAATGAGAAATATTACCCAAAAACTGAAGATAATTGTCACAAGTTAGTGGAAATACAAGTTTTGATTCTGGAATCTAAATTTTATATATTTTTTCTAATGAAAACCTAATTCTAAATTTTAAGATGCTGTGCTAGCATAGCTAAGTCTTAACGCTTTAACCACTCGGCCACCATGCTCACTTACTTCCATCAATAAGTTTGATCCAAGTATTGCATTCATATCTGAAGAACCATATTTCATCTGTTGTTTCACCAGAGGATAATTTTCCACCAATAACTACCATGCCTCTCATACTATCTGTAATTCAGGTATAAAAAGAGTTGCAAACTATTCACTTCTGCATTTCACACTGGATGGTGTAAATAATGCGTAACACGTAACTGGTTACACAGGAATATAGTGCTTGATTGTAAAATACAATTAATTTTATTTTATAATTTCACTGTGAAATAAACATTTCCAAAAAAATCAGCAGTAATCTTAATCTGGAATATCGAAAAAAAATATTTCAATAATATCAATTTTGATTGAATTCTTACAACATTTTTTCTATAATTTATCTATAATTATCAACTAAGTCACAGTAGCCATATAAAAAAACTCAAATTATTAAATTATCTCAATTTTCGAAATTTGACAGTTTTTTTTTACAAAATATTACCAAAAATCTGCACCTGAGTGATATGGAACTGCCATATGAAATGCTCTTGCTTGTGGCAGAACAGGAATTTTGCCTCCGAGAAAGACAGGACTCCATTGCAAAACTTTTGTATCAAATGCATAAATCAGCTCATGGGAAGATGGCATTTGTATACGAGATGTTTCCAATCCACCATACAAATAAAGAATTCCGGTTGTCCAGTCACAAACAACTGTGTGGCCATAAACCAATGGTGAATGAATCAATTTATTGTGAATAATTGTGACTGCTTCATCCATCGGATTGAACGTCCACACCTTCCATTATAAAACAAAAAGAGAATAAAAGTCACAAAATAGGAATGTGAATTACTGAAAATATTAGGCAAAATGCTTCATTAAATAATTCTCACTAACAAAATAAAGTAATTTACTGAAATTTTTTGTATTGTAATAAGTGTTACGTCGAGATTCCTAAACCATGTCCGAGATATAAGTCGAGACAATCACTGTTATTGAGTCTCACTGGCGAATATTCGATGATGGGTCTGAGTCATCCCGGTTAGATGACTCGAGCAACTTCAATTCTTCGATAAAATGTGACGATTGATCAATCGAGTCAAAGGTGATCCCCAGAAATAGCGGCAACTCCACTTGGTATATGGCTATATTATACATGTAGCCACATTATACACCATGCAAGGAGTGACTCAATGGGGGTGCAGTAGATTTTAAGAACATTGTTAAAGTAATAACAAGAAAATATTCTAACTTATGAGAAAAACAGATGTTTACTTGACGTGACGAAGCTAAACGTTAAACGCTTGAGTGGGGCAAAAATGTTACTTAAAGAAACAAAGAAGTATGCCTCTCCCAGTCAATACAAAACCAAACATAGACAAACCATCATACAAGACAGAACTATTGTTACGTCACAGCTTCTGGTTGTTCAAGATTCTATGTTTGATAAACATGCTGGCAAATGAGAGCTCGCGAAAAAATTGGCCGTACAAAAGTGGGTCGTGAAGTTTGAAAAAGTTTGAAGAACACTGACTTAAGTATCAGCTGCCTAGGGCTGACCCCCATGTTTCTAGCTTGCTTGGCATACGTTAGCCAATGCTAACATCAATAACTAGATATAATGCCCAAATTTTTAAAGTTTTTTCAAGACAGAGAAATTTATTCTTCGAAATGAAAGAAAATCAAAAGAACAAAGATCACACAAGAATAAAAGCCCAATTTTTTTATCGGCAAGAATTGTCTATAAATTGAATATCTTTCTTGTCCCGCCATAGAAAACCTGAATTTTACACAAAAATCAAATTTCATACAATAACAACTCACATTTCTATTATATCCAGATTTAGAATTATATCCACCGATGATATAAACAGTAGAACTATTTTCACAGAAAGTTATTGTATGGCCTGCCAATGCCGGTAATGGTCTGCTTGTGTTGATTAACTGCCAATTCTTATCTGCAAAATTATTTTTATTTTTTACATAATATGGATAGAGAAAAAATTTCTTCAAGAAATTTAAAAATCATATTTATTGAGTATAGTCCAACAATGTACCATGGTAGGTAGACCAATGATACATCAATGATCCATGTGAGCAGTGATCTACGCTAGCAACACGGATCTAAACTAGCAACAATTAATACATACAGCCTGGTGCTTAGTAGTGTCTACATTTCATAATCTCTTTCAACATCTGTCCTTAAATTTTTCAAATTTAGAAGAGGAAATGTTTTCCCAAATAAGATGGCTTTTCATCAACAGACTACCTTAATCACAACATGCCTTGAAACAAAGAACCACACAAGACACAATAATGGGATTTATTATGTTTCGACCAAGCACATAACGAACCCAGTTTAACAAGAATCAAGCGTAACATCGTGGAAATGGGGTTGACCCTATATACGATACTAATCGACATTTAAATAACATTTTCCATAGAGAGTTATTAGTCTGCCATATTGACAGTGTGTTTGATTCTTGGCAGCAACACAAGACGTGTACTACCTACTACAGGAATGGGTAACCTACGGCTCACCGCTTATTTTTAAACTTCAAAATATGTAAAGCATGAGTTGTTAAAATAATATTAATATTCTGGTTCAACAATATGTCATCCACTATTAAATTTGAGACTGTCATAGCGAATGGGAATAGTAACTGATGTCACAGTCAATTTCTTAAAATTGCAAAAAATATATTCTGAATACAGCCCCACCCCTGACCAACTACAATATATATATTCAGTTAAAGTTATCACTTATCCTAACTCAAGGGATCCCCAATCATTAATAAAATCATATTTGAATCAATTTCATCTCCAATGAAAACCATACCTCGATCAAACATCCAGAGTTCTGAACTAGTGTGACCATCTTCAAGGATGCCACCATGCATATAAAACTTATCTTCCTTCGGATGTTTAGCACCAACATGATAATATCTAGCAGAGGGATAAGTTGTGTTCTCTTTGTACATTATCCAGTCGTTATTAGCAATATCATATCTGTTTTTATTTGAAAGATTGGTATTGGTATCAAGTTAATTCTAGCGTATAAAAGACTGAAAAAAAAATTTTCTTGCTGAGATTAAATTAGTTACAAAATGATAATAAACGTTTGAAAGACATGTGGAGTTGGCCCCACGATGTAGCAAGTTCAATTCCTATGAGGATAATTAAATGTGAAAGGATTACTCCCTCACAATGGTTGCTGGGTAATACAACCACCTCTTAGTTATTGCTTCATCCAAGATCAAAATTCCATGTATCAGGCAAGGCTAATTGTTACCTATCCACATATCTGAACTGGTCAATGAGAGACTGTGTTTAGCCATGCAATTTCCTCTCCCTACTTCAGCTGGTTTGTCATATTACACAAACAGATAAGGATTTTCGAAAAAATTTGGTGATGAAAAATGGGAAAAAGTTTGATAAAACCATATAAATAAAACCATTACTGCTTGTGTAAACTCCACCATTCATGCTCGTTTTATAATTCATTCATAAATTGACAATTATAAATTCACCTCCATAAATCATCTAACGCTCGTTGACCTCGTTCAAAACCACCATGAAGCCATATTGACTGTTTCATAGGAATTAGAACATGTCCAACTCTATCACCAGGATAGGAATAATCTCCTGCTACCATAAATTCACTGCTCCATTTCATTTGCAGATTGACTGGTTGATAGAAATTGTTTTTATCGATAGAACAATCAGGTCCTGTGAATTCATTGAAGCAATGGCAGATACCCTAAAAATTTTAGAATAAGAACGTTAATTAAAGGCTTGTATTATTTCAAAAAGTCAATTTCAAAGTATTTTAGAATTTTGAAATATTAGAATTAAAATATTAGAATCAAAAAGAGTAATATCAGACTATCTTAGGATTATATCTCATGCCAGGATGTATGTATTGATTAGAGCAGGGCTACCCCAGTGGGTCAAGAAAGATCTCAATGAAGGTCACTTTAAAATCTGTTTCAGCACTAACTTATGTTAAAACAAAATATCGATCCAATTTGAAATATTAGGAACCAGTGCCGACCCACTATCACCGAAATGGAGCAAAGATTCAATCTTTTACGCAAAAATATACAAGCACATTATTTTATTATTATTTTATAATGTTTTCTGAATTATTAAATTTTACTTTTTTTTGTTTTAGTTCCTGAGGGTCATGTAAAAATTTGGCCTAGCCAAGTGGGTCGTGATAAAAAAGTTTGAAAAACACTGAGTTGGAGAACGCAAAACGAGAAAGATTCCGCTCCCTACAAAACTATTGGCTCCCAAAATAACAGTGCTTGTACAGAGCATTGGTTGGAGTTACGACATAATAACACTGTATAAAAAATTACCTTGCAAAACCTATGAATGAGATAATGTTTTAAACCATACCAGTTGGCCAGATCAGAATACTTGAAAAGTATTTTCCAGCGATTATCAATTTCAAATTCCTTATACCAAATTGACATAAAATAAATAAAACCCCACAATGATTGAAAACTTGAAACAAAAAGAAAAGCTTTTTTCCCTACAAAACTTCTTTCCCTGCTAAATGCAGTGTTAAATAAAAAAAAATTGTTTCATATTTTTTGACTTACATTTTTGCAAACACCATATCCAAGATGACTGTAACATTGTGAAGAACAATAGTTATCTTGCACTGTGGCATTATCACAAGCATCAGAGTCATTTATCTCTGAAAATGATGTATTGAAAACATACTCATTATCACCACTGAATTCGAATGTCGGAACTTCAGCACTCGATTCGAAGTAAAATTTAGGCGCAGGACAGTATGGTATGACCTCAAAAGTTGCATTGAATCCTAGTAGATGAGGCATGTTAGTAGGAAGAACATCAGCGTATTGCACGGTTGCTGAACCTGAAAATGAAATAGGGAAAACTCGGTTAGAATTACATTATTCTCTCTTTGTGAGGCATTTCAACACATCGGATCGTTTGAGAGTCATGAGGCAAAAATAATGATTGGATAAGAAAATAAGTGTACTTTCCTATTTCGTATACTCTGACACAATTTAACTCTTGAGGGGGCGCACTCCACTCGCATTGAACTGAGTGAACAATGAAATGGATTTCAGAGACCGCCAATCATTGGCAGTAGGCGCATTGTGCTAAGTGTTAGAACTTGCCATCCCACCTCTGATTACCCTGCATGGGTTCCCAGGTATGAATCCCGTGGGAGATAATTATGTACGAGAGGATTGCTGGTCGTTTGCAACTTCCTCCACCATCAAGTACATGCATCTGAAACAAATACCTGGCTAAATGAACACAATGAAAAAGGACTGAACGAAAGTGCATGGTATGCCTAATGATTACTGAATGTGTATTCAAGACAAATGCTTTGATCTGTTGCCCATTCTCTTTCTACATTTTCTGAACAAGTCTATAGACATGCCGGTACTGACTGTAGGTGTATACCATGTTTTGAAAAGATCAGAAGCTTTCAGTCCAGCATAATTTTTATAGTCTACTCAATATATACACTCTGGGTGAGGTAATTGGCATGAGGAGAATGAACCTGTAATTTAGTTGAGTAATTTTCCCAAATAAAATACAAACCTGATATAGCCTCTACCACGATATCATTTTTCCATTTTGATCCACAGAACGATCCAAGCAATGTTGCTAATCCATCACTAAGTGTTCCATCGTATATCAAAACTTGATTCATCTGAAATATAAAAGAAGTGTGTTAATTTTGTCCGGAAAAACATTAGATTGAAGTTATACAAATTTTGAGTTAATAGGAAAAGTCTAGACCAGGGCTTCCCAATGTAGTCCAGGTGGACCCCAGGGATGAACCTCCACAGCGCGATTACAGGGGGTCCATAGATAAAGTGTTATTTATATTAAATGGGTACATTTGATTAAAGTTTTGCAATTCCATGTAGTGGGATAAACTGAAATAAACGAAAGAGCACCTGTTAGATTAGTGCTTGGATTAGTAAGGAGCATGCATTAGAACGATAATGCAGACATGGGGCTCCATGTAAGTGATCTCGATGCTTGTGTTATATTTTACATTCATATAGATACATTGAAATCTGACACTCGTTATTGGGTACCAAATTGTCCTGGATGAACGTTCTGGGATTGGAACCCAATATTTTTTATTTGGCCAAAAAATTCCATCTCTTGGACTACTAGACCAAGAGTCTCTTAGAAGCCAATTAATTTTATTCATTTATTTGTTTTCTGCCAATCTATCCAAGCATTTTTTTGTTATATACAAAATGGCATTGCTTGAAGACGTTTATCTGATGAGTTATATTCAACATACATTTTCATGCCAGACAATTTAGCTGTTGATAAACATACATAACTAATACCTTTGTTGAAATTATTATATGAAATATAACAATGTACAAAACACAGTACAGCATCACATGTGCATAAAATATAAAAATTTTATGAATGTTCAAAATCAAGAATGTCGAATATGGCACTCACATAGCATGGTACGTTAATGTCCTTCTGTAGAGTGATTACAATCATTTCAGAATCAGAGAAATTTGTAAATATCGACCACTCGCAGTTAACGACATCAATGTCGATTCTTTTCATTTCTCTTTTCAACATTGATCTATCTTTTCTCCTGATAACTTCCCACGAACCGAATGCCCCATATTCGTCTTTCAAAATAACTCGACCTCCGCATTTATGGTAACATCTCCCTCCATTTCTGACAAAAAATAAAAAATTAGAAAATACAGAAAACCAGATAGCGATCGGAAGCCGACGACTTATCGATCGTTCGCAGTGACAAAAGTTAGGGGATCCCCCAAAACAGAAACTGCGGTTTCGATTCCTTCGCTCTGAATCAATAGCAACACCATGTGTCCCATCACTAATTAATTGATAACTAGCTAATTATACGACATCAATAGGCTTCTGGTCCGAGATGTGATGAATGCACATGCAAAATTTGGAGCAGATTCAACCTCGGTTTCGTGAGATATCGCGTAACAGACGGAAGTGTCTAACAGACAAACAAACATACGATTACCTATCAACATATTTAACGATTGAGATCGATAAGTAATAACAGCATAAACGCCATTAATAACTGTACTGGATTATGATTCTTACTAAATTATTAATTTCACAACAGAATGTGATTAGGTAAATGATATAGGATATTCATATTCCTCTGGGTGATTGAAATGATGATAAGATGGCTTAATCACATGACGAACCACAGCCCTTTTCCCAGTTACTGATATAGATTGACAATTTGAATAATTAACCAGTTTACTGTTTCAAATGCAAAGATTTGAATATTGAGGAGGCGGTATCCATCTCACAGTTCTGTGACCCAGTCTGTGACAGGGTAAACAAATCCTATTGCATATAATTATTCCTCACAAGATTCCTACCTATGAGGTAATCAGGGTAATCAGTGGTGCAATGGTGAGTGTTCTTTAATGCCTAGCATGATAAGTGAGTGATCAAGTTCAAAATCTTCTAGGAATACTATAACTTAACAAATTGTCAACTATCTGATGACATACACACCTAGGATCTCCATAATAGTTATCCTCACAAAACTCGCATGATGGCCCTTTTGTGTGATGCTGGCAGAAACAATCACCAGTGTCTTGATTACACAGACCTGCTTCTTCCCAACCATGTCCGTTACATTCACAAGGTTGACATCCATCTCCTGGGTCTTTAGCATGAAAATGACCAGTGAGACACTGTTCACAATGGGACCCAGTGGTATGATGTTGGCAGCTGTCGCAGATACCTGTATGTGGATATATTGTTTAACTGTATGCCATTGGGCAAAAAAAATTGAATTTGTAAAATTCATTTCTGGGATAAAAATATTTAAACACCATATCTTATTTTGCTCGAAGCAAGGTGTGACTCCTCAACTAAGTGAGGAAAGAATAACAATAGAAGAATGCGAATTGCAATCGGTCTCTCACTTGGAACTGTATACAAGTTTATCCCCACGAAAGTTTTTCCAAAAATGTCAAAAAAGATAGTAGTCAACGTGACACTGGAAACAATTCAATACATGTTATTGTAGACAATACTGGTTATGAGTTGTTAAGGAATTTCTGTTCATAGGTTTCTATTTTGGTGATAGAGAATGTTTCCATTATACTTTCGTCAAAATTTTTCAAAAACGATATATAGCTAACTAAGTTGGGCGTCATGACACAAAATTTGGCCCCATGAATTCTACGTATTCAATAATGAAAACTGAATTAATTAGTAGTAGCAAGGATAACTTTCAATTCAATAACCTATCCAAAAAAATTGATAATCTGACAACTCCAATCAGAACTTACCAGGTCCTTTGTTGCATGTACTCAATAAATTGCATCCACAATCTAAATCACACTCAGTCATTGTCTGATTATCTTCTGATGATTCATTGTGAGATGTCCATCCTAATTCACAGGAACATGTGTAATCAGGAGGTCCACTAGATGCAAAACAATATAAAAAAATTATGCTCTATAAAATATTTTATTTTAACTGCAACAAAATGTCTTCAATACAAAATTAAAGTGGAATAGAATTGAAATAGAGTTAAAAAGGTAATAAAAGGTCTTATAGTCTTGACTAAATTATACATCATGCGACAGATCATGGCCTACCAGTACCACCATGCTATAAGTCTACTTTGTGAATTTCGGAAAAACAAAATGACAGAACATAATGAACCTGTGATCAGCTTATCTTCCAAATTCATTATGCCAACAAAGATAACAATGACATTTATAAGCGAATATAATTTTTTTACATAATTTTCTCGAACAAATTCGCATGACAGCAAATCCAGATCAATTGTTCCCAACTAAATAATCCTCTTTGTGGTCCACAATTCAAAAATTTGCAGTTATATGAAACGACATGGCTACCCTTCTTCTGCTTTTCAAAGCAACGATTAAACAACCCCCAGAAAATATAAATCATAAACACTTATCCAGTATATGTCTAATTGCTTTGAACATTGAAATGAGTTTCAAACCTACATGCATAACCCATGGACACATTCCATATAACATGTTCTTTCACACTCGATTCCATTTCCTGCGAATCCAGAATTACAGTTGCATAAATAAGATCCATTTGTGTTAGTACACGTCGCGTCAAGATGGCAATCGTGAAGTTTATTCCCTTTGGGCCATTCTGAAAACATGTTACAAAATCCTTAAAATGCTATATTTAAAAAAAAAAAAAGATTGTTTGGTATAAATTTGCCCGAACTAAGGTCACTCATAAACACTCATTAAGAAGTAAGAAGACAGATCTTTGAGCTTGTTGTAGGCAACCAAAGTACTAGGATCTAATAAAACTAAATAATATTACGGCAGTGCATTACCCATTAGTAAGTCCTGATTAACGCAAGAAACAGTTAGAGTCAATTAAACAGGGAAAACACTTTGAGGTAAATGGTATGCCATTCAGGTACAAATTAAAACCAAAATTATCACGTAGATGCATTGTTTTGGAATAGTTATAATGTTACGTTATAATGCAGAATATTTTTAGATAATGAAGTTTGAATATGTCTAGATGTAAATACATGATCAGTCTATTTACAATACTGTGCAATGTGCATGGATCTAATTGAATTTGAGAAAATAATATTGATCAATACAGATATGGGCATTCCTCAAAATATAATATAATTAGGTATGCAATGGTTTTCAAAAACTGGTTCCATTCTAAAATGCATTATCTCATAAGCTTTAAAAATAAAAACCTACCGACAAGTTGGCATTCATTGACATCAGGGCATGAGGAATAATTCCATATCAGTGAGTCAGTGATATTATCTGATGGAAGATATCTTGAATCACATTTTATTTCAGAAGAAGCAAATCCACCTTTTGTACAGTAACCCTGAAGAAAAAAAATAAACGTTGTAAGAAAACATTTGTATTACGAAAGACGACGTCATAAACTAACAAGAATTGAAAAATACACAAGCCATTCCTTTAAAAATTTATGTTAATTATGGAATTATTTATTATACACATCCTTTAGATAGCTCTGATAACATCAAAAAAATTTAGAAAACAAAGGATTTATCAAAAATGAAACTGGAATAACACAGACTATATAGAAATATCTTGAATTGAAGATGATACACAAAGTAAAAGACTGAAAACTTTACCTATTGCTTCATATTGAGAAGCTATACACACATATGGTTCACATGGTAATTCTTACATACGTTAGATAATTTGAACTTGACATGGAATATTCTGTTGTTGCGATAATACAGCTCATGATAAAATAAATCTCCATATCGCTTTCTCAAATCCGAGATAAAAAAATTAATAAAAATTAAGTCACATTAGATGCTGGATGATTTAATCCTTAATTGTACAAAAAATTAAATTTTCTTATTCATCAATAAAAAAATAAAAAAAGAGTTTGAAAAAGGAAACTCTTTTTTATTAGGTGTCAAGGTGATTATGATCTGTATTTCATAGAGAAAAGCTAAGCATTATATGAAATTTAATTCATCTATTTTTAAAATGACATGAAATTTATCAAAAATCAACTGAAAATATAAGCAGACTGCGTTTTAGACAACAAACTGCTCCAATTGGATTCCATGTAGCCTATTGGAACATATTTATTCTGTACATAAACATTTTTTATTACTGTTGAGATTTACCTGCAATGGATTTGATGTCACGCTACACCATCCACATTGAAAACTTCCCAAGCAAGTCTGACATGTTTTATGTTCTGTACATCTGAAAATAAATTTCACATTTATATGAATATTGTAATCAATCTCAACAATCTCCTCTCATTACTATAAGTATGAGTTTGAATTTAGAAATGGAGGGAAAAAATAGACAATATTTATTAATTAAATGAAATGGAGGCTTTTGGTCATATATGGGACTTGAATGACCTTAAAATATTTTGGAAATCAATGGTATGAACAAAAAAGCAGTCGTTTTGTGTGACAAACGATTTATGATTCAATTTCTTTAGCAAACATATATATGAGCTTAGTCCAATCCCTCTGAGATTTCGCATAGTTGAAGATGGAAGTATTTCTGAGAAAGCTATCAGTTATTTATATTTTTGGCGGCATTAGGCCCTGTCATGTTCTTCCACAAATTTTTCGGGTTACATGATACATTTCATGGATTGGTAAAAAATTTATGCCCACCGAATGCACCGAACCCAGTCGAAACATAAATAATGAAAAATATTCTTACTCAGAACATTGTTCTTGTTTATCAATCCAAAATCCACATTGCCCAAATGGGTATGCTGCTAAATGATAGCGAGTTAATCTGTAACATTTTTTCAATGTTGAACACCATGCACATTTCAGGGTTCTGCCGTAGTTATCTTCATTTTCAAGACATGACGAACAGTCTTGTCTTTGATGACATGAAACTGGACATTGAGACGGATCAGAGGTACTGTTATCTGTGAATAATGATGAAAATAAAGTCAGTAATGCAGAGATTTTCCCAAACTTTTTAAACTCACAACTCATTTACTTTCTGTTATACAAATCATATTACATTGAAATGAAGATTTGACTTTATATCAGTGCTCTTCAACCTTTTTGTTATTGCGGAACCCCAGATATCATTTTTCATTTGTTTATGGAACCCCAAATAACAAAAATAAAAATAAAACATGAAATACTCGTGACACGAAATATTTCTAATTCAATATTTCTACTTCAACAACGAAACAGAAAGAAGGTAACAAGCGCGAAATTCAATGACTAGGTTGTTCTTGCATTTTCTTTGCAATCTTCTTGAATCGTGGCTCCACGGCGCTCAAAGCAATTCTCATACTCATGTCTACACTCTTTAAAAACTTCTTTTTTGTTTTTAATAGTTGTTGAAGCAGGAAAGTCTGATTTACACAAATGGGTATTGGAAAATTGACACAGAAGTTTTAATGCTTTTTTTGCAATGGCTGTATACCCTCTTTGTGAGGAGAATTCCAAAAATTTTTCTTTCCATGTTTTTCGAAAGTTTCCTCCGAATTAATATCATTACGGATATCTAAGAGTCCTTCTTGCTGTTGCTCACTTGGAAATTCATCCAAAAACGGAAAAAAAGGATAATCATTTTTTTGCAACTTTACTGGCCCAGCAGTCAATTTTTCCTTTACGCGACACCCCTAAGGAACCCTATAAACTCACGGAACCCCACTGCATGTGTTGCGGAACCCCTGTTGAAGAGCACTGCTTTATATAACATATGCTTATTCAATCAATGTGATGTGTGAGCTTGTTTTCGAGCATATAAACGATGATGACATGGCACAATATATGACATAACCAGTTGTTATTCTCTTCCAATGTTACTTTTCGCACAGTTAGAAAACCTTGTTAACCAAATATAAGTTTGCTCGAAGGTCACAAGCACTCACTCAGAAATAAAGTAAGACTCTAAAAAATGTCACAACAGGCAACTAATCAAACTATATAGAATTATGTACAAGTAAAACCCAATTGCTTCAATACTTGAAGCAGCTTAAGTCAGTGTGACTAGAACACATTTATGAGAGAGGATGGCTGGACTTCTTATAGTAAGCTGATTGCTGAGCAGACGGGTCCTGTCCATTTCAAGTCCAGGTTAATTTAGTGATTTATCAACAACCACATATCCCATCAAGTATAAAAAAATTGTTTCCCGAGCATTGCTTTCGAGATCATTTTTGTAATAACATATAATCAGAACTATGTTAAATAAAATTTAAAAATTGTTGTGTGCAGTAACTCAGTTAGAATTAGTAGATTATCTAATAGCAAATCTCAAACAGTTCAAATTTAATTTTAGGTAGTCAAGCTGAACTCTAGAAACTATAGAGATATGAACTATAGAACTATTCAAAAGGAGCAACTAAAATCTCAAATGAAAAGTATGACAAAAATTGTACTCATGCCGAAGTAACACAGCACAATATAATGAATATAGATGGGTGATTCGCATACTTTTCCACTATTGACATTTTACATACATACCTCCGCTACCCTTCCTGATACAGTGGTCTTCCTGCCATTCACAATGTATAGAAGATAAACAATGGGAACATGTTAAATAATCTGAACACACGCTGCATGATCCTGGTTCCAATATCATTCCTGCATGACCAGATACTATGGTAGTACCTGAACGAATTACATAAATTTTATTATAATTTTGATTTTGAGGATGGGGGTGATGGTAATATAAACAATACCTGAAAAGAAATGAAAAATTGAGACAATAAATCAAATTTTCAGGGACTAATTTTTCTATACTTGATATTGGTGGAAACTCAAAAACATCTTCCCTTGAAACTCACGAAATTCCATAACAATATCCCTTAAATTTGTTACAAAATGGAAAGGTTTTCTACATTTAAAACTGAAAATTGAATGATATAAATTTATAATTTCAAATAGGAATTTACTTGCAGGACGTAAATTTCTGGCTAGAAAGCATTTTCTTTCTATAATTTCATGTAATTTACTATACAGTACATCTAGCGATTGTTTTTTTTTAAATTAAATATTTTTTCACTGGACTTTGGGTTTGACCATGTGGTGGTATTTAGTAAAATAAACAAAACCATATGAACCTATACTTACTTGAAAATAAAAAACAACAAATTCAGAAAAATATTTTCTGTTTAAAAAACTGAAAAATTCTCATATTGGGAGTACGAAGGGTCACTTTTTAATCAAATTTTCTCTATCTGCGGATGTATGCTGCTAGGCAACCTACCCCACTGACCCAATGAGCCCTCACCTAATTCCCACCTAAACGAGAAACCAATTACAATGCAAACACTAACCTGTTGGGCTGCACCAGTAAGGTCGATAAACCAATATACTTCTTTCTACACAAACTGATCTTGAATCGCACCATGCACAAGATGCATCAGTCATACAAGCAAGGCAAGTCAACAATGCATTACAAGATGGTACAATTATAGATTCTGGTAGTGATGTACTTTGATAAGGCTCGAGAAAATCAGATGTCAGTGTGTTGAATTTCGATTCTGACTTCCCATAAACACTAAAATGAGAGAAATAAGATTTAAAAGAAAAAATGCTTTTCCACATGGGGTTTATCAAATTTAAAATAATACTGTTGATATCTCAATGATACGAAATGAAATTTAACATAATTAAGATATCTATTTTTTTTTTAAGTATGACAGAAATTTTTTTCTATTCGGACAAAACGATTTCCAGATCATATCAGGTGTATACTTATTTTTGCTATTTAATCAACAGACTGATTTACAGTATTTGATAATGAACAAGCTGATGGATTGTTTATAAAATGGTTTCCGTTATAGCATGAGCACAATCGGATAAATACAAGAGGTTTTAAGACAAAACCGATGAAAAAAAAGCTAAAAACAATTATTATGATGTTTGTATCACCAGTATATTCCAATCAAATTGTTTAATTTCTTTCTATTTTAAGTACAATTGTTTGGAGTAAAACATAATAAGCACTATACATACGTTGTTGCCCATCCTACTTGTATTCCACCAGTCCATTTCGTCATTCCAGTATGCGTGAATTTTATCTCTATAAAATGCCTACAATCGTAAAATAAATTATTTCAAAAATGATAAAGAGAAAATTTCGTCATTAGAAAAAAAATTTTGTTCGACTCGATTGAGGAATTGAGGAAAGAAAGCATTTATGAAGCACGCACCACGGTCTGGCATTAACTAGAAAACAGAGTAAGCTCTTAATCCAAATACAATCTGGAAAAAATTTGAAATTCATAACATAGAATTAAAAATCAGACATGTCATTCAAATTTAGGTTATCACGCAGAAACAGTGACACTCAAGGTTGTGATATAAACTTAAATATAAAAAAATCGAAATTTTTGTTCACAAGGAGGTGTAATGTACGATGAGGCTTCTGCAAGCCTATTAACAATTATCACCCATTCGAGAATATACAGGGAGACACAAAAAACAGAACCCATACTTTTTTTAATTATTTTTACAAAAATGAAGAAAATTTGTCTTAACACCTCAACATTCTTGTGATTGTACCCCAAATTTGCTATAAAGTTATATTGTTTCTAGAATCTAGAATGATCCAAATGATCTGTGTTCTGTTTTAGTGTTAGTGAGAAACTCAAACCAGATGACTGGGGTATTCCCTGCATCAACTAGATAGCATGAAGCAAAGATGCTTATTTGGAATTATTATAAAGTATCATATTGCCAAGAATCATGACTTTCTCCAGTGATTTATTATATTCTCTATAAAGATACCTAGATTGCTTTAATCCCCTCAATGGAATAGCACGAGATGTGTTTTGTGTCAAAGAATCCTTCTGTACAGTTTCAACAATCGTTTGAAGATCGGATGGTGAATCACTGGTACTTAAAAGAATCTCTGCCCTTCCTGTTCATCAAAGTATATATAAGAATTTATTACAAAAAAGTACTATACACTAAAAAAAATCCACAAAATCGAAAAATTTTCAAACCTTTTGTTGATGAGAGTTGTAAATATAAGTAATTTCCGTTAAATTTATCAAGGTGTATAAATCCACGTATCAGTAGAACATGGTCTCTTATGACTGTTGTTTGTTCACCTTTTTGTTTGAAGTTAATTTGAGTTAAATAAGAAACCTGTAATGAAGATCAATATACGGTAAGTCCTTTCACACCTTCAAACAAGGATCCAAAACGATTTTTGTAAAAATTTACATAAGAGGGTAAAAGGGCTACTAATTCAGGAAGGATTGTTATTGTCAAGATAAAGATGAAGAAATGTGGGATGATGATAAAGTCGAAGACTGGAAAGATCTCTTCGGGGAGTTTGACAGTAATAGTGAGGATGAATTTTGAAGGATTTTGAGACACTTCTTACTGTTCCCGTTGATAATAAAAGTGGAACTGGAACATAACAATATTTATTATCATTTTCATTGATTCTCTTTTGCAATCATTTGTTGCGTTAGGTCCGATTGAATTTGTTCTTTTTTTTTTCAAAATAATTTGAGGTTCTTTCTTGACTTTTCAATTTCTCCAAATGATTTGTATTCAAATATTCTATTTGTTTTGGGCATCCCTGGACATAGACATCATGATAACAAAGAGTCAAATCGAAGAAGTCATAAATATGATATATGAACACTTTCTTATATCTGATTATGTGAAAACTCTCTATCAATGAACTGCATTTCAAAATTTGTATGTTGTCAGACTAGGACAGACAATACAGAAATGAGTCTATCCACTCTCGTTAACAATGCAGAAGAAACAGAAATGGCATAAAATTTAAAACAAATTTAAAGACAAATCTTTATATTTTCATCCGCATTACTATACCACTTTTGTAACGCACCACCAGAAAAATGAAAGCAAGATGAGCTGACTTAAAAGTGGATTTGGATCCTATGACCCCTTTCAAGTTTTTAGGACATATCATATATCTATGCCAAGCATACCGGTATGTATAAAGCAATAATTTAAAAATATGGGTAATGAAAGCCCCAGGAAAAGATTCTATATTGAATTGATCTGAGTTTCATACCTTAATCATTCCTCTTTTCGGAATCATAAATCACACTTTATTAGTTAATATGTGTGTTTGTGATTTGAAAAGTTTTTTTCAAATACTGGCAACATTGTGAACATTATTCTGTGTAGAATGACATGTTTCAAAACACTTTTCTGATTTGGTCTCTGTTTTATATCAAATGTCTAGCGCTGTCTCTGCTTTAGTTGCCGAAAATATATTGGCTTTGTGTTGGCAAACATTAAACTATTAGACTTGAATGTGTTGGCAAATCAGATTACGGTCCTTCCAAATAATAGTAAATCCTTACATATTATTAAATATGAGTTGCTGCTCGTATAGGGCCTCGTTCGTAGCTAACCCCATGAATAAGTGCCATATGAAAATATCTTAACACATATACAGAGATAGAAACAAAAAGGCATGAGCGAAATATACCTTGTCCGGCAATGAGAAATCAGGAACTGGATGATATTCTGCTGCAATGGCACCTGGTTGAATATTATCTTTAAGACAACTATCAGGATCTTGCAATAACTTTGTACTGTTTGAACTCCACCAAGGATATAACCCTTGTTTGTTGGCTTTATACTTGCAGACATCTAAGTTGTCTGAAAATGAAAGTAAACCTAATGTGAGCATAAAAATCATTTTGTTTCATTGCAATTCATGTCATTGTTGTTATTTTTATAAAAAAAAAAATATTCTCTCCTAAGCTACTGGATCAATTTATGTTGAATTGTCAGCATTTAATTTTATGAGATTTTGCAGAAAAAGCAAACTGTCAAATTTTATATGGCTTCTACCGCTATAATGTCTCTTGATTTAGACACTCATTTGCGATGAACATAAATCCTGAAGATCAATTAAACTAAAATTGTTATACCTGATTAATAATTATAGTATGTAACTTTTATACACCGACCCCTACTTGGTAGTTATGAATATTGTTCATGATCTTGCAATGACGTTTTAACATTTTCTGCATGATTTTTAATGAACTTTCTTATATAAATAAAGTTCTATAATAATATGAATATATGAATTTATACCTCTTCCATTTACAGTAACACAGGTTGAATCTTGTACACACCATGCACAACTATAGGGATTCCATCCATATGTTGAATTTCGAATATAGCTGAAAAAATAGTATTTATACATATAATTTTATGGCAATATATAGAAGTAACACAGAGTTTTGATGAGATTTATTGTATAGCGGTGGAGCACAAAATACCTCAAAACCATAAAACCTACACTTCTTATTCAAGAAAAGATTAGGAGCTAAACCATTAATAAGAACAAGGTTAAACTAAGAAATACTTGCTTAATTAGAAGTACAGTTTAATAAAATATCATTGTTACCTTTTAAAACTCGTACACGAGACACAATCTTTTAAAAGTGGGCAGACGCTCCCACAAACAGGTGATAAACCTTCTCCACTGACACAATTTCGATTTAACCACACACAACCATTTGCATAATCCGTGTTGCAAGACATGTCGTTCATATGTTCTGAGCAAGCAATCATTACTTCTTCCGGGGGGACGTAGGGTGTGAGTTTGGGTAACTTATACGCCAGTAATTTTCCTGACATTGCTCCGTCATATCCCCCATGTACAAGAACAACATTGTGATTCATTACAGAAGCTACATGGCCGTATCGTCCATAAACCATTTGTCCGCGAGGATGTAGAACATGTGGGGCAATATCGGCAATCCAAGAATGACAGCGTAAATTATAAAAATGAGTCTTGCTGTTATAGCATTTATCACTGTGTGTATTACCACCATGTACGATCATGTAATCGCCGACGATGTTTGCAGAATGGAAGACGAGAGGTTCAATATTGTAGGCATTGATTTTGGGATCCTTAAAACAAAAAGTATCAATATTTATTATTTTTGATGTTTTCTATATACAACTCTACTTCAAATAAGGCTCTAGACAAGCATTCACTGATATTTAGGCATCTACTGTTATGGAAAGAGATTTTTTTGCTGACTCTTTCTTAATCAGTTTTGGGCATGAAGTTGAAACCTGACAACTCTGATGTGTGACTCAACATAGTTAGCTCTGAAGCACCACTGGGCCATATATGCTCGACTTAGGAAGCTATAAATATCATACTTATACAAAACATGTAAAAAAAACAGCATACTTACTGATGCCACAACCTCGGCCCATCTATTAAATTCTAAGCTGTAAAGAAACACAGAGCTCGAGTAAACTGCTTTTTGTAAAAGATCCATACGTAATCCGCCAAAAACAACAAGACTTCCATCCACCATATCATAAACCATTGAATGTCCAGCCATTCTTAACATTGACTCTTTCACGCCATTCGGGTCATATTTAACCCTTTCCCAGCGTTTGATTTCCCAATTGAAACGAAACATCTCAGATGACAAGCCCTCATCTGGGGCATTGCTAGTTCTCCCTCCGAAAAGATAAACATACTGACGATGATCAGAATGGACAAGAGCAGTTGTGTGTTGACAAAGAGCAGGAGGGGCATCGTGCCATTCATAGCCAACATGCTTACGCCAGGCATTCGATGCTGTATTATAAATCCATGTTTCGGAACTTAGCTTTTCTTCCCCTAATTCCCCCCCATATAAAAGTAATTGGGGAACATAATTCACTTCATCGACAGCGGTCATCTAAAAACATAAAACAAGTGTATTTTAATTGAATGGCAGAACGGAAACAATATAAAGTGTTCTATTAGAGCGATTCACAGCCAGGGTTAGCCAAGATAGATTTTGGGAATTTATTGATGAGTTCTGCAAGCATGAGGTGAAAATTAAATAGTAAATTAAGAATACTGGCAATTCGACATAACGTAACATAAGATTTTCTTCATATAAATGAAAGATTATTTCTTTCACATAATTATTTCAGTTAAAACAAGTTCAAAGTGACATTTGACACTGTTTTTGTTTGCGCCACATGTAAAAAATAACGGTAATAAATGTATTCATTGAAACGAATGCAGGACTTTCAGGAAACCATCAAAAAAGCCTGTGACTCTGAAAATGTTAGAAACCATTGTCCTATCAAAACATTGGAATCTTATTAAACCACTGTCCGCTTTTATACTTGAGATGAGGCGCAAGCCCTAGTTCTGCGTCTTAGGCCAAAAATAATTGCATGCTAGCTGAAATATTTCACTTATAGGAATTCATTTGCTTCGTTGTACCGCATTTAAAGGTAGGAAATATCCATTAATAAAAACATATTTTTAGGATTGAATTCAAGCTTATTCTGGTAAAAAAGTACTGGTTTGCCGAGCGAATTGCATGGAATAATTTCTAAAATTTCAATTTTAATTCATGTATTTTAGAATATCAAACTGAATCAGATAATTAATAAGCTATTCGTTATGGTATGTGAACAATATAGGATTGATAAAGTACATAGATGAATGTTCAGTATCATGGATGATCACAAATATACGCTATTTAGAAAAGAAAAGCATAATGCAATTCTCATGGTCACAAATTCGGCACTAAATTACGGTAGTACTCATTCCAATTATGGTGAAACCAGAAAAAATTTATTAGTTCAGATGTAACCTAAGTATAACCTAACATTAACCTTGAAAATAGTGCTACGAGCAATCAACAACATATAATTATGATGCTTGTGCCTGAGGCAAAGGTAACCACACTTGACTCATGAGTGTGACAGTGACACTAACCAATTATTAGCAAAAAGATGCCACATAATATCATTAGATTACAGACTATAATGTGAACACCTATACGACCAAAAATTGTCAATCTTACAAAAAAATCAAGAGCAAATTATTTTCCTGATAGATTGAATTTTTCTCCTGCAACACATTTTAAATGGGGAATGTATATAGACTGTAGAGTGTAGAGTTACACATTGTTGGAATTAAATTCTTCATATGGATGGTATAATAAAAAGAGCTGGTCAAGTGTTGAACCAAACAATGTTGGCGTTGAAGATTAAGGATTTTTTAGTTCAAACCTGGAGCAGAATTAAATTGGAAAAGCAATGTCAAAGTGAAAAATCCCATTCCTTTTAATGAATGGTAACCCTTAGATATCAGTGTCTGCCCTGATTATACAGATTCTTGTTCGGAGTGGTATGAAAACACTCTAAAAATACAGATAAGGTATAAGGTAGAAACCCTGTCAAACACCCATTTATCACACAAACACAGAGATACTTACCGAATGCCAGAATCTTGGAGATGGTTGTGAATGTACAGGAGATTGTAGTAACAGCCACTCGTTTACTTCAAAGTTATATCGTAAAAGTTCACCAAGAGGTTTATTCAAATCATATCCACCAAATATATAAAAATTAGGATAGATGAATACACCAGTATGAGCAGCTCTGCCTTTGCTCCCTGGCTCATCTTTGTAGTCATAAACAGTCGTCCACCATCCACCCTTATCATCATAAAATGTGTCCATTCTACATCCAGTGCCAATGTAACCAGGCCGACAGTTGCATTTTTTAGATCTATCGAGAAAAGAAAAAAATGAAATTACATTACGGTACTTGAAACTAGAAAGCAATTCCTAAATATAGCAACACAAAAGTCAAATGACAAATATGAGGTTTGAAATCAGTGATTCTCATTTGAATGCTGTAGCAATTAACATTGTCATCATCCCTTAGCTTAGCACTGGGTACGCTGGAAAGATAGGTGGACTAGCTTGATGAAATGTAATGTGATGATGGCATTATTTTTACAAAGCTAGCAGAATTTAGAGTAAAATCGACCACATAAGACTAACATAAGAATTGAAAAAATAAAATAAAAATAAAACCTTCTAGGGACTTATTTCATCTCCAAATACTATTTGAGTTTCTTAGAAAAAAATAACTTTTATGCAACAACAGCAACTTCACAACAATAACAGAAGTTTTGCAAAACTATTCATGGGTTTACTTATTGTACAATTAGTTGCTTTAATTAAAGTAGTAGTAAATTAACTTTGCCAGGCAATAATACAAAGCTATCAAAGCCACAAAACTAATTATATGTCTAGGCCCACAATTTAAATATTGACTAAGGAAAAGGTAAAGCATGAGAATGTATATCCCTGGGGAAAGTAAAACTAATAACACAACTTAATTTCATTTCAAATTTTATCTACCTTGCTTTCATAACATAAATTTTTAAAAATTCACCTAGTTTCTGTACGACATTTTCCATTCTCACAATTGTGTGGACAAGCATGTTGTGAACAGTCAGACCCTGTCCATCCTTCATTACAGGAACATCTAAAAATGATCAACAATCGAAAGAATTACATGGCATATTTACCTTAATTAAGTCTCATTTGGCATTATTCAAATGGTTTACTACACGCAAGTACCTCTATTTATAAACATTTATATTTCAATATATTTTCATATTTTTTTGTTTTATATGGTGCTTATTCATGCCTTGCTCCGAATAAGACTCTTTACAAGCTTACATTGATATCTAATACTATGCAAGAAGCTGATATTATTTGGAAGAACCGAATCTTCTCAGTTCGGCAATACCTACTCAAATCATTACACATCATTGTGAGGGCATTGGATTTGAAACCAAAATGTGTTCTCTATGATGCAAACAAGGTTAAGGAAAGGCTTCAACTATGAAAATTTTACTAATTTTATAATTTAAGAAGTGTTTCTATGTACAATATTACATTGATTTACACCAGAATGAACAATATCTCTTCAAAATTTTATGTTAAATATAAAAAAAATTCAGATTTACTATGATGTCATATTGGTTGAGATAACACTAACAAATAAAAACAATAGAAACCTTTTTCTAGTGTTCCCCTAATTTAATAAGACTACATTACAAAGCGGAAAAGAGTAGAGATTTGGCTAAATGCATGCTGCAAGTCAATAAATCAATGAACCCACAACTGTGACAAATCTTGAGAGAAAATCATTAAATATAAATTAACAAATTTCTTATATGCATCATCGGCATAGGCAATATAAACATAAACATTCATGCGAGAAGATATATTCCAAAAACAAAATATTAAAGAGAAAAAAGAAATAAAAGAAATAGTATAAAAGCAAGCAATCATAAAATAACCTTTGTCTGAAGCATCTTCCATGTCCTGAGCAATTATTTAGACATTCACTGATTGTAAAGGAAGCTTCAAATCCATCAAAATCAGTATTGATGTCACTAAGATAAAAGATTATAGATTATAATTTCCATTATAAGGAATTAATTTGCATCTAATGAGAATAATCCATTACATGCATGGGTGAGTGAATAAAGATTAGCACAAGAATTCCCAATACAATATTTGAAACTGAGTCATATCAGAAAAGACAATAGTTTATATTTTTGCAAAATGACAATTTTCGAAAGACAAAATAATGGAGCTTATTCACACACTCTAAAAATGACATACATGTCACAACTTGAAATAAAGTAATTTAATAAAAGATATACACAGGTTTCTTAAATTCAAAGCTTTTGGAAAAGTTTTAGAATGAACTGCATTTCACGCCCAATCAATTACAGGTAACCAAATTGAAACTTAAAAACAACTTTCATTAAAAAACAAATAAACCAACCAGGCTGGCCAGAAACTTGGAATGACTGCAATTAATATCAAAGTTCCAGGTGTGCATTGAAACATATTAATAAATTACACAAAATACAATTAATTACATAGGCCAATTGACACTCTACGCTGCTATCTAAAAACTTAACTAGAGATGTGCAAATAGAGATGTGCTGAAAATTACAATAACAAAGCCGTTAGATAGGCAAATCTGTTAAAATCACATTTATTGAGTAAAAAGATATGGTGATCTCCATTTCTGACAAATAATCAATCTGTACTTGGTCAAAAATAATCATGGAGCATATACAATTTATAAAGTGGTCACTCCAGAAGTGTATGTACCAATATGGGGATAACTAATTTTATTCGCCTACTTTACATCAAGTTGTGTAAAGGGGCGAAAGACTATGGGCATGGAGTATATTTTCTTGGCTAACATAGACAGTCCCTGAACTCGTAATAGAACTAAAATGCGAAAAATCAGAATAAAATTATAGCCTAACTCTAACACATACTACAGGAGTACCAAAAAGTGAATCCTGGAATATTATTTAATGGGCATAATTCCATGAAAAAAATAGGATATAGTTCCATATATTTCTAGTTTTGGCATTTTGATGGTTGCACATAACTTTGCTCAGTAATTAGTCTCTTTGAATGACTTTGAATTTGGCTCTCAACAAATTCATCTTGAACAAATGAAGTATTTATCTATTCCATAAGAATTAAAATCAGAATGTATTCAGATAATTTGTAAGTTGTAGCTCACAAAATTACTCAAGTTTGTTTCCATTAAATCAAACTGTCATCACCATAAAGTAGTATTGATCTAATTATAAAAGACAAACAAATCTACTTTAGCTAATAATAACAGCATTTTTACCTGAATAAATAAACAAGCATCTTCCCATTTCCCGCTGATATTTGGTGAAGTGGTACTGTTGTAGAATCCCCACTCAATGTTGCCAGTAGTCGACCATCATATGACTCACCATCATATATCATCACATAATCATATCTACATTCAGTTTTTTTGCCCAGAAATTTGAGAGAAATATATGGAAATTTGGTTGCATTTGGACTTGTAATTAACCATTCACATCTAAACAAAAGAATCGAAATAAATAACAATCATTTTGGGGGAAGAGAAAAAGCAGGGCCGTAGGAATGAATAGAGTATTTGAATCTATTAGGAAATGTTTATATTCAATATTTGAAATTTATGAACTAAATTATGTTCGGTTCCATTACATTTGATATACGCATGGATATACGCATGGGTTCAAATGTACATGGTTTCAAATGTACGGTCACCATTATGTTCATCCAATTTCTGGAATTAGTAAGAAATATAAACCCATTTTTTACCTCAATTTTCTTATATATTTGATTTCTGTATGTTTTTTGTACGGTCCGATTTAGAATATGGGCCTATTCAATGTCCCATATTCTATACTAGTATTTAGGAATATATTCAAAATAATAATTCTTTTTGGCCATTTTTTGCTGATGACCTTTCATAAAAATTCAGGTAAGAAAGAATTTATTTTAAAATTTTCAAATAAAAACTCCCGCCAAACACTTACAAAAGCATTAATTAGCGATAAAGATTACTTGGAAGAAAATGGGACCATGTATCACCTTTGGTTTGAAAAATAATCGTTTGATCCATCGGAAATGATGCCAGTTGTATTTGCTGAAAAAATCATCTTGTGTTGATGACAACGCGAAATGCATGAAGCGACGGTGAATAAACAAGGCAATAAAATCCATACTATATTCATCATTTTACTCCCTGTAACTCCATTCTGTTTAGTGGATGCGTAGTATCTCATCTCTATCAGTGAAATAATCCGATGCCATCCTAAATCCATTGATTGTAAATGACAAGTGTTGTGTAACAAAAGTGCAGCAGAATGCAATCAGAAATAGTTCAAAATTCTGATTGAGGCTTTTAGAAACAAATTATCAATTTATTCCTCCATACAATCCATTACATGGTGAATGTGAATTGGTGAACACACAGTTGTCCAGCCTTGAATGTATGATGAAGTCTGCACTGGCACTTTGACATTCCAATCTATCTGTCTATGGTAAATAATATTAATAATATATGGTAATTGGTAAATAATAAATATTAAGCGAAGAAAATTCAAAATGGAAGAATCAAGAGCAATAAAAACTACAAATAATGAAAACATGTAAAAATACTGATTAATCCTGGAAATTTTCCTATTGATATTCCCCTCCATTAGTCTACAGTATTTTTGATTTATAGACTTCTAACCCATGCAAAGAGAGAGAGAGAGAGATTTATTGATTTAAGATTACAAGATGTAAACAAATACGGTACCGGTACGTACCGGTACAATCAACAAATTGTTTTTAAATTATTTTACTGGTCATTAAATTTATCACAGTATTGACTTTGTTTGGGATGATATACGATAATCTCTCTTATCATTCATCTGTCCATATAATATGGCGCCGGTATTTGTTACGGTACCGGTAACGGTACCGGTACTTTTGTGTTCAGTTTTTCCCACCACCGCCACAGAAAATGTAAGAGTGTACCGTACCGGAAAGATACACCTTCGGCAAGATGGTACCGGTAGGGCAAGCTATAATCGAACAAAAATTTTTGTACTGTGTCAGCAATCCCTGTATCCTGTTTAATTTGTACACTAAGCGAAAAAGAAGCACCTATCCTGCAAGTTCATTTCCAAAATTTGATAATATTCGCCACATAGTGTCAGCTTGAAGCCTTGAACAATGCCGATACCGATACATTTCGCCGAAGACGTTTAACCGTAAATACATGGGAGACCTCGACTTTCGACGCAGTTCCGTTCCTGAGACTCGATGTAACCCGAATTTCAGTGTAAGTCGGAACATTATACTGTACAGTGGTACAGTGCAGGAATTACTCTATTTACACATCGTACTGTATTGTAAAGTATGGTACTGTACACCAGTGGTTCTCAACCGCCGGTCCGCGGCAACGTTGCTGCCGGTCCGCCAAATATATTACAATAATAAAATATGTTATATATAAGAGAATCGCAAAATTTACCGTGTGTCCGGTAATTTTGTGATTTTTTAACTCTTATTGATCGGGGGCGGTCGCCCCCAACGACTAACATACCTATTTAAACGCATGTTGTTTCCGTCTTACAAAATTATCATTTTCGATAAGTGCGATAGTCGAGCGCGAACAAATGGTTAATATTTACCGATATTATAACTGTTTTCTGACAATATTGTACACGAGAGCGCCTCAGAGCACTGCCCATTTTTGTAAAAGATGCGTGGCCCGCAAGGGTGGTAGTACGTGGTCTTCAAACGTACCGTCGATCCCGCGCTTCGGTTTTGCTCTACCTCCCCGTTCCACTTTACGCCGTTATTATTATCACAGGTGTTCTCACTTTTGCACAACCTAATTCATTTCTGTTATAATTTAATATGTTTCTCCCAGTGTCGAGAGAAGTGGAAGAGGCAAACGAAGTGTATTTTATTACAACAAATAATTATTATCCCTAAAAACACTAAATAGGTTTAAAGTTGTTATACACAATTTCAAACAGTGGACATATCTTTTCACGTCATGAATTTTGTGCAAGGCCCGAGCATAATTTGATGGCAAAGATCATAGCATGTAGTATGTCGAAACGCTTATCCGACTTATCAGACCACAGAAACTATCCAAAAAAGATGAACATTTTTGTGTTCGAGATATAAAATAATCGTTAATTCCATCACGCTTTCGCGAAGTAGTGCAATTCACTAAATTTAATGAAAGTTTTATTTCATTGCACCAGTGTTTGGGCTACCAAGCGTTTTGCCAGATTACTGGCGTGGTTACAGATCGCCAAGGTGGGCAAAGTCGAATAGTTTTATCGAATCGAATAGTTTTATCGAATCGAATATTTTAAACGAATTGTCAAATATCAGGTATTCAGAACGCTATGTTATTGTTACGTAACAATATACGCGGTTGTGTTTATTGCTTGGCGTTCCAAGTTCGCTTGCAGCAATGTTGATGTGGATCACGCAGAACCAAGCGAGAAAAACGAAAGGAAGACTTTATTAGGCAATATGATAGCAAGTATTTGGAGTTAGGTTTACTATTGTTCCCAGCAGCGAAAAAGTACCACTTCCCAGGTGCCTAGTCTGTGCAAAAATTCATTTAAACGACGCAATGAAAACCCGCAAAGCTAACGAAATCGCTTGGAAGTCAACGCTCTACTCGCCTTGCAGAAACTTCATTAGAACCGGATTTAACACGTATAACATCAAATTCTTCATTAAATTGGATTGTCTTTTTTTGCACCGCCTACTTTTGTCGTAATTGCATTCTTTTAATTATGTTTTGTGTTCATGACATTTTTGGTTAATTTTGAAGGTCCGCCGGTCCGCAAAATTTGTTTTGAAATTTTACCGGTCCGCGAACTGAAAAAGGTTGAAAACCACTGCTGTACACCAACTAATAAAATGTACAAATAATGCAAATAAGAACTTTATTAGAAAAACAGAAAACAATTCCACATCACGTGAATAAAAGCAAACACTGTACAGTATCTTAACATCTTTTTTTTGCTTTGAGTCCATAACAAAGGGCAAAAGTAAAAAAAAACGATCAAACAAGTTACGAAAAAAACGGCTTGAACAACCAAAATAACGTACAGTATCACTGAAACTGTGTACAGTACTATATCACTGGAACTGTGTACTGTACCATGTGACTGTAGCTTAGTGATTATTCGTTCACAATCGTAATAGTTCGCAATTGGTCACGTCATTTACGATGTAAATAACGAAAACCAATGAGCCCAGAGCACTGATTTCCTTGATCACAATGATCCAGTTTATAGGCTTAGATATTACAGTAGGCTACAGTATTATCTTTTATATCTGTATATGTTCGTAACCTCGAAACAGCGTAAGTCGTAACCCGAGGACTTCCTTGTATACGGTTTCCCCGATTTAAAAAAATGTAACACAGTTTCGTCATTTGTGTAACATTGGAGGAAATTGTTTATGCATGGCAAACTGTTGAATAGAGCAGTGGTTACGTTTAACCGTAAATATATGATTTAACCGTAAATATATACTACGTAAATATAATACTATATATAATAGTATATATTTACGGTTTCTTCGATTAAAAAAAATGAAACACAGTTTCGTCATTTGTGTAACAATGGAGGAAATTGTTTATGCATGACAAACTGTTGAATAGAGCAGTGGTTCCCAAACTGTGGGTCGCGACCCCCGATGGGGTCGCGTGAAGATTTTCCGGGGTCGCCTAATTTCTTGCAAACATGCGAACACAAGTGACTAGGATTTTAAAGTTGGAAAATCAAATTTGTACTGGTCGGCAGATACCGTAAAAGTACCTAACTTTGGATTTTTCAGCAATAACTCGACAATTTAGTGTCCAAACGGCGCCAAAATTGCTCGGTAAAACTTTCATGCGATACTTTTCCAGCTGGTCGGCAGATAACGGTATTAGTAAAATTAATTGAGTGACCATGGTACGAGCGCCAATTATATTTTCCTTTTTATAGCTTTTTGATCATGTTACATCCCTATGAGTAGTTGACCCGATGGTACGCGAATCGGGTTTTTGCCAGGCTGCGAGAAATCATGTTGATTTGTGATTATGTACCAGTGTAGCCGCTTGGTTACCGAAAATACAAAATAAATTGCTTTATCCGGCGATTGGACCTTAATCAGGTGTTTGGTAAGTGTGGTATTGGTTGACAGGCGGGATCTTGACCGAGTAATTATTAACCTCTAGGTTTCGATCCGGTGCGAAAGCGCTTTGTTAATTCGCGCACGTGTCTAAAATCTACGAGTAGGCTACGTGTTTTGCCCACACCGCCTCCACATGGTGAACATTTTCGTATTGCAATATTACGTATTTAGACGTTTCACATAAAATTACGAAGCGTTCCGAGCAGTCAAACACAAAACCACAAGTCCTAGCTTTAATAAAGGCACTTGAAATATGTGATTCAATACACGCTTTTTCCTATTTCACATTCATGCTCTGTTTTACTTTCGAATTAATATTTGAGCAATCTGTAATATGTTAATATAGAACTAAAAATAATAAAGACGCTGTTGGAATATACTAAATAAGAGATATATTCAGAAACAATCTTACGATTTCCGAATATCGTACGCGTCCTTACAATCTACCACATTTTATCAAGTACATCTATGTTTCGTCAAAGAACCGTTATAATTCTGATATAACAGATTATTACACCGTGGTTTTCATACGATTTCATGTGTTATCAAATCTTCTGAGGTTTTTCCGGCGCATTGCCGGACTCGTTCATATATTTTTTGACGTCTACTTGCAGTCGATACGTTTCTAGTTGTGGGGTCGCGAGTATTTGTAGGCTTTGATTTTATGAAAATTGGGGGCGCAAAAAAAAAAGTTTGGAAATCACTGGAATGGAGGATATAGCGTAAAAATGTTTATAAATGCGAAAAAAATTGATGCTTCTAGAAGCGGGAACTGTCAGTCCATATAATCTTTTATTAATAAGAAAAAAACCTTAGACTGATTTCCAATTACTGCTGCAAAACTCATTGAAAGATAAAATGATCATTGTGTAGGATAGGATAGGATTTACATATTTATCCAGGGGTAGAGGAAAGCCGAAAAGACGGCTTAATCATATGGCGAACCACGGCCACTCGCCCGGTTACCAGTCTAGGTCGGGTATGGGATTAGTTAGCGAGTTATTTGTTTTCGGAAGCATGGGCTTGATGGTGGAGGAAGCCGTAACCGACCAGCGGTTACGTGAACCACCCTACGGCGGCGAGGAGTCCAGCAATCCTTTCGCACATGATCATCCCCGCATGGGATTCGAAGGGTAATCAGAGATGCGGAGGCGAGCGTATTCCTAACGCTTAGCACGATGCGCCAAACCGCCGAGCCAATAGTGTAATTTGAACCGAGAAGCGAGTGTAATTTGAATTAAGCCTAAACCTCAACTACACTCTACACCAGATCCGAAGAGGCCAAGCTTCTATTAAAATTAGTTCGTTACCGTAGTTTTGTTTCAAATCAGTTAGTTACGGGTACCGGTAAATAGGCTCCGTTGCGTATGTTTATCTATGGACGGATAATTTTAAAGGTTTTAAAATCCGCTGAGAGTAGAACAAGAGAGCTACGCCCAAATATATGGAGACGTCTGTTCGCAGTACGGTTTACCGTACCGTCAGATCACAGTCTACAAATATATTCACACCAAGCAATGACATTAAACAACATGATAGGCAACTCTGACGTCACTCCGTAAGACTACAAGCGAAAGATTGTATTTCATGATACGCTCCAATGCACATATTTCTCGTCGCCTGTCGCGACCGTTTTCAGCTCGCTTTTGCTACTCGGCGTTTTCTTTACGTGTAGTACCTGCCTTTTTGCGACTGTAACGAAAGAAAATAATCTCTATATCTAAGAAGTTTTACTCACTTGGAAAGCTGGAATGGCAGACAAGCTGTAAAGAGCAATTCTGGACATCATAGACGTTTTTTATCAGAGAAGATTACAAACGCGATAGCGGAAAGATTTGTGTGGAACATTTTGCAGATAATAACAAATTTCAAAGTTAGTAATTTTAATGTTTGCGCTTAAACATTGAAATTTCATTTAAAGAGGGTGTCATACAGGACAGCAAAACTGTTTTTACTTCTCCTAACGGTGCTGTGATACAATTCCATAACATAAAGTTTGCACCTATCGAACTTGTTTTTGTAGGTGAATTAATTAGACATATTACATATTCAGTTAATCGTAGGTAACATTGCTGGTACATAATGCCTCGTAGATAGGTTTGTTTAAATTTAGGAATTCAGCTCATAGCCCACTAATTAATATTATCTTCTATGCAGGAGGTTGCAGGGCTGGATTCAACTTGCAGCCTTACCGATCACCTGACCATGCTCATTTAGTTTGGCTCGAGCAAGTCTTCTTGAAAGACTTGTGTGAATGGAAACTACCTATATGTTTTTGCCTTCCTCCGATTTTAGAAGACAAATTTATTCTGAGGGATTTCGCATATAATTCTCATTGGTTGTTGGCTGTTTATAATTCCTATTAATTGTGAATTCTGATTATAACAAAGAGTTAAAAAAAAATTACGTAATTTACTGGCACCTCTTTTTTGTCAATACTCCAAGCTGAGGTAATAAACAAGACAATACATTTATGTCATCTGGAAGCAAAATATGCACACTAATTAATAGTTTGACACATCATCAGAAAATCCAAGTTGAAGATATGTATGACCATCACATGGTATTTAAAATTAAAAAAACATTAATAGCGGCTGTGGAGTATGAAAAGTTCAAGTCAAAGAAAAGAACAAATGTTCATAGCTCATGAACTCTTAATTTTGCCTCCATTGCTTTGTGAAGGCCAATATATTTCGAGTGGCCGAATTAGTTTACCTTTATGATAGCAACGTTTTTGTATTTAATATAGCAAGATTTTTTTCAATTTAATTGAAGTGATATTATTTCCCAAAGCAATGCTTGAATCGTCTAGAATAGATCAGTGGTGTCAAACTCATGGGTTTTCGAGAGCCGCATTGCATTTTGGAAATTGTAAAAAGGGCCGCAAACAGTTTTTGATAATGTATACTTGAAAGATATTTTTAATATAGTTTTAGTTTGTGACATATGTTGTGATGCAACTAAACAGTTGCATTAAGTTTCATTATTTTCTTTAATTTCAAATGCAATTACATATTAATATTTGCATTCCACTATTATTGCAAGTTACTGTATTTATTACAAAAAATCATAAAATTCTCTGTACATCCATCAAAATCATTTTTGAACAAACTTTGGATAAGGAAAGAATAATACATACACTAAAAATGACTTAATTTAAATATATGAACCTAAAATTAACAAAAATACTACAGTATAAACTCAATGTTTTTTAATTACATTTGTCCTGACGTTTTGTATCTTTTTTGTGTCACCAGCATACTAAGGCCAGGCTGAAATGATTTTATAGTACCAACTCTAACTAACGAGGTCACATGATCATGAGCTAATCTGGATCTTTGCGAAAATTAATTCCAGTAATGCAAAAAAGTTATTTTTATAATTTCATGTATAGATCAGTAAAAAAACACATGACAGATTTTTTCGACAAGACATTTCGCACCACATTGCGTGGCATAGGATTGCTTGAATTATTATTGATATTGATTTTTAGTAACTAAGTCGTTGTATAATTATATTAATATACAAACACATGAAAATTTTCTGTTCAAAGTGGCTCTTCGAATTTGTCATATTGACTGCTGAGCTTATTGTGTTTTTTCATTGTATTGATGGAAATATGACAAATTAAACAATGTGCTTCAGAATTTTGTGAAATGCAGAAATATTGCAACTCTCATTTTCTTTGAAAATGCCACCTTCTTCATGTACTTTGCGTTTAATTTAATCACTCAAGTGTTTTATTCAAGTATTCTTTTGCTAGCTTGATGTGTATTCTTAATTGGGTCAAAATGTGAACAAAAAAAAATTAATTTTCCAAAACTACTTTCAGTAAATTGTTTTCTGTGTGAATAATCAATTTCACTTTAAAAGGTTTGAAAAATCTATTACATTTAGATAGAAAAAAAACTTCCAAAATACTATTACAATTATTGCTAAGCGTTCGAGGGCCGCACTGGAAGTTCTCAGGGGCCGCGAGTTTGACATCCCTGGTCTAGATTGAAGTTGTCCAAAATATATATAACAGTATTTTATCATGAATATACCCTTTCCTGAATTTCTTCTATAGTACTACCAAAAGTTGATGAACCAAATATAACACAGGTGTAGTGAGTTAGCCGTAATCCTCATTTTCCAAAGCTGTTATAAGTATGTCTGGCGTGTTTTGTGCCTTTTTACAAATAGGACCGCTTATGCAAGCTCACGCTTTTGAACTTTTTGTTATTTTCTAGCTCTGCAGGGTGTGGGGGCCTTACACAACTCTACCGGAGGGTCAAATGTCTTTGCATGCCTCCATAGGTTGTTCTTCTATTGCAAAAATTTATGGAGTACTCTAATTATATTTCTTGAAATCACACGGTCACTGATATGTCGCCAGACTTCTGATATCTCCCCTTCTGCTATAGTTGTCCTGTGAATAAATAATAGGAAATTGAGATCAGACGATTAGTTGAAACTTTTGCTTTATGTCGGCTTAATTTCTTGATTGATATACTTACTATTTTTGCTATTGCCTCTTGTGCTGCAGGAGTCTCACAATGCTTAAACAGGTTTGTCCAGATTCACATCTGAGGAAGGAGAGGAGATTTATTAATTTTCGTCAAGAATAAATGAAGCAGTCTATATGATTTAGAATGGAAAAGCTAATAAGGCCAACATCTCATGTTTAATGTAAAAAATGTTATACTGAATTTGGTATATAAACCAACTAATAAAGGAATTTAGTCAGAAAATTACAAGCATTCGTGGCTCCATATACTTGAGAGATCAGACTATACAATATAGACCGGTATGAGTGAAATGTTAGGTGAACTTGTTAACCCTTTGATTCAATCCTCACTGATTAAAAAAAATCTAAATGGAGGTGCATGAACTATTTGAAACCATAAGGGGTAAGTAAATATGCAATTTTGGCAAATGGGCAACTACGTACCGTACTGAATTAATAACTTCGTAGTATTTGACAAAAGCTGGCTTTCCCACAAGTACTTAACAGTGCGATGCCCGGATGTGATATACAACAACCTCAACTTTCCAAAATATCAATAAAATCGACAACAACTGTCAAAGCCGGCACGAACACCATTCGTGCTATGCCTTGAAAGCAGCACACATCCGCTCGTTTTCGTCTCGTCAAGTATGTGCATTGGAGCGTGCTATCGGATACGATCTTCGGCCAAAAATGCCGTAGTTGCGCATCATGTTGTTTAATGTCAGTGCACCAAGCGAACCAGTACAGTAGGACACAAAATGGCGTCCGATGTCCACAGAACGTTTGATGACGTCATAGCAAACAAAAACAAATCTCACAGAGCTAACAGAAATATTTAAAATTGGGAAAATTTTTATCTCCAACCACTGAAAATTTCAAAGCAATTGGTCCAGTATTCGAAGAGAAAAGCGGTTTTTTAATATTTCTACTAGGTGTGTTATTCTGTGTCAAACAACAAGAACAACATAACATTGAAACGATCGTTATGTCCACTACGTGTCCAATAAGTAAACGCTTTTTGTTTTCATGTCACCTCTTCGATGTATGCTGCCACTTATTGCCTACGTGACGCCACGCGTGCTGCAGTTACTTTGTAGAAACAAAATTTTATTTTACCTGGACTATCGCGGTGGAGTCAGAAATGGAAGACGAGTTTGATGTAATTCTTTTCGGTGATTCACGCGAAAGAGATCGTGGGTATGTAGAAGGAATATCGCACGGATCCAGAGTTGGAAAGCTGGAAGGTTTTTCAACAGGATTGAACCAAGGACGTTTGACAGCTGGAGAAATTGTTTTTTATCTGGGATTTTGTGAAACATACATTATGCAGCTGAAAAATTTATCGAGTAGTGCAAACTCAAATAATTTTAAATCTTCTCCCGACCAAAGTAAACTTACATTAAAGTTGAAAAACACAATCTCACTTATAAACGAGTTTATAACCCTCTCACCAGAGGATGAAAAATATTCAAAATATATGAACGACATTCGAACGAATCTGAAAATTTTGTCCTCAAAATTGAAAGTTTCTATTAGTTTTTTAAAAAATTCTAGTGATGTAAATTTTTAATAGGAAGAAATAATATCAATTTTTGGCTATGCACTGTACTTCTTTTTATGATTGACTATTTTATGCCATGTCTGCATGTTGTTTACATGAAGGTGTGCTCCAAATCCTGGATATTGAATTTTAAAAGGATATGTTGTATCATATTTCGCTGCGATGATAAATGTTACCTAATTTAACTATGTGCAAGTGTATATTCTCATTCATCGTTTTTTATCAGTGTTCACATTTAGTCACACAATTTTCGATGACCACTTGCTTGATTTTGTCAAATTCCTCACAATTGTAAGGTTTGGTTATCAGTGCAATTATGATATATTTTTAGTGCTCTTCAGTGTAAAATTATCATAAAATGGATGCCAAAAATATTAATTTGCGCCCTGACTGGAATTTATTGGATTCTACTTTTGAATCATATAAGCTGTCTCTACAGCAATTGCCGGTGTATCATGTAAATCCAGACTGTGAATTGGATACGGTAACTTTGGCTAATGATGATTTCTCATACAATCGAACAAAGGTTCTCTCCCTTCACAACTACTTATTTGGCGATCCATGGAATGAAAAGGAATGCTATTTTGTGGATAAAGCTGGTCATATTAAACGTTTGTCTGTTATTGTTGAGGCTTCAATAGGACAACCTCGATCAGTTTTTCAACTAGGATCTCATTTTTTACAAACTGAAAGGCATATGCCTGTAACAATATCTTTCCCCTCAGCTAATTTATGTTTGATATCTGATGGGGCAGGATTGGTATATCTTCTTGATACTGGGAACCGACAAACTGATACAACTCAAAAAACAAAATGGACTATCTTATTAAGTGGGAACATAGTAGGTGAAAATTCGGAACCTTCTGTACTTCTGTGTTCACGGCAGCATTTTGAAGATGCAGAACCTGAATCTGGAGATCATGGAAAAAAAGATGTCATTGATATTTTGACTTTACGATTTCAGGATGAAAAGAAAGATGATGCCGTGATATCACAAGCTGTTGTGGAATGGACTTGGTTATTTCGATATGACGAAAAGTCCAAATTTGAAATTGGCGGACATAGAATGTTCAAAGGGAAACAAGCACCTTTCTATGCCACCTTGGGTGAAAGTGGTAAAGAATTATTCATCGGGTCACATTCACCAATGAAATATGCTACTGATTGGGAACAGCAGGTTTTGAGTGAAGAAATGGAGATTGAGAATGGAGAAGCTGCTGATAAAATGGACTCCGCACCAGAAAATTCAGAATCTCTGTATAAATGGACTCAAACAGATGAAGATGTAACTGTTATGATTCCTATGCCAGAAGGAGCAGACAAAACTTCTGTTGTATATGGCTTGTCCAAAAGTAAGTTAACTGTTGGTTTCAAGGATGCGACAGGAAAGATTAGTTATGTTCTGGATGGGAAACTATTTGTCGAAGTCGACCATGAATCGAGTAACTGGTCTGTTGAGGGCCAAACCTTGACCGTAACAATCTCAAAAGAATTGGAAGGCCAAAACTGGCCAATTGTTATATTAGGTGACACTAGTGGTCAGATGATTCCCAACAACGCAGATCAAGATGTTGACATGGAGACAAAAGATGAAATGGCAGATTTAGAAGCAAGAGGTTTTCAGCCTACAGGCCTTGATCACTACGAGGATTGTGATGACTTGCCTGATGCGGATTCAATGCTGTACATGTTTGATGCTACAGAAAACAAATTCACTTATGAAGCAGGCATAGCAAGTAATCAGTGGCTATTTAACTGTTACTATAATCATAAATTATGTACAGTGCTGCGACATGATATTGACGCTTTAGTGTGGGAATCTGACACTCCCAGTGAGTCTTGTTCCAGTCCCTGGAAACATGTTGCAACATTCAATGCACTCGGGTACGTGAGAGCATCTAAAGAAGATGTAAAATATTCAGGATGCTCTCCGAATGCCTCTTATTCTGCATTATGTGAATCCAGCAGCAGGGTGTTTGTTTATCACAGCCCAACGACAACTGCGGCACCCCTTAAAAACCGAAAAACAGGCAAAAGCATGCATGTTTCGAAACAGCAAGTAGTCTCATTGCCTTCCAATGAACCGATACTTGGATTTCATGCATCTTCTGAACTTATGTTCGTGCTCACAGGAGCTAAGATTTTTATAATTAAAGTGACTGCTCCAGACACATGACTGTCAGTCAGATTCACTACAACAAATATCAATCATATCTACTGTATTGCAATTTTGCCGAAATAGAAAACTCTAGTGCAAAAAAAGTACTGCATTTCATTCATAAGCAAAAATGGATTGCTACAAACTCCTACAAATGATTGTTTACGTGGAAACCTATAATTGTAATTGTGAACCATAAGGTGATGGACATGTGTTTTAAGCTTTCTTTTTCTTAGAAAAATACTGCTCTTTTAAAAACTCTACCACTTTTTCCTCCGCCAGGATGATTGTTTACGTGGAAACCTATAATTGTAATTGTGAACCATAAGGTGATGGACATGTGTTTTAAGCTTTCTTTTTCTTAGAAAAATACTGCTCCTTTAAAAACTCTACCACTTTTTCCTCCGCCAGGTACAATACATATAGAAGTCCTGCTAAGCACGCTGCTCCTATTATTATGTGAATTACATAGTAGATCATTGATAATCCGTGGCATATATTTTCTGACAACCAGCATATGGTGAATGCTGCAACAAATGTTTGCACCACAAACCAGTGAGGTGTCAATGCTGTTAGAGGATCCAATCCCTTGTGCCCTTTGAAATATCTAAAATTAATGGGGAAAAGTATTTGTACAAACGATAATTAGATATATAAAGATACACAAGAACTGTTCAATTCACCATATAGTGAACGACGTAACATAATATGCCATCATCTTTTTCATAAAAAAGATTGATTGCTCACCTTTTTATGAAGTAGAAGCTGTGTATTATTCTTACAATCATGTTCAAGCAATTTGCAAAAATAAATCCAACTGATCCAAGATATATAGTGAAGTAATATGAAGAAGTCAGGAACAAGAGAGAAAATATCAACATCTTTTGATTGTACCTTGAAAATTAATATCATAAATGTTTCATAGGTGATAGGATATCAAAATATTCAATCGCAGCGATCTAGCCTTGTTCATAAATGTCTGGTCTAGAATGTGCATGGATGACCATCATGATTTCATTTAAAAAAACACGCCAAACCGCCGGCATTCAAATCTTCTACGATTAGTAGATATTTGAAATTGGACATGCAAAGTATTCTGGAGAAAGGCGTGCAACTTTAAGCTTTTTAAAAAGGGTGTAACAACTTGTTTCTTTGGCCCACTGTTTTAATTCAACCGTTAAGCACCCATTAAAAAATCCTTGCCGAGCCATAGCTGGACTGTGCTGTTGCTGTAACTCCCATAATACAGAGTATCCATACATCTGGGTAAATACCAGTAGTTAAATATTTTGACTTGGACGAGTGGGTGGACAGGCCACCATGGCTCGTCATGTTCTCTCCCTTCAGAAAAAATACCATAAGCAAAATTCTCTGCAAACTCACTTGTCAACATCTTTCTGGCTCATTGCAGCAAATACAAAGCATTCAGTTGTTCCATTAATTGCAATCAATAATACATAAAAGGAATAAACCCTCAATAACCCTGGACCAGAACCTGTATGAAAAATAATAAGAAAATAAATTGTGTAGAAAAACATCTATCTTGCATCTAGTATTTTTATAATATATACAAGTTGACAATTCTAATCTGTAACAAATATCTTCAAAACCTTGCATGCATATCAGTGAATTGCTAATTATGCATAGATTTCAAGTTTTTACCTTCACTTAGCAATGATCCTCCATATAGATGCAAAAATATGTAGGAGTAAGAGAATCCAAACACAAGTATTACGAGTCCAATCAAAACAACAAGCCGTAATACACAGAACAGAACGTGCCGGACTAGTTTGACTTTTTCCTTTGAAACAAAATATATATTTGTTTATGTAGGCACCCAACATGTGATTATACCAATGAATAATACGATCCTCTAAACCAGGGGTCGGCAACCTACGGCCCGCTGAGCAATATAATCCGGCCCGCGGCGCTTCGCTGAATTATAGTAAGAAAACAGCTGTTTTAACAATTATATTCTTTACGTAACAGAATTTATTATGAGACATGTGTAGACTAAATTATATTATAACCTAACAAGTATATAATTCACAATTACTCGTTTAATGAGCCTATAATTTAATTATAATTAGACAAATGGCAACAAAACGCAAAAAAGTTGATGCTAAGTGTAAATGGTTTATTAGAGCAGAAAATATTCAAATGGTCAGTCTTCGCGCTCTGCTTAAAATTTAACTTCTGACCTGTGTGAAAAAATGTGATTCATCGGCCATCGGTTTTGCCCGCCAATAACTTGCAACCTTTAGTTTTAGCCCGCGAGTGACAAAAGGTTGCCGACCACTGCTCTAAACTCTAATTTAACGTAAAACAGAGTAAATTTGATAAAATGTTTATGATTTGTTTCATCAATATTTTATAGTAGCTTATATACAACAAATACTGTAGGTACAGAATATGACCACATTGAGTGATGCATGAGAAAACGAGATGTGTTACTGTTACCCCAAGTTTACTATTGGAGCAATAAAAAAGGGATCTTTTATATTGGAAGTAATCCTTAGAATTAGGATTTTCATATCTATACCATGGAAAAGAACGTTCATAAAAACTGCTTAATCATATGGCAGACTCGCAAATGGTTCAGGTTAGGTATAATTGCAATTGCATAGACTTTGGTGATGGAACAAGCCATAACTGGGCAGAAGTTACCCAGGTCCAGCAATCCTCTATTTTATGAAAACCCAAGTGTGTTCCTGTACATTGTGTGACCCCAATACAGGATTGGGGATTGTGTACCTATGACGCCTCTTCATAGTAACATACCTGATTTTGTGCCTGAAGTGGAACACCTCTCTCTAACATTTTAGCGAAGAAAACATAAAAACTTTCTTCAATTGGTAAAAATATGAATCTGAAAGACAAATTCAGTGTTTAAAACTAGATAAAAAACAACAGCCAATAACACATTTAACGGAAAATACCTTGCTGCCATTGATCCTAGATTATTAACAACATCATAAACTCCTTGATCTCCAAATGTTAGTACATTGAATATTGTCATCACATACTTTTCCCCTAAAATTGGGAAAACAATTTCCTTAAACAAAAACATTTCTTTAGACTATTGTTACTATAAATCTCTGATACGAGATGTCAAAAAGCAGGTGATGTGTTTGAATTGATTAGAATCTTTCAGAATAAAGTAGATCCAGTTGAAAAACAAATTGACACAAAACTGTGTGAAAGTTCTCTGATGCAAATTTTAATTTAAGATCATAGTGCCCATGAAATTGAATTTGCAAAACTAAAAAATCAAGTTTCGTCTCCAGATCTCAGACACAACTCCTAAGCTAACCACCTCACAAGTCACAATGGTTGCTTGTTGAGAGTCTTATTCTGAGAAAACAGAGTGAAGTGAAAACACCTAGAACATAACTAATTATTCAGTTACCTTCAGTTAATATTTGCTTCAGTGCAGACTGTTTGAAAAAACTCCATATCAAACTTGCAGTGTCACTATCTACTGATGATGGTAAAGTGGAGGTAGGAAAGAATTGCATCATGCTTGTAAATGGAAAATCATCAAACTTCTTGTAATTTTCAGTGGAAATATACCAGGTAAAAAACCCATAAATAATGAAGACATATGAAATTGAAAATATGATCTGAAAATAGAAACCATAAAAACAGATGAGAAACGAAACCAAGTTGTTAATTGGAGCCAATCGGGCAATTATGATTATTTTATTAGGAAATATGTAAGGTAATTCTGACTAAGAGTAAGAGGTGGACAACATAATATGTAGTGCCAATGAAATATGAGCGCATTTACATTTTGAGTCTGAAGTGACAATGATTAATGTTTAGGTCAGGGTGGTCCAAGATTGGCAGCTCCGCGGGCCACAAAATTACTTTTGCATTGTTTGCGGGCCCCAATAGTGCCAAGAACTTTGCTCGTTTAACTTCGCTAGTTGCCTCAGCAAGCCATAACACTAGTCAATTCAGTGACATTAGTGATGCAACAATATGTCAAAAGATTTTTTGGTAAATTTTATGACGAAACAACACGAAATGCGATTTTTGATTCCTCCCCGAATGCGACGCGGGCCACAGATAATGAAGCGACAGGCCACATGTGGCCCGCGGGCCTGGATTTGAACCTCCTGGTTTAGGTTATTTAATCTGATTTATAATTTCATTTAACTTGGTCACTCTTGTTCTGATGACATTTGGTGATAAATTCAACTTTTATCATTCTAGCATTTTCTTTGGCGTCATCATACTAAAATCCCATTCAGTGAAAGTATGCACATTGTAAATAACCAACACATTTATTCATCAAAAAGCCATATACCAATATCACAATTGCAGATAAGTGTAATCATTAACTAAGGCAGTGTTTCCCAATTGATGGGTCACGACCTCAACGAGATTCAGCTAAAAATATTGTTGGGTCACTTCATTTTTATTGACTTTATCATCTAATAAAATTTATATTTGGTATTGAAGTGTTAATCATTAGTAATTGTATACATGGGAAGTATCGCGGTGTAAAAACATGGCAGCATCTATTCTGCCTAAGTGAAGCCATGCCACAATTTCACTTTGAAGTAATTTTTGGTAAAACAAATGTTAGGTAAAATGATTGTGTTGTATTATTAATTTAATTTTGCAGCCATAAAAACACTACATGTCGTTTAATATTTGAGCATATCCTTGGATCGTGATTTTACAAATTTTATTTATTTTTTTCAAAATTTGGGTCATTTGTAAAAAGATTGCTTGGGAACCACTGAGTTAAAGTATTATTCATCTAGTCTGACCTACATTGACCTGTTTTTAAGATTCAAAAAACAAGTGACTTACCTGTGCAACACAGAAAGCCAGAATGCCCATTTTCGGAAACAGGACAATTAATATGACAGTTGTAAGACATTTTAAAATCATGGGTATTCCTTCTGATAATACCCTCAGTCGTACAAACATCAATGCTTGTGCAAAAATAAACAGTGGTTCAGCGAGTAGTTCGATCACAACAGAAATACCAAAAATAAGAGCAGCTGTGGAGTAATATGGCACCAAAACAGGATCAGGTTTGCTAAGATGATTCATCCATATGTAAGTTAGAAGCGATGTAAAGAACAACCCAATAGGAACACTAAAAAGACAATAGTATTTGTGATTTTACTGGGAATCTGAATGACTGCATTATAAACAGTGGTTTGCAGAATACCATGCATGCTCGAGGTATTTACTTTACTGATAAAAACATTTTATATGAATTTCAGGAGAAACACATTACTAATCTTATAAAGAGCACAAATCATGATAAAAATTTACAAAATAAAAGATTCTGTACAAGGTATTGAGCAAACTTACATGCACCACAACAAGTTCATCATTTTTCTCCATTCCAAAACATAATTTTCATGTTTGTCATCTCGCTTTGGTGCTTGGCTCAAACATGCTCTGAAAAAAGAAATCAAAAATTCCTATAGATGGCAATGGAAGGCTTCACATTATATGAACTTCTATTTACTAAATTGTTGGTGATAAACACAAATTTGACATGAATATATATGTGGCAGAGGACTATTTCACTTCCATTTTTATAATATATTTAGTGATGAAATTAAAATTTTACAACATTGTATGTGGTGGGATGATCATGTATAATGACATTACTCAATTCATCAAGATGGCACACTTAACAATTAATAATCACTTCATTCCTGTGCTTGTAGAAGGTTGAAATGATTATTATCCAATGTCATAGAATTTATTTGTCCTAAGCAGGCCATGAATCATATATTATACAAAGTATACTTTCATTCAATTTGAACACAATTACCATTTATTGCACTTGATCACTGAATCGATTTATATATTCGTCTTATGCGGCAATAATTAGGTTAAGATGAATAAATTCTATCCTACAAATACCTACGAAAAGCCTCTCTAGACAGGAACAAAAGTGTGCTGTAGAGAAGAACAAGTCTGACATTGACAACTCCCAGTTCATCTTTCGTTATGTAACGCAATGTGAAGGCATTCAGGAAAAATGTTAAAAGACGGAATGACAGCTAAAGAAAAAGTAGATTTTTTAAATGTAATCAGGGATGTCAAAATCAAGTCAATTCAAAATTAAGTATTATTTGATATTTTTAACTGTTGATTCAGAGTACAAGTTATGATAGTTTTATTTAAAAAAAATTATATTCTATAATATCAGCAAGGTCTTTCTGAAAACAATAAATAATGGAGAACCAATCAAATTCTTTCCAAATGATATCCATTTATATCTGTTATTTGCTGAAAATGATGCAGCTTAGAATATACTTGATATATTTCAAATTCAAAACTATTATATTGAAATGTATTCGAAATAGAATATTTGGTTTTGGCAATCTACGGATGGAATGCATACCTAATAATAGTAGAGATGTATATCTCAGAACACCTTCATAACTTTGCGATTAATTAGGTAATTAGGATGGACTTTGTAACAATACAATAAGAACAATTTCCTTTCATGAATTTTATCAAAATGTGTAATAAAAAAATAGTTAACAATTAACATCAATAAAAAGTAATTTTTGTATCAAAAATATTAGCATCAATGCTTTCAATGATGAAAATTTCATTATTTTAAAAATTTATGACACGTAGATATAATAATTCAAAATATGTAAGCTGCACATGAGTAATTTTTTTCCTCTGACCATTGTTCCGAAAGTTACAAATACCAACATTCACCTGTGAAGGGCAAAGTGAAAACAATAACCCTTTCTTTAGGTCACACCACCACATTCACCACACATTGGTGAATCGAAGTAAATGCCAGGATTAACATTATTTGGGAGGCTCAAGTCATTGGCTTGACTTCAATTGGACTCAAGTCATCATTTCTTAATGTTGCTAGAATCATCTAGATAAAATAACTGACATGACTTTTGGACTTGACTTGGAATACCTGTGTCTCTGGGTTTAGAGATACTAATTTACATGCGAGAGGTGTTGAGAATTGGACGCTAGCAACTACACAGAACTACTCCTATTTTGATAAAATAGGAAAACTAAATTTGATTGGCTTTATAAAAATTATGCAATCTCTACTTCCAATTAAAAATATTATTTTGTAATATTCTGAACTGAACATTACTTTACATCTAAATTGAACATTTTCTTGACCTCAACTCAAGCATGACTATGAAGATCACAACAACTTACAGAAACATTGTCTAAAAGTATATTTTATTATCAAAACATACAATTTTAAATAGCATCACATTTGAAAACATGAAAACGATGATTCAATTCCTTCATTGCATGTAGTTTATATTTCCCACCCAAACCACCAGCAATATGGTCAGGAATTGCATAGAAAACTCTTCTGATACGAGAATGCAACAAAGCCATAGAACACATTACACAAGGCTCATGAGTAACATAAATATCTAAACCAGTGCAGATATAAAATCCATCTGAACTATCACAGTTTGTTTCATTCAAATCTTCGTTACTTGTTTTGTTGCCAGATATCAGATTTTTATTAAAATATATGCCATCTGCTGGCTTTTCACTGACTGGGTAAAAATACGTTCCACCACCCTGCGCTCTTGCTACTAAATCTATAACGATCATAACAGCGTGTTGTAATGGATGAACAAAGTTTTGTCCCATATTTGTACAGTCATAAGATATAGTGCGCATGTCATAAGTAGTTGCCACAATTTCATTGGATTTTGGATCCACAACAACTGCTGCAATTTGATGTTGAGTTTGTCCATTTTTTGAGATTCTGAATGCCATTTTCATATATTGCGTAGCAAACATTGAATCAGATTTTGAAAATAAGTCGCCAGACAGAAGTAAAGACGTAGGCTTATCTTCATGAAATGCAACAGGCCAAAATTTTTTACTCATTTGAAATTGGGCCCTGGTAACGGGAGGTTTTGATGGCACTTTACAACCGAGTATATCTCCAAGATGCTGTGTTAGATCTCCAAAATCCGGGAATATATCTGAAAGGGATATTTCAATTTGTTTTTCAAATGGAATATCCTTAAAAACCCAGTCGTATTTCTCAAATTTTGAATGCTGAACGAACAGTAATACTTCAAGCCGGTTTCCACTTTCTGTCTCGACTGATCGAACTCTTTTAACATGGGCCATGTCAGGTAGGCTGAATTTGTCGGTACACATTTTCAAAATTTGTTGAGTGTGTCTTTTTGACGTAATGACAGACGCAATTCCATAAATGATACCTAAAGCGTCCTCCGTCGGCAGCAGATCATCTCCAAGTACAGGGACAAGCTTCAATTCATCGGCAGATTCAATATCTATGTAATTTGGCTTTTCCAATTTTGGTTTCTTCAAATCAGGTTCTTGTTTCTGTCAGAATGTTGACTATTTCTTAATTATCATCCCCATGAGAGTCAAATATAAAAAGCAGTCATACTTCAGCAAAGCGTGGAAAAATAGTACATTATGTTTAAATCAGTTGTGTGTGGACTATGGTTTCCAGGTAATGTATCACAGGGTTTGGTAACGTCACTCATCCATCCTACCGTATCGAAGTGTTAAAAAATAGGACATTGTGTTTAAATCCCTTGTGGGAGGCCTATGGTTTCCAGGAAGTGTAAAAACCACCCCTTCGTATTCAAATAGGATCACATATAAACATTTCTATGAAGGCGACCAAAGGGTTAGGTAACATCACCCATCCTATTTTTTTTTAAATAAACCGAAAACAATCGGGATATAGTCAACAACAATTAGGAAAGTTAACACTGTCCAAACAGCGATTGAAAAAACTAAGAAAAGAAATAACCATACCTGTAAAACCATGTTATAAGATGCAAGTCTTGATGTGTTCGACAAAACATCTTTGATATCTTCATTCGTTTTCGCCATTTTAATTTTTTGACAGAAAAAACTAAATATCTTTAATATAGCACATATATTATAATTTTCTAAAGTACAAGAGAGCAATTTAAACAAACATATTAAGGCAGTCAAGATATATACCATCTGTCACAAATTTCACAACATTGGATCACAAATACGAAGAAAATAACAGGACAATGTAACAGCTACAGGAAAAGAAATAACGAAAAGTACCAAGGTTTTTCAGTTAAACATCAAAACTGTGATCTATGTGCAATATGACATTAGAAATGTAGAAAGTGAACTTCACTCTGTGAAGCCATTAAAAATACTAATTCAGCTTTTGCAATTGATTTTCGATAACTTAATACCATCTACCATAAGACAACCCCCATGGATGTATTCTATCTCAATATTAACCATTCGTAATTTTTTAGATAAAATTTTTGATAACGCTTCAGAAAATTTATACAAAATATCCATATATGGCTATAATGAGAATAATAATGATTCTTTTTTATGTTTATTCTAATTTAAAGGTTTCATTTTGCATAAAAAGGGAATTGGAAATGGGATTACCAGGTATATTTCGAGAGCTTTGTATTTGAATCTGCATGGTGGCATAAAAATCTCATCACATCAAACTGAATAACTTTTATTTATATGACTATAGCCTGATATACCATAATATTGCCTATTAAATTTTCCAAGAAATTTATACAACTGCATAATAAAGTCCCGTTATAATTGCAATGTTGTTATTAGATCAATTCTCAATCATATCTTAATAACAAGGTTTGTTTCAAGTTTTTGTTTACTTTTTTTAATACACTAAGCACATCAAAGCAGAATAAGTTGAATTCAGTTCTAAAGACTATTTCTCTATAAGCAAGCAGAAAATGCACAAAGACAGAACAGATAGGCTTTCTTCATCACATTGTTTTAGAATAAGAAATAAGCTGGAATAATTTTGTGTTTATTTCCAAAAATGCAAAATATAATACCATTCCATAATTACAGCACTGTCGTTCATAGAAATCGTGATGCATTCATGAAACATTTAAACTTATGCAATAAAATCTCAATTTTGAATAACAGATTGGTCGCATAAGTTTACTGTGGACTCATTGAATATTTACTTGGCACCAATTACGCAAATACCTTATGCAAGTACATATAAATGTGAAGTGGAAAAGTTCAGCTGCAATGATAAAGCCATAATTCTGCAGCGATAAGCTAATAAATACTGTTTATGTTGTTTAATTTGCAATCTGACCTTGCAGATACCAATCATTGGAACATTACAAAATTATTTTGAATCCGCTTTCATGTTTGTTTTAAATAAAGGTGAGTTTTCCCATTAATTTTTTTCTGTTCTGGATTCAAACGTTTTAGAATTTTAATAACAGTATCAAGAATTTGATCTCTTGTCAATCCAGTCTTTTTCGTTTTAAATTTCTTCAAAAGATCTTTTGTTGTGATAGGTTTGTGTTGCAAGTAACGTCTTACGGAATCCTCAGTAATTAAGTTCTGATCTTTAGTTGGAGTACTTGTGCCGGAATTTGAACCTCCCATTTTCTGTCTTTTGATTCCGGCAAGATCGCTAGTTTCACCGCCAGCATGGCGCTTTCCTAGAAGTCCGCTTACTTTTGGTGACGTTCTTCCAGTTGATTCTAACTTTTTAGCGACCTCTTGTAATTTATTCTTTGTGCCTCCTATTAAAACTTCGCTGTTTGGAGTAGATGACCGGCTATTACTGCTGCTGCCTTTTTTACCCTTCGTTGGTGTTTTGCGTCCGTTCATAAATATCGCGGATCCCTCTTTCTCTATATCACTGTCGACATCAGATTCTCCTGATGTTGACATCTCATCCCCGCTTGCCTTTTTCTTGTTCTTCGGTTTTCCATCTTCTCCTACTTCTTCAGGTTTAGTCTCTTCTTCATCACTACTGCTAGAGGATTCATGCTCATCAAGACCTTTTGGTGCAACCTTTGTACAAAAACATATTTTCCATTTAAAAACAAAGGTCAGAATATATATATTTCTAAGTGTAACACAAAAAATTATTTCAGGACCCTACTGTCCTCCATATTTCCTTTTTAGTAAATGAGGGTTCATATCGGCTACTACAAAATAGGTGCCTAGGGAAAGCTATAATTATTGGACATGAAGTAGCCACATGAATTGTTTGGTTAAAAAGTTGTTGTTGTTAGCCTAGAAGTTGTTGTTGGGACAACTTTTTCGGTGCGATTCTCTATAACTGATGGGTTGATAGATTTTAAATTTTTGTAGTACATGAAGATGGAAGTCGACGCCCCAATATTATTTCTATTGAGTCCTAAATTATCTATGAGTTTTTGCTACTCAAATGGTATAAGACAATAGATCCAGTGTCATGGAACAAAAGCCTTTTAGTTACATATATAGATACATATATTTCAGACAAAGAATATAATTATACTCCTATTATTTTTTAGGAAGAGGAAATGTGGTAATATTAGATTATATTGGAAAGCAGACAGAGAAAATAATGCTAATACAGTTCTTTGCATGTTGAATAAATGTGACTTTGTTTAATATTCATAATGAAATTAAATTTATTTTTGATAAAGAGTAGAGTCCTAAGAACTAGTCATTTTTATTGAACTTCTTCATACTGAGTTTTATTCCAATTCCAACACAAAAGTACAGTTACTGTGATCTACAACATTGGTATTAATAAGAATTTCTGGACATACCCTTGAATCATTAGCTGTCTCTTCTTCGCTACTGATATCACTGTTATAATCATGTTCTTGTCCTTCACCGTCACCATCATCAGATTCTTCCAATGCTTCATCTGGTGCCTCGTTATCAGCATCATCCTTCTGTTTCTTTTTCTTTGATTTTTTGCCTTAAATAACATAGAAGATAATAAACATGAGGAAAGATGCAAATGTGTGCCATACTGTGGGCGAAGTATAGCTTATCAAATAATAGCAAATGACTTACTAAATGATTGTAGGTGAATAAGATATATTAGGTTTGTGGAAATTACTCCCAGATGATGAGCTCAGATGCATAGAATTTTTTTTATAATTTCTGAATTGCCTTGCAACTAACTTTCATTCTTAATGTGACAAAAATATTTTGAAGAATAAATTATGAAATATGCCAACGAAATCGAAAAATTCAAAAAAGACAAGAACAGTAAGTTTTTTCTATTAATTCTGAATTCCATTTGAAAAATTATTTGCAAGCTAATCTAAATCTCAGTAAAACTAAAATCGTCCAATTCCAATTATATTACTTACTTTTCTTAGCCTTGTCTTCATCACTGCTTTCATCACTTTCACTCATTAAAAGTTCATCATCAGCTTCATCATGAATGAGTAAACCATTGTCTGCTTCTCTTCCTGATTTCCCTTCTTTTTCAGGATTTTTCTTCTTTTTTCCACTTGTTTTGGCTTCTATAACATAATGTAACAGGACATGACTGATCATAATTTAATAATTGCAATTACGAAAATTATTTATCGAAAAGGCTTATGATATTCCAAAGTCAGGCCATTCCATCTCATTTGCTATATTTCAATTTTCTGTTATATTGACTGTGACATGCATCAGATGCATGGCATGGGTAATTCGCTAAACATAATTTATGTATAGATTCAATTACAGATTCGAATCTATTTTAATTTCAAGTACAAACCAAATTTGTCCATACTGTTTGAATTAAAGTTTTTTAACCTAACAATCCTATAAAATTTTGCATAAAATCAGGAATGACGTTTGAACAGTGACAAGATATTTTAACACTACTTTCGCTCCAAACAAGCCTTTGAACCCTCAGCCACTGATATGTATAAAACTATTGTACTTTAAAAGGACCAGAATTATTACTGCTTTGCCTACGTAATTTATTACACCCTGTCTGAGGTGGTGGGCATGGGATTTGATCCAGAGATTTTAACCCACATTGTCACAAAAGTGAAGACTAACGCTTCAAAAAATTTCAGTCGCAAAGTTGAGATGAGATGTAAGGTTTGTATACTGCAGGGGTGTGGCCAATTTTGAATGATCCGCAAAACGAGTTCTTAATTTAGTAATTACAATCCTTTTGCGTTTTAAGCCTTATACCTTCGTCCAATGTATTAACTAAGCCTGTGACATTACAATGTCCTAAGAGCTAGTTTGTTGTGCAAACAATGCATATCACAAGATCAATAACCAAAATTTACCGCACCAGAAAATCTATGTTAAATAAAGGTGCGGCCTTCAGTTTCACCCAGTTTTTGTATCAGACCCTCCCTTCTGTATTAAAGGTTGTATATTGTATATATTTTACATACCTTCTTCATCCTCTTTCTCTTCCTCGAGTTGAAGACGTTTTCTCGCCATAAAGTTGAGATGGTTCATAATTTTATCTCTCTTATCCCACTCAGCTTCTGCCTCCTCATCTGTTAATGTTCTGTGCTTGATTTTTCGAGTAAAATTATACCATGACTCGACTGGATAAGCCTCGAATGTAGAATTTGGTCGTTGCATGAAAACATAATACATCGAACTATCTCCTATTCCACCTTCTTTCTTACCGTCAAAATCTTTTGTGACCGATATCATTTTCTGCAACAAATAATATCACATGTTGATCCAAAAAAACATAATTTCAATATCATAAAAATGGAGATGATTGTCGATTGATTTATCACTTGAACTCCTGTTTGTATGGTTGTACCCAAAAGTTTCAGTACTCTTTGCAGAATGCTTTGCACATATTCTGTCTAGAATATGTTCCAAATGACTTGGGTTCTGTTTTTCTGGGTCCTTTTGTACTTATTATTAAAATTCAATTACAAGCCCCAAACAAGCTAACCTAGTTGAGCGAAAGTAATAATGAGACAGTATTGTTATGTAAAAGAACTATTGGCTTACCTATTTTTCAACCCAGAGTTTCCTTTTTTCACCTACACTAAGTTTATCTCATTATTGAGTAAATACAGAAATGAAAGTTAATCCAACGAGATTATGCAACAAAAAATGAATTCAGAAAGTTGTTTCATTACCCATATAAAAAGATTGAAAATTCACATGTATTAAAATTAAACAACCCGTGTTTTATAACAAGTTATAGGTATCAGGTTCGAACTAACTAGTTGAAGCATAATACTACCAAGTTCCAAATAGCAATCATTTCAACTCTGGTCACTCACAACTCTTCGACTAGACTGAGTTAGTTGTTGGCTCAATACCTCAATACCCTGTTCTGTTCTGATGATATTTGTATAAAAATAAAGAGCCTTGTTTGGAGCAAACATAAAATTTTAATAAATTCTGAGCGGTTGAATGAAATATCTATTATTGCAGTCATACCTCTTTGTTTTTATTTTTGGGGGAATACGGTGCTTTAGCAGTTGTGGTGACAGAAAGTTGCCATGGTTGATCTTCTACTTTAAATTTTGATACCCTCATCCCATATTTGAGTTTACGAGCCTGAAATATTAGCAACATCAAAAATATGATAAAATTTAATAGGGTGAACCACATTTTGGAACGATTAGGTCGTTGAACACAATGCTTGGAATATGAATGATGTTTAGTATGTCAAAACACTACTTCCATAATTTAAGCTGTACATTTTTGATTGCAGTTCTTTCTTTCAAATATTTAATAATCATATTATAAAATTTTGTTAAATTCTGTGCTTAGTAGTTGGGAGTATTTGTGTGATTATGATGATATCCAGCAATCCAGGTTCATATTTTATTTCGCCCACAACTGTGGAGTCAGAATTGAGAGTTTGAGCTTGGCATAGTCGGGAGAAAAAGTCAAAATTTGGAATCCTCTGGAGCTGTAAGTCCAAATTTCATACTTACAGTAATTATTTAATAATAATGTAATAAATTGTAAACTGTTAAAATGTATGTAATATCTAATAAAATGTAAATAATTGTAAACTTAAAAAGCATCAAGTTTGCTGAGCATTCTTAACAGCCTGTAAACGAGGCATGCATATGCCAATGCTTTTGTTTTCAAAATTTGGTTTTGTTCCAGTTCCAGAGTCGAAATTTTTTATGATCTAGAGTTGAGAGACAAAACTGTAAGTTGGAGGAGTCAAAAGTCAAAGTCTGGTTCAAATTTTTCACGAGTCGGGAGCCGATTGTAAATTTCCTCGATTCCACAGGCTTTGTTTAGCATAGTACTCTAATTTGTGGGCTCCCGAAGTATGCGAACCAAGATGGCGGACATCGGAATGTAATATGTGTACTATGTTAGGGTTAGGCCATAATTTTAGGTATAAATACTACGGGAGGCTCTTGGCTAGTCTTCGAACTGATAATAGGACTAAAATAAGGAAAATTGGAAAAAAATTATCGCCTAACCCTAACCTGTTACCCATGTTACGTTCCAATGTCCGCCATCTTGGTTCGCATACTTCGTGAGCACCCTAATTTGAGTAAAAAATAAAAATTATTACTTGCTCTTTTTGCTTCCTTCCATATTCACTTCCAGCTCCAAACTCGGGATAAACCTCTTCTTCTTGAAAAATCTTTTTTCCTCTCATATTTCTCGATATGCGGGCACCGGTCCATTTCTGAAAAAGAGTGGAGAAACTGTCGTTATTAATAAATTTACATCGGTGGATAGAATTATTAGCTAGAACTAGAACTAGAAGTTAAAAGGTTGTTTAACAAAGTACCTTACGAATAAATATTCAAGACAGCCCAATTTCTTACAACTGAGTTTGTAGCCAAATAGTGACATTTGAGAAAATTTTCTTTTCAGCATCAACTAGTACATTTCATTGAAGCATCATAGTGGATGTGATGGCCTAATGATTGATGGAAAACTGGAGCAATACTGACACCACTGGGTTCAAAATCAATATTCAGCACCTCAACTCTGGTAGGATACATTGAGTAAGTAGTGGAAAATCAGAAAGATTTCAATTCGTTAAAAATATTAGCTTCCCATTTATCAATAGCTGCTTGTAGAACTTTATTCTTGGAGTGGAGGGTAGTACAAGTCTCGTGAAAAATCAGTTTTATTACAACAAAGTAATCAACTCAATTGGTTGAAATTATCCAACAGAGTGGTATTTACAGGGTGAACCCCCCAAAAACAGAATCCAAAAACCTTCTCAAAAATTAAAACTTGAACCTTTGCTTATGATGGTACCCGTAATTTTCAGTAATCTAGGATGATTTACACGAAGGTTGTGTTTTTTTGGAATATGTTCCAAATGACCTGGGTTCCGTTATTTGGGTCATCCTGTATAAATAAACACTTCCAACCTCAAGCTGGCATAAAAAATATTATGACAATGTTATAAATATTGTACCTGTATATCCATATTGTCACCTCCTCCAAACCTCATGACATTATACTTTTTTGTTGTATTTTTTGGAACTTTAACAATGTATTCATCGAAATGTCCTTGACCAGGAGTACTGGGAGTGGCCATGTTAAATATTTTAAAGGATAGTTTTCTGCAAAGCGAAGATATTGAACACACAAAATTACAGATATAATTTGAAAATATTGTATTCATTAATACTAACATAAAATTCATTGCTAACACTTGAACTTAAAAGAATGTGATTGCATATTAATAATAATCTCATACATGAGCTTAATTCAACACACTAATACAGAAACAATAACACTAAGTATTAATAACAGCAGCACTTCTAGAGGTAAAATGTATAATGCAGCATATTTTTAATTTCTACCTTTAGGCATAAGAATTTGAGAAATTACATTTCAATAGTATTATGCTTTACAATAATGCACCAGAGTAAAATTATAATTCGAGCCCACGATTTAGAACATTTGGTAACTCATCTAGAGTATAATACTTGTGGGTAATGTCTTTCGACTTTACATTGACAACTCTCAATCCAGATTTATCTTCACCAAGTTGGGCACCTATTGCCGAATTTACAACACTTTCTATTGTCAGGTTCGTTCCATTTACCAAATTGGACCACTTTCCACCAGAATTTCTATGATAATGGCCACTGAAGACAATTTTAACTCCAGCCTCCATGAATTCGTCAAGAAGATCCATTCTTAATGATCGTGGTATATTGAAATAATCATCATCTTCATCTCCATGTTTCGAGAATATAGGAATGTGCATAAGAATGACAATATTATCAAGGTCTTCATCGGATTTTGCCTGTTGAAGCTCATTTTTAAGCCAATCCGATTGTGCTTGTGCCAGATCTTGTACTTCTGATGAATCGTAAAAGTATTGACTGTTAAGTGCAATGTAGAGAACACCTCCACAATAAAATTTATAATAATCATCTCCCCATATCTGTTTAAACTCTTCTATTGAATTTCTGGTGGGTGTGTTTAGTAAGTCATGATTTCCACTAATAACCATTGTAGGAATCTGCATATTTGCAAGGCTTTCATTAACGTCATCAATCTGCTGTTGCCTATAAGGTTCGACTCCTGGAAAGGCATTAACTAAATCCCCACTAATGAAGAAGAATTTTGGTTTATTTTGAATGTCATCAATATCTGATACAGCTTTATTTAAGCGCCGAATATCTTCTACCCAAACAGTACCATCTCCCCCAGTAATCTGGTCAATAAGGCCAGGTTGAGGATCTGCTCCTTGTATGAACGTGTATGGAGCAATCCATTTACCTTGATCCGATTTGGTGAATCCGACCACCTCACGATTTTTTGCTTTCAAAAGCTGGCTGTTACTTTGTTGCAAAACACATGCAAGTACAGTCAAATATAACTGATGAACCAATTTCATCATCCTGGTCGCTATAAAATCAAGTAAGTGTCAAGTACTAAAATAATGAAGCCTACAGTCTTCAATCTGTCAATTGCCAAATTGAACATAAAACTGTAAAAGTATTACTGTATTGTAGGTGTTGCCTGATGAGAACTATGCCAGAACAGGTTGAACATTGTGAAAATGAAGTTATGTCAATTATTTCAGCATTTTTTACGACTTTCACGATAATAGGAGAAGTCTAGTGGTTCTAATACCGGGCTGTGGCCATGTTAGATATTTTATAAGATAGTTTTCTGCAAAGCAAGAAAAGCAAAGATAGTGAACACCCAAAATTACAGATATAATTTGGAAATATTGCATTCATTGATACTAACATAACACTTGAACTTGAAAAGAATTATAAACTTAGGTGATTGCATATTAATAATAATCTCATACATAAGGATAGTTCAACACAACAATACAATATAATTTGGAAATATTGCATCCATTGATACTAACATAAAATAAAATTCATTGCTAACACTTGAACTTGAAAAGAATTATAAACTAACGTGATTGCACATTGATAATAATCTCATACATAAAGTTAATTCAACACACCAATACAATATAATTTAAAATATTGCATTCATTGATTCTAACATAAAATAAAATTCATTGCTAACACTTGAACTTGAAATGAATTATAAACTAACGTGATTGCACATTGATAATAATCTCATACATAAAGTTAATTCAACACACCAATACAATATAATTTAAAATATTGCATTCATTGATACTAACATAAAATAAAATTCATTGCTAACACTTGAACTTGAAAAGAATTATAAGCTAACATGATTGCATATCAATAATAATCTCATACATAAGCTTAATTCAACACACCAATACTAAAGCAATTTAACACTTGAGTACAGCAGAATTCAGGTAAAACGTATATTGCAGCATATTTTTAGTTTCTACCTATAGGCATAAGAATTCAAGAAAGTACAATTCAATAGTATTATGGTGATTGCTTTATAATTCAAGTATAATTCAAGCCCATGATTTAAAGCATCTGGTAATTCGTCTAGCGTGTAATACTGGTGAGTAATGTCCTTCGACTCTACGTTGACAACTCTCAATCCAGATTTATCTTCACCAAGTTGGGCACCTATTGCAGAATTCACAACACTTTCTATTGTCAGGTTCGTTCCATTTACCACATTTGACCACTTTCCACCAGCATTTCTATGATAATGACCACTGAAGACAATTTTAACTCCAGCCTCCATGAATTTGTCAAGAAGATCCATTCTCAATGATCGAGGTATATTGAAATAAGCATCATCATCTTCATCTCCATGTTTCAAGAATAAAGGAATGTGCATGAGAATGACTATATTATCAAGGTCTTCATCCAATTTGGCCTGTTGAAGCTCATTTTGAAGCCAATCCGATTGAGCTTGTGCTAGATCTTGTACTTCTGATGAATCATAAAAGTATTGACTGTTAAGTGCAATGTAGAGAACACCTCCACAATAAAATTTATAATAATCATCTCCCCATATCTGTTTAAACTCTTCTATCGAATTTCTAGTGGGTGTATTCAGTATGTCATGATTTCCACTGATAACCAAAGTAGGTATCTGCAAATCTGCAAGGCTTTCATTAACGTCATCAATCTGCTGTTGCCTATAAGGTTCAACTCCTGGAAAGGCATCAACTAGATCCCCACTAATGAAGAAGAACTTTGGTTTATCCTTAATATCATTAATATCTGATACAGCTTCATTCAAGCGTCGAATATCTTCTGCCCAAACAGTACCATTACCGCCAGAAATCGTGTCAATAAGGCCAGGTTGAGGATCTGTTCCTTGTATGAACGTGTATGGAGCAATCCATTTATCTTGATCCGATTTGGTGAATCCGGCCACCTCACGATTTTTTGCTTTCAAAAGCTGGCTGTTACTTTGTTGCAAAAGACATGCAATTACAGTCAAATATAACTGATGAACTAATTTCATATTAATCACTACAAAATCAGGCACCAAAATAATAGAAAAACCTTCAAAAAAGTTTAAAACATGAGTAATATCATGTGCCCGCTCAAAAGCACAAACACAAAAAAACATAAACCTGCTGTACTTCTAAAACACTTAGATACCGTAAGCGGTGAAATGCAATGTGATAAAGTGACAATACAGTTAACGTTAGTCAAAAGCCAGAACTGCAGCAAGCCATGAAAATCGAAAAAGGATTGAGCATTGCTAAAATCTAAAATAAAGTCTGAAAGTGGTTAGGGAAATTTCAGTGTAAATTCATGGGATTTCGATAAAGGAGTTGTCATACAATAATAGTAAAACACTGTTAGTTATAGTGTATCCAGTATACACTAAAAAACTAGTTAAGGTATTCAAGGCGCATGTGCGATTAAAACAACTCTGCACCTGCAGACTTTAGGACTTGTGGTACTACCATAGTTTACTTACGGTAGTATAGTTCGCTCAAGCCTTTTTCGTCTTTGTTTATTTATGTTACACAGTTCTCTCGATACGATTGAGTGATGCGTCACTATACTGTATTCTCTCAACGCGATATTTTAATATTATGCTGGTTTAGCTGTCAATAATGTTTTTACAGATTCAGACGACGAGCTGGAATAAATGAATGAGCTTTTTTATGATCTGTTTACATTTTCCAAAACGTGGTCAACTTTTCCATGTACTGTACTTCGTTTTGGTATTTTTATTTTGTGTATATTGCTAGATGATTTCAGTCTCAAGCTATCCATAAGGGTCCCATAAAACTATGAAAATATAAAAAAGATTTTTTTAATTATTTTAAATGACCAAGGTCATGATAATGTGTTAGCACATTCGAAATGGTCACTACATGAAAATACTAAGATGTCCAAGTTTAAATAGATAAATTTATTTGTTTGAATTATACTCAATATGTTAGAATTTGAATCTTGCAACTATATGTAAAAAAATATATTATTATTCTCTGTCATTTGGTGATAAACCACTGCCAAAATTCTAGTTAATATCTAAATGATGATATCAATTGTCATACTGTTATTTTCTATTTGCTTTTACTCTTTTGTTGCAATAAAAAAAGGGATTTGCAGTTTTTTATGTCAAATGTCGGCATTGCTTACACGCGTTTTATCTTGTGTTTGATTTGTCGTTAGTGTTTGCTCAGTGATGTCTTTTATTGTTTGTATATCAATTTATGAAAAAAAAGGAAAAAAAACGCGACATTGTGGCGCGTGTAGTTCTCAGCTATTTGGCTGTAGCCCAGTGGTTCCCAAACTGTGGGTCGCGATTCGCAACCCCGGGTGAGTTCGCGGCGAGATTTTCCGGGGTCGCCTGATTTCTGTCAAACATGCCCATACAAGTGAATATAAGATTTGTGCCTAATTTTGGATTTTCAGCAATGACTCGATCATTTATTGTCCAAATATTAATAAATGTAATTGAGTGAAAGTGTTGCGAGCGCCAATAATATTTTGCGTTTTATAGCTTTTTTGATCATGTTACATCCAAATAAGTAGTTGACCCTCTGGTATGCAAATCGGATTTTTGCCAGTCTGTGAGAAATTATTTTGGTCTTTTATTTTGTACCAGTGTAGCCGCTTGGTTATCGAATATATGATGCAAAGTTGCTTTATTTGGCAATTGACCCTTGATTAAATGTTTCACAAGTTTGGTATTGATTGCCAGGCGGTGTCTTGGCTGGGTAATTACACTTCAGGTTTCGATCAGTTGCGAAAGCGCTTTGTTAATTCGCGCACATGTCTAAAATTTACGAGTGGGCTACCTGTTTTGTCCACATCGCCACCACAAAAAGTGAACATTTTTGTATTGCAATATAAGTATTTAGACACACGTGTCCCGCAGCTCCATTATCTGTGAACCGCGCCGCATTCGCAAAGTAATCAAGTAATCGCCTTTGGTGTTGTTTCGTCATAAAATTAACGTAAAAAATCCTTTGGCATATTGTCACATCACTAATGTCACTAAATAGACTAGTGTTATGCCCACCTAATAATGGAACAATGTAATAGGTTAACATTGAACTAAAAATAATAAATACACTGTTGGAATATATGAGAGAACAAATGAGAGTTTAAATTTATATATATTCAGAAGCATTCTTACTATTTCCGAAGTATCGCACACTTCCTCACAATCTTCACAACCACATTTTATCCACAAGTCCGTCTATGCTTCGCTAAAGAACTGGTATAATTCTGATCTAAGAGATTTTTACACCGTGGTTTTCATACGATGCCGTGCATTATCAAATCTTCTAAGGTTTCCCCGTTTTCCAGGCGCATTGCCAGATTCGTTCATATATATTTTTGGCCTAATGTTCACCGTCAACTTGCAGTCGATATACAGGTACATTGAGGTAATTAAACTGATATAATATATAGTACTGATTTTTCACGTTGTTCAACGTTTTTAGTTGTGGGATCGCGAGTATCTGTAGGCTTTGATTTTATGAAAATTTAGGTCGCGAAAAAAAAAGTTTGGGAACCACTGCTGTAGCCGATGTCTAAAGAGGATGTAGGTTATCGGACTGATTTGATATCGTTATATATTGTTAGAATGTCTTGCGCCTTTGGCAGAAAACGATTGCTTCTGAGAGCAAAACTCATAAAATACATCTTGAGACAACTTTATTTCTGTTACCAAATTGTAGTTTGCAGTTATCATAGCAACTTTTTATGGTCGACTAAAATACCGCACGGCACTCGACCAGGCGTGGGTCGCGCTTGGGTGATAGGAACGGATTCATCAGCGACTCGAAATCCAATATATATGTATTTTATTGGGAGCGCAAAATAAATGTGGCAAAGCGCATTGTTTAGCGTTTCGTATTTTGGGAAACCGGAAACTCGAAACACATTATCTTCAGCCATAGACAAAGATAAGCAGATGTATTACCAAAATCTTATATCCCAAAACAAGGGCAATCCAAAGTCAACATGGAAAATTGTAAACGAGATTACAATCAATAAAAATAAATCGTATCATACGGTTGAATAAATTTTTTTTGATAAAGACAGTATCTCAAAAGATGGTTGATCGCATCTGAACTTACCAAGTATTTTTCAACAGTCGGTTCTAGATTAGCAGTCAAATTCTCCAATAACGTATGTGACTTTAAGCCGTATCTTTGTAAACATGTTAGTAAATCCATTTTCATGAATCCGGCTATACTGATTTTGAATTGACAGTTGATTTACTTAATTTGAAGGAGAGAAAGGCAGTTGGGCCGGATAACATTCCACCTCGCTTCCTCAAAGTTGTCGCAGATCTCATTGCACCATTCTTAACAAAATTGTTCAATTGCTCACTCTCTTTTGGAATTTTCCCTCCATCTCTTAAAGTAGCTCGAGTAATCCCACTCTTTAAATCTGGTAAAAAAACTTGTTTCAAATTATAGGCCAATTTCAATCCTCTCTGCAAATAATAAGATATTTGAACGTCTAATCCATGTTAGGCTTACTAATTTTTCGAAAAACACGATGTAATAAACGGACATCAATTTGGTTTTCAAAATAATCTTTCCACTTCACATGCAATTCTAGATACTATCTCTTATATCTATGACAAATTAAAAAAGAAAGAATTTGTTGGTGCAATTTTTGTCGATGTGAAGAAGGCTTTTGTCAATCATGATATCCTAACTTATAAGTTGTGTCATTATGGCATCAGGGGTGTATCTAATAAGCTCCTCTCTAATTATTACTTAAGTGATAGAAATCAATATGTTCGAGTTGGTAAATACTGCTGTTCCACCTTACCTGTAACACATGGGGTCCCACAAGGTTCTAATTTGGGGCCTTTAATATTTCTAATCTACATCAATGACCTTGCCAATTGTTCATCCTTCTTCTCAAAACTATTCGATGACGACACGAATCTTCTCGATAGCGACAAATCTCTCCCAGCTCTTCAATCGAGAGTGAATTCTGAAATTTTAAAAGTAACAAATTGGATGAGGGCTTACAAACTAACTATAAACATCGCCAAGTCCAAAACTATGCTCATTCCACCCCATAAAAATAAAACTCTTGAGACGACCACGTCTATAACTCTGTTTTATTCTGTACGCCCATATTTATTCTTACCACTTGAGTCACTAGTGAACAACTGTGTAACTTTCTCTTGTAGCTGGTTTGTCAGACTGCCGGCAGTGTAGATATTCCTCTGTATATTAGGTTATTATTATAGTGTTTTAATGCCGTAAATCTATGTAATTCTTGTTGTAAAATGATATTAGTAGTGCAGGTTTACTATTTCTCCAGTTTGGCATAGCTCTGTTCACTAGTTAGCTTGTATTTAACACTTCCGTAACTAGTCTATTTTCGCAGTTTATTTCCTGTGTGATTTCCATATTTCTATGCGTATTTCCATGTATATTACGTGTTTGTCGGTAAGATAGGATTTGTGTTGTATCTTTAGTGTCATACTAGTTATTCTTATGTATATCTAGGTATGTTTCACCCGGTTTTTAGTATCCCATTATAAGTAAATAGTTCATGACTGTGACGTCATAGACCAATTCCGTATCTTGTGTTACGTATGTATCCTACGGTATTTGTACTGTGTTTTTATTTGTTTATTGTATTTCTTATTGGAGTATTTGGTTGTATTAAGTTCTTACAGGTGTATAATTAATCTAGTTAGTTAACTTAGTTACTCTGCTGTGATTGGAACCGCAAGAAGATTGTTTTGTGAACGACATCTATTGCAACTTCAGTGTCCGATAAGCTGGCAGAAAGAACCTGAGTGGTGATATCAATTTTGGTACGCCACATATACGAATTTTTGGCGAGCACACGCCAGGATATATTATTTGACACAGGGACTATTAAGACTAAGCCGATTAAGTAGGCTAGTCTGTGACGGATAATATTTGGACAATATTGGACATTTGAGGTTGCCGAATTTTTTTTTAATTGCGGTTGCCTGATATTTTGGAAAAATGGTTAAGAGAAGAAAGATTGTACCGGCACCAAAGCAAGCCAAAGAGGAGAATGAACTTTTGCATCTGCAAATACAGGTATTGAAGGCAAAATTGAGGGAGTCAGAGGAAAAGCAAGAGGAGACTGACAGCCGTTTGCAACTGATAGACAGTCGCATGCAACAGATGGACGGTTGTGTACAACAGATTGGAAGTCAACTAGAATCAGTTGAATTCCAAAATACAAAAATGGGCTCGTCATTTGAGCAGATGTACAGCATTCTGCAAGATATTTCTGGCGTGGTTAATAAAGGAAAAATTGCTGATCCTGAGGAAACCCAGCCCATGTCACATGACCCAA